TACTAAAAGATCTGAACGTGCGATCTGGTTGGGGAGGGGGGAGGGAAGATAAGATGAAGATAACTTTTTTGACGTGTCTGAGCTGCCGGACAAATGTCGGCATATCCACCCAATACAGTATTCGTTTATTCATCATATATATGAGTCATGTACGTGTTTGAGAAGGTTGGCATACTCCGTTCACCTTCGCGTCAAAGCGCCTCATTGCAATCAAAATAGCTGACCAACCTCGTTACCAGGTTTCTCTCCTGTTCGTCCAAATTCAATAAGGATGAAATACACTATTTACATTAGGCAGTCGAGAGTTGTAAAGGGCACCCGTGGCCGCTTCTAAAGATACCCACTCAATAAAGAAGAAATGTGCAGCAAACTGGGAAGCAAATCCCGGGGATTTGATACGTGACCGAAGCTGAAGGGCCCATTGTTAGTCATTCTATTAGGGGATTACCAATATTGCGTGAATTGGCATTGCGGAAACTATTGTTGTTTAGTGTCTTGTGGTATGTGCCCTAATATTTGTGTTCAAAGATCCTATTTGAAGAAAACATGTCATGTATCACGATTTCAAGATGATGTCAGGATTGTGGAGCCATAAACATACCATAGTGTTTTTCCTTAGTTAGCTTACCGCCAATGCTTGCGAAGTTCACAACTCGTCCCCTGGCCATCTTGACAAGTGGAAGAAATGTTTTGGTCATTTCAATCAGTCCCCATAGATTCACATCTGCTGTGCGTTTAAATATTCTCATCGGCGCCCAATCGATCGGCAGTATGTATCCAATTCCTGCATTATTCACCAGTCCCCACAGTCCACCTGCTCAAGAAGAAATTTTGAACGAATGTATAAAAAGTCGTCGGGTTATAAGGCGGGCAGTCTTTTTTTTTTTGTTGTTAATCACAATAATAGTCGGCTGGTTAAATGGTCCCCATCTTAGACCCATCATTTCACAATACCATACCAGGGTGGGATTTTGGAAAGGGTTGATAACAATGCTTAATAATCCAAGATGTCAAGGAGCCGTGACCTACAACGTGACACCAATGAGAGCTGATCCGATCACATTATTCTTTAGGAATGTTTTAGGAAAATAGAAACTGACATAAAGCAGTTTTTGCAAAGCAGGAAAACAAGATAGGGCACTGACGTGGCTAATCCTTATAGCGAGCGAATGTTATCATGACAATCATTGATCGTATTCAGCAAGAGTGTCGACTCACTTTGTTTAGATACTACGTTACGCACCTCCATCACGTTTGATCAACTCAGTGACCTTATAATAAACTTCTTTGATCTGCTCTGGGTTTGTCACATCCAACTGAAATGTTTTGAGTTTATCGCTCGTCACTGACTTTAAACTCTGTTCACCTCCTTTTGTCAAACAAGTCGCCAACACACAAACTCCCATCTTGTCAAGTGTTATGGCTGTAGCACGACCGAATCCAGAGTCGCAACCCGTAATGAGAACATACTTTCCTTTGATGTCAAGTTTTGCTTTTGATTTTAAAAAACAAAATATCAAAAGAGTGAAAATGCCAATCAAAGGCAGTAAAGTCCAACTTAATGGCGAGGTTTCAGCGGCATCCATAATGTTGATCATCTCTCCGTGACGTTACATGCTGAAAGGCTTATTTTAAAGGACTTCTGGACTTGAGAATCACTGGAGACACTTCAAAGAATCATGGGAAGAGGAGTCAGAATTTTACCTATTTTTATCGATGGAAAACTTTCAACGAAAAAAGAAGACAGTTGACTAGCAACAGTTATTTAGGAAGGATAATGACATGGAATTACTCAAAGCATTGCCAAATGACTTTCGCTCAAAGGCCGCTCGTTGACCTATTCAAGCCAATCACTTCACGGTCTTCACGTGATCCCTTTAGGCTTTTAAAGTCACAACCCATGACCGTAAGTCACGAATTGATCGAGTCAAAACCATGGATGCCGCAGAAAGATCGACATGTAATGGCGTTTTGCTGTCTGTAATTGTCATTTTAACTCTTTTATTGCTTTATTATCTTAAACCAAGAGCTAAACTTAACATCAAGGGAAAATATGTTCTCATCACGGGTTGCGACTCTGGATTTGGTCGTGCTACAGCCATTGCACTTGACAAGATGGGTGTTTGCGTGTTAGCGACCTGCTTGACAAAAGAAGGTGAACAAAGTTTAAAATCAGAGACGAGTGACAAACTAAAAACATTTCAGTTGGATGTGACAAACTCAGAGCAGATTAAAGAAGTACGTGATAAAGTCAACAAACTGCTGGTCAATGGTAACGCAGGTGAGTATCCCTGTTCTATTTTTGCTTTTCATTGCAGGATTGTTCACATCATTGCTTGTTATCCTGTTAATAGTAAGTTCTTTTTCCGAGGCATTCCTTTAATAATTTTCAAAAACCGAATAACAAATACACGAGTTCGTGTCGGCCACGGTTCCTTAAGTTCTCATTATCAGTATTGTTTTTACTTCGTTTCCGCGCGAAATATCCGTTCCCCCTGCTGGGTACCAGAGGTTTTTCATCCAGGCTCGCCTCGACGGGTTCCTTGAGTTCTCATTATCAGTATTGTTTACTTAGTTTCACTCCCTACCGCAGGCCCATACGTGTTTGCTCGGGTCGACTTTTTCGTCGACTTGACCGAAACCGGAAACCACGCATGAAAAGCCTCTGGCACCCAGGGTATTCACTCCCACGAGGACACGCACCACCATTGAGTGTGAAGCATAAGTTTTTGCTGTTGTTGTTTGGTCTTGTTTTCAAGTTTATTTTTATTTTTTCTCCTGTCAATGACTCAGGCGACTCCAAAAAAAAAAAATCGATCTGACTTTTCCCAACAAGGGTCGAACCCATCACCTTTAGGTTTTATCCTGGGCAATATGCTTTACCACTAAGCTACAGAAAGAGCAGCTAAGTCCACAAACATCACTGTCAGCTGCGCTCCTAAGCAAAGGAGGCCCTGATTCATTCCCCTGCCACAACATCTTTTGGAAAAACAATGAAAAACTTGGTACTTAGGAATGTTTATTGAGTCATGACCAATAAGCCTGAAGGACTGAGCAAACCTCAAAAACACAAACTAACTACAAACCGTTGTGCTGCTTTTTTTCGTGTTTGATGGGCGGGTTTCCTCCGCTCTTTTCCAGAAACGTTTCCGGTTTTTTTTCTACGTAGGAGGTTGTAAAATTTATCAACAAAATGTGCCTCTCAAACCCCCTGAGAGGTCTAAATAAAATGAATAGACCGAGTAATTTTTACCCCTGCTCGCAATGCGGCGAAAAACCTGCTCGCTGTTAGCAGTTTTTCTCGAAGAGGTAAAATGTCGACTGGGTAATCAGCGTGTACTTAAATCAAGGAACTGGGATTGTAATAGGCACAAACGTTTGCAACATGGCACACTGGGGTCCAAAATAAAATAGAATCGGAGATGGGAATTGTACCATCCCCTTCCATTCAGGACATTCCGTTTTTGCAACAGAATTTGATGGATGACAGCTCTTAAAAATGTAATTTTTAGGCAGACTGTGGGGCCTGGTAAACAACGCTGGAATTGTGCACAGGCTGCCAATCGAGTGGACTCCGCTGACCATATATAAAAGAACCGCAGATGTGAATCTATGGGGATTGATTGAAATGACCAAGACATTTCTTCCACTTGTTAAGAGGGCCCGGGGACGAGTTGTTAACTTCTCAAGTGGTGCTGGTAAGGGGAAAATGTTGAAAACCGATTGAAGCGGCTAGAACACGAAAGAAGGGCAGGGGAAACACGAGATGCAGTCGAGTGTTTCTCTTTACTTTTTGAGTGCGTGCTCTGGCCGCTTTCTAAGTGCTTGACAACAGAATTGAAAAAAAAAAAAACAGAGCACAGTCAAGGCTTCTTTAATTTTTTTATGGTGAAGGATCCGTTAAATTCTCCACGCAGAACTTAATTCCTAATTTTTCGAAACAAACTTTTAGCTTCGTGTTCTATACCCTCATAGAGCACGCTTTTTGACCACTCAGATTGCGCATTATAGCTGAACTATATTAGAAAATAAGATAGTCTTGAGAGATGTATCGTCTATCCCAGGACTTTTATTATAATTGTTTCTTTCACCTTACTTCGATTCTTTCCTTGAGTGACAAACAAAGAGGCCTTTTTGTCCACCGTAAAGGCAAGTGGACTTTAGGAAAATGTAAAATAAATACGAAGGGAACAAGATTTTCTTTGTTAAGTAAGTGGCTTCGCCTTTTGTGTTATAGTCCCCTAGATTCTTTTCACAATTGCACAAGCTGCCTATGATCTTCTCTACATTTTAAAAAGATTCATCTAGTAATAAGAAGCAGTCTTCAAAGGACTGCCATCTTAATTCTAATGTATGATTTCATACTTTTAATAAAATACAGGTCGTTTCTCGGTGCCATTTGTGTCAGCATACAGTATAACCAAATATGGCGTGGAGGCGTTTTCAGATGCATTAAGGCGAGAAATGTATCCGTGGGGAGTGAAAGTGAGCATTCTGGAACCTGGTGCATTTCAGACCAACATGAGTCAGCCCTCCCACGTTGAAAAAAGTTACAAAGCTAGTTGGGAGATCCTGGATGATCAGCTAAAGGAAGAATACGGAGAGAAATTCTTGAATGAAGGTATATCGCCATTCTGAAAATTGTACTTTACAGTTTAGAAAGAAATGCGGAGATGCCAATGAATATTATTTACTTGCCAACAAAGTTTTCTTCAGGTAACATAAATAGTGGCAAATTGCTGTACTAAATAAATTCGTTTAATTGATGAAGAATCTAGAATGTATTGTTATTCCAGAATGAGGTAAATCAGTCGGTCGAACGCGGCACCATAAGCAATGGTTTTATTCCTCAAGTCATCTTGCCATAATTCTTGACACTGTATCAAGAAACACTTTGTACCAAGAAAAACTCCTAAGCTGTGATTTGCAAGAACAAAGAAAATGTGTCAAGGAAGAAAAGGCCTAGTGATGGAGGTACAGAAAAAACCCGCGAGCAAGAACCTGCATTTTCTCACGTTAGCCTTAACGGTTCTTACATAAATATGGTGATTAACAATGATTTAGGCTTTTTGGTTTCTTAAACAAGGATATTATCTTGTGAAGATAAAAAAGGTACATCATAGCAGAAAGTATTCAATTGTATTCAGCTTGTTCCTTAAATAAAATCTGCATACAAAATTAGTATTTATGAAAAAATGACTATAAGAAGAAGAACATGCAACTGAAGCACTGACAACATGAATTTTGAAGTCCACTTTCCGAACCGAGATAACATACACTTATTGCAATCCCTTTTCCCATTACACGCAGCTCTAACAGCTAATTAAACTCTGATACATTAATAATAACGTTAAATAACACTTTGTAATCTCATTTGCTCAAGTGTGAAGGATTTTGTTGATAGATTTTAGAAAATAAGAACCTATTTAACATTTTAGGCTAAACAGGTTCTTGAAAAGAGCGGGCCTATAGCTAACCGGCAATTTTTAGGCTAACATGCAAGCTCTTAAAAACCATGTCTTCTGTTGAAGGCTTCCCTTCTAAGGTCCTCTGTTGCCTTGTTAACCTAATAACTGTTTGAAATTTTAACGAGAAATTAAATTAGTGAAAGTGAATAAACCGGGTTTAATAATATGCAAAACCACAACTTTCACAGTTTTTACGAATCAATGAGTCCAGTGACACAGAAACTAAAGGGTCAAAAAAAGATACCCTATTTAAGGTCCATACCCTATTCCGCGGCACGTACCTATATAAGCACTCCCCCGGGGATCAGTGACTTTTCTAAAAGCAATGAAATTGAAGAAACAGAAGCTAATGAAAGTTTTTTCTTCCTAGTGGTTAAGTTGTGGACAGAGTTTCCTCAATCTGATCGCCTGTATTTAGTTGTGGATGCTGTTTTGGATGCCTTAACGTCACAAACACCGCGTGACCGTTATGTGGTTGGTTCAGATGCTTGGTTTGGAATAGCAATGGTGTCCTGGCTACCAACCTTTGTGGTGGACTCAATTATTAGAAAGTTGTTGAAAACGGCATTGCCCAAAGTGGTTCGAATAGACTAGCCATGTAGAAACGCTATTTCTGTAGCAGTGATAGTTGTTTTGATATTTAATGGAGATGAAGCCATTTAACTGTCATTATATAAATCTACATTCATCACGATCATCCTTAAAGTAGCTTCTTTACAGTTCTTCATCTGAAAATATATAGCCTAATTAGAAAATATAGAATATAGAATACTCGTAGAGAAATTGTGCAGGTTGGATCTCCCACAAGAATTATCAATTGGATCATAGATGTCTTTTCTGGTTAACTCTCTGCGTACTGTTACTCCTCGTGGGGCGCAGTGCCGTGCGGGCTCCCTTAGGGAACAAAACTAGACCCATGGCTATTTCTTGTACTTATAAATGATTTAGATTCTGATCATTTAGCTAATGTATGGAAGTACGTTGACGATACGACGGCATCAGAAGTCGTTACCAAGGGCAACCGAAGTTGTGCCCAGGAGATCGCGGATAAGGTTGCGGAGTTATCTACGTAGAATAGAGTCAAACTTTATAATAGCGACAAGTGTAAGGAGCTCACTAAGGGTATCTTTTGTAAAGGATGAACCCCGGTTTGCGCCTATTGTAGTATAAGATAATGAACTAAAGAAAGTGACAAGCTAGTGCTAAACTTCTAGGTCTGACCATATCGAGCAACCTTGCGTAGAAGGATCGGCAAATTTTAGCGGTGACATAATGAAGAAAGCGTCGACATGGTCGAAGCGTCTGTATTTTTTAGTGCAGCTAAAGAGATCAAGAGTTCCTCGGCAGGATATGTCCACTTTTTACACTGCTTCTATACGCTCTGTTCTTACGTACGCAGCACCTGCTTCTCTATGCCTTTCCATAGTACCTAAGAGACGAGTTGGCACGAGTGGAAAAGCGGGCAACGTCTATAATATGCCCAGGACTGCCCTACCAGGAGGCTATCCAACAGGAGAACATTCTCCCTATTGTAGATTTCATCATAGGGCTATGTAATAACACTTTCGACATCATTGTAAAGGACTCTATATTAAACACCGTCTGAACAGTTTAATACCATTCAGTGGTCCGTCACGTTATACTATAAGGTGCAACACGCGCTTCATCTTACCTAAAAGCAAGACAGATCGTTTTATCAATAGTTTTATTATTAGATCCTGTATTGATAATAAATAGACGTAGATGTTTAGACTTTTTATCACATTTTTCAGACTTTTATATTTCCAGCACTCAGTTTTACGTACACATTTTATCACTTGCATCATTTGTAAATACGCAATTCAGCCCTCGGGCTGCAAAGTATTGGTAATTAAACTATCTGTCTATCTATTTAATTGTTATAGGTTATTAAAAGGGTAAAGATCCTTATTTTAGGTCGGTAACTCGTAACTTTAACTGACAAATCTGAGGCCGACCATGCGCTCACTTTACTCCCCTTCCCCCCTTCTTTCTCGCCCCTTCTCTCCATCAGTGCTACCTTTTACCAGGTTATAAGGTATAAAGCTATTTAAGCTACACAGAAGGGAAAGGGGTCGAACAAGGACATGTGATCACACCTGGGAAATAAACTCGCGCGATCGGACTCCCCCCCCCCTCCAAAAAAAAACTGATAACCATTGTTTCCAATTTCTCCTGGGCCTGGGTATCAATCGAAGACAATGGTGACGCACAATTGGGGGGGAGGGGGGATCGCTTAGGATGAGTGAGAGATCAAGACGCTAAAGAACCTGGGAAGTCTGTGATCGTAAATCTAGTAAAGCAAATCCGTATACAACAATATCGAGAGTGATTATTTGTCGGAAACCCGTTCACGACAGCGATAAGTTAACCAGAAAAGACATGCAGCGAACAGCTTTTAAGAGAAAAAAAACACTATAAGTTAAAAAAAAACCATTATTCGACAGAGACTGATAGAGATGATCAATAGACGATCATGTCTAATTTAGCAGCGGAAGTTGCAAAGTTAACAACTCATCCATTGATGAGTGGAAGAAATGTTTTGGTCATTTCACATCCAACTGAAATGTTCTCAGAGTGTCGCTCGTCGCTGATTTTAAACTCTGTTCTCCTTCTTTTGTCAAAAAAGTCGCCAACACATAAACTCCCATCTTGTCAAGTGCAATAGGGACCTTAAGATCCGAGGACGGCGACGGCAATGGGAACGCCACAAAAGCAATAGGTTTAATTAGCAAAACAACTATTTTGCACGTGTATCACGCTTTTTTGTACATTTCTTTGCTGTCACTGCACGACTACGACGTGAAAATGCCTAATTTCCCGATGTACAAAAGTACAAGTCGACGAAATTTCCTCTCTCTTTCTGAACTTGAATATGGTTCTTAGGAATTCAACTTTAGGAGGGTTCCTCAACATTTGACTTTGGAGTAATCGCTATGAAGATTGAAAGAACGCGAATTCACTTTTTCAGCGACGTTTTCTCCGCCGTCGCCGTCCTAGGATCTTAAGGTCCCTAATAGCTGTAGCACGACCGAATCCAGAGTCGCAACCGGTAATGAGGACATACTTTCCATTTATGTCAAGTTTAGCTCTTTGGTGAAAATAACAAAATATCAAAAGGGTGAAAAAAGGCCAATCAAAGGCAGTAAAATCCAGCTAATCGACGAGGTTTCAGCGGCGGCGGCTGATTCATGGTGCATACTGACTGTCTAATTGCGACGTTCGAAAGTTGAATACCTTACTGATAACGGTTTTGGCCGACTGGACATGTGAAACTAATGAATCGGGGGTAGAAGCGGAATCATTTGAATCGGCTTGAATTCATGATTCCTTTCGATTTTACCTCAATGGTTCATGATTCCTACAAGAATTTTCTTAGAGATTCATGATTCACGAAGACTTTTGATGACCTATTCAATAAATGAATTTCTCAGAGGCTACTTTGTCTGGTTTTGCGTTGTTTTTTTGGTGTTCAAACTTCTGTTTTCATCCAGAATTATATAGATTTCTGTTTCTCTGTATCATCATTCGTTTTGTCCAAATATGGAGTTTTTTGTCACTGAACATTAAGCACCAGCGTCACTGGAGAAACAAGCGGACTATCAGCCTCGAGGCACGAATTATAATTATGGGGGGGTCTGGGGGCATGTTCCCCCGGAAAAAAAAACTGAAATTTGGACTTGCGGAAACGCCATATCCTTCAATCCCTGGATCGAACGCAATTAATTCATACCTATTTTGTTGCGCTTTTCTCAGAGACTCGTTATTCATGATTCCCCAGCCGAACTGACAAAGATTCATGATTCCCCAGTTTTAAAAACAAAGATTCATGATTCCTACAAGTTTTGTAACTATGATTCATGATTCATGATTCCGCTTCCAAAGCCACTGCAAAGAAAGTACCTAAATAGGGGAAAGATATTAATCTTAAGAATCTTCTTTAAAAATGAAGTGTTGATATGGAAACTGAAATTATTTGTCCTTTTAAAGGTTGTCTTGTTCAAACCTAAGTAAATACAGGTGCTGAGAAAGGACATAATGTATTTTCCCTTTGAATATAATTAGAAATCGATACACTTGATTATCGCTCAGTTCGCGCAACTTTTCAGTGGCAAGGTAAAGTTATAAAAAAATCCTGAAAGAACCTGAATCATTCTGAGTACTGACTAAGCTCGAATGAATTTAAAGTCGCAAACCGTAAAAAAAAAACATACTTTCCTTTGATGTTAAGGAAGTGACCATTAGAAAACTTGTCGGGGGCGGGCGAAGTACAAAAAAAATATTTGCAAGGGAAAATTAAAAGAAAAAAAATTCATGCACGCCAATTAACCCTAAAAAATATTCATGCTATGGCCTAAAAAAAATTCATACAAGGAATTTGATAACGAAAAAAAATTCCTGCAGCTCAAAAATTCATAACTTTTGTAATAGTCCGTCCCTAATTTGAGCTCTAGGTTTTGCTCGTTGATTGAATGTAAAAACAGCCGCTTGTTAACATATCCTTCTTAACATGCAGAATGCCAAGTCAAAAAGATATGTGCATAATTAACGAGCGGTTAACAACGGTTAGCGTGTCGAATGAATGAATGAATGAAAACTTTATTTAACTGTCTATGTTTTTAGCTATAAGCTAATGGGGTACACTGTAAAATAATAAGTTAATTAATACCAGATACAAATCACTAAAAAGTAAATATAAAAGATTGCGTGTAGATTACATAATTATGTACAAAATTTGTTAAAAAGCCTAAAACGCCTAAATATTTACAAGAGTCGAAAGGTCACCTTTTCTAATGTTCCTCTTAAAGGAGGTCAGAGTTTCTATCATTCGACGTGTCTTGGCAACTTCTGACTATGGGTTCCACAGAAAGCTTGCCGTCTAGTTTCATTTTGCTGCCTGTAATTGGCATTTTAAGTTTTTTTTTCTTTTATCATTTTAAGCCAAGAGCCAAACTCAACATCAGAGGAAAATATGTTCTGATTACTGGTTGCGACTCTGGATTCGGTCGCGCTACAGCCATTGCACTTGACAGGATGGGTGTTTGTGTGTTAGCGACCTGCTTGACAAAAGAAGGTGGACAGAGTTTAGAATCAGTGACGAGCGATAACCTGAAAACTTTCCAGTTGGATGTGACAAACTCAGAGCAGATCAAAGAAGTCTACAATGAAGTCCGGGAGCTGATGACTGAAGAGGGTTAGTAACTGTTTACGAGGTTTAAACCTTTCGCTTTTTGCTGCGAGATAGAAGAAAACATGGCTGGAGCTCGAGTTTATTTTAAAGGCTTTTTAAAATAATTTCCAGTGCATTCTCCCACAAAAATGTTCTTGATTTTAATATGCTCTTTTTAGTTGGACTGTGGGGCCTGGTGAACAATGCAGGTATTGCATATGTAATGCCAGTGGAATGGACTCCGATGAGTATATTCAAACGTACTGCAGATGTTAATCTGTGGGGAATGATTGAAATGACCAAAACATTTCTTCCACTTGTCAAGAGGGACCAGGGACGAGTTGTGAACATCGGAAGCATGGCAGGTAAGGGAAACAAGTTTTAGCTGTTCAGCTGATCTTATCTATCTTTGCCTTTATAAAAAGGCAGGGGATGGCTCCATCTCCACGCGCGCAGGTACCATGGTCTTTGCAAACCCCAACAGATTTTGGGTTCTTTAGTTTTCAATATGTCGTTAAGTACATCTTGTGGCTCCGTAAAAATATAAGATACAAAATAAGTTTTCTGGAAAACGATGCACCGACAAAAAATTTAAAAAATTCTTAAATAAATAATATACAAAATACGCAATTTCAAATCAGTTCATTTTTTGAAATTACCATTTTTAATGTTTTCCGTATATGATCCTAAAGTTCAAAGTAGCAATGAATATCATCAGTCAAAAATACCATTTCTTGTAAGATACTAAACTAAATTTTTAGGAAAATGATGTCACGACCAAATAATTAAAAATAAGTTTGTTTCTTAAATAAATAATGTACAAAATATGAAATTTCAAATCAATTTAGATTTCACCTTTTTAGTAACCATGAGGCTGACGTCACCAGTGTGATTTTTTTTTATCAAAATTTTTAAATTTCAAATTGATAAAGAAGAACATAAGTCTGATAATGTTTCTATCTATAGGTATCAGCTGAACTGAAACTGGGTCTTAAGTACGCGAGCCATGGTCGATCTTATGACCCTTTATTGTCCGGCCTGCAGATCAACAGATTGGCGCCGCTTATGCAACTGAGCTAATCAGGCGACGGTTTGACCTGTCGGAAAGTGCAAATTCCTGACGGTGAACCTGTGGTTAGACTGCATAGCAGGCGCTTGCTAGTAATAAGGGCGTAAGAAAGAACGGGGAGCGCAAGGGGGACACGCGAGGGAAATGAATGACCGCTCACTTGTTTCCGTTCGCGAGTCCCTTTCTATAACTTCCAAGCGCCTGTTGTTCCCGACTCTCATAAGCGACTTATTTTCTCTTGGTTTGATTCATTAGTGGTTAATTGAAATGACGCACGACAACCATATGGGCGTCCTCTTTCACATCGAAAGCCAGCGAGTAGCGGAGTTCGAAAAACGTGAAGGGAAAGCAGGAACCTCCCCGCCTCCAAAAATTAGATCGAATGCGCCGGAAAACTAATAACTGAAAACTTTTTTGTTATTGCCTTCTGATTTCTGATATATTTTTTGCACTTTAACAAAACACACAGGTCGTTTGTCATTTAACTTCTTGTCAGCCTACAGTATAACCAAGTATGGTGTGGAGGCTTTTTCAGATGCACTGAGACGAGAAATGTATCCATGGCGGGTGAGAGTGAGTATACTGGAACCAGGTGAATTTCAAACAGATATGCATCAGCCCTCCAAATTGGGAAAATGTTTCAAAGATGGCTGGGAAAACCTGGTTGACCAGCTAAAGGAAGAATACGGAGAGGAATACTTGAATGGAGGTAAACTCCAGGGCAAACCGAGAATTTATAAGTGATCTGATTGTTCAGAATTCTGCTTACTAAAAAGATGTCATAATTACAGCTTAAACTGTAATTATGTTTAAAAATTGTCCCTAATTAATACTGACCTAAAGTTTAAAGGGGCCGGGTAGGACGCAGATTGCGGTTTGAAACTTGCCCTATGCGAATTACGCGTATGAGGTCACAAAGTGTTACAGTTCTGATAGATGAAGCGTTGTGTTCGCGTGACAGGAGTCTATATGCCTTCGTTACGAGGAATGTTAGTGTAGAGAGATGACACGTTTAGGGTGACAAGAAAAGCATTTTCGGGTATCTGTCCAAGGAATTCGAGTTTGTTGAGCAAGTGTGTAGTGTCTTTTATGAATGAATGTGTAGTATGTACCAGGGGTTTGAGATGATGGCCTGCAGTTGTAAAACACGTTCAGTACATGGCTTTTGCTGGAAACAATGAGGCGGCCAGGGATACCCGTCTTATGTATTTTGAGTAAAATGTAGAAACTTGCGGGTTTGGGGATAGTCTGTATCAGGAAAAATGGGTCCTTGCTACCAAAATTGAATTTACAATTTAATATTGATATGTATGACATTGCAGTTTGGTTGGGTACGGGCAATGGAGGGGAGTGCGAGTTAACAGCGGCGCTAACTAAAGAGGAGAATGGGGCGGAAACAAAGAGAAGGCAACATGGGCCGGTGAACATGGGTTTATGGTTTTTACTTTTGTCGCGGTTTTTCTGATAATTTGCGCATTCGACAAAGAAAACCGCCAGCAACGCAAGCTATTTTATATGCGAAGGCGCATAGTTTACTTCCACTTCCGTACGCGCTTGCAAAGATCTGGGTCTCGTAACGTCGAAAAGGACGACGAAACCGTAAACAAGGAATTATGGTCCGCACATGATCCTCCCCAATAATGAAAGGTTTTTAAGATGTGCCAAAAGCGGAGTAATGGCGCCATCGTAGTACTTGTATCAGATATTGACTTGAGTTGATAGAAACTGATGTCGTTGTCATGACTACTAACATCAGCCTTCTTGTTTTTAGTGGTTAGGCATTTTACCGAGTTACTTCCTTCTGATCGCCTGTATTTAGTGGTGGATGCTTTAGTGGATGCTCTGACGTCACAAGCACCACGTGATCGTTATGTAGTTGGTCTGGAGGCTCAGCTGGCGATACCAGCGGCGACCTGGTTACCAACGTCTGCTGTAGACTTGATTCTACGCTGCTTGTTTAGCGTAAAAATACCAAAACCAAAAGGATGTCGAAACTCCTAGCCATGTTGAAGACCGTCATTATATCTGTAGTAGAGAGATGTTCTGATGAGAATTTCAACAATGAACAAAGTCTCGATAACTGCACTGTCATATAAGCGTTTATAAGTTTTACATCCCTTAATCCGTTGATCGTAACCATAACAAACTTCTCAAATCTGATTGGCTATCAGCTCCCTGATTTCAGAATTAATTGGACAGTGTGACAGTGTGATAGGACAGTACACGGCATCCACTGGCGCAATTCAATTTAATATATCACGTTTTTTTAATTCTCTTCTAGCCAAAACTCTCGAAATATCTTACATTTTCATCTTTCAAAAAGTTTAAAATTGCATAAATTTTGTTATAGTTTTGATTAGTTGGTAACAGAACTTCGTGTCTGTAACTCCCCTTACAGCAAATAAAAATATCAAAATCAAAACTTATGATATGAGAGACTTTCAGTAAAACATTTTTTAGGAAAAAACGCAACTTTTCGACGACTACAAGTCGTCAAAAAGCTGGCTGCCTGTCTACGTGACATGCATCTTTTACCAGTTTTAACGTTAAAGAGGGGAGGGAGAGGGTTCTTATTTGCTAGTTTGGCCGACTAAGGTGGTGGGCACATGGGAATTGTGTACGAAAGTGCACAGAGAAAACAGCTATTAAACTTTCAACAAGCTAGTCACGTGTTACGACGAGTGGAAGGTGAGAACACTGACAAAACAAATCAGTACGACAGGGGCACCCAGCGAGTAATTTCGGTGAATATCTGTTCGAAACATGAAAAAATCTTTTTTTAATCCCCAATAAATAGTGACGTAGTTCTCTCTAGTGCCAAGAATTTCTACTTGTAATCGCCAAAGTTTTATCTGATTTCGCAATTAAGCGATGCGGGAAAGATAACGCTTCAGACTGCTTAATTCATGAATACCAACACGTTCTATACAAGCCTATCCACATCCTACTACCACTTGCTAGACTCTGACTATTAGGTTATTTCGTCTGACAGCTACACGGGTGAAACACGCCTTCACTGAGTTTTCTCATATCACTTGCCTTGCTATACGTTACAAGACTACTCGCATTCTAGACAATGTCTCGAGCAGAATTTATACTTCTGTTTTTGTTTGGAGGATGTTTTCAGTTTATTTTCCCTCGAAGAAAACGGCTGCGGCGGGCTGCAGATAGCAGAAGCGGATATCTTCAAAAAGACAATAGTGGCGAGTCCGCTCAAAGTCGTTCTACATCGCAACAGAAATTGTATAAACGCTCTGAAGAACACAAGAAAACAACTCGATCATTTCTTTCGCGGGCTTCCCATTTCTCTGGACCGCAGAAATTAAGCGAAGAAGACCAGCTATGGCTACAGGCGTTTCACTATGGAGGTAGATAAACCCATCTCACTCAAAAGGTTCATTGAAAACAAAACGGTGTGGTGCTGCAAAAAAATATGATACTAATTTCATTCACTGCAAAATCGAAAGGTTGCTTGATTGGTGACGTTTAATACTGAATTTGAACCCGGAAGATAGAAGCCGCCGAAAAGCACAAGGAGCGTGAAAAGCCGATGAAATTATAAGAAATTCCATAAGACAAAAATAGATCTCTCAACAACAGCCAACAGCCAGCGCAAGATTATGCACTTTCGATATAAACTCTTAAGCGGCACAAGGTCTTCAAATCTGACTTCCAAGAGCTGTTTCAGTGAAAATAGATCTTGTAACACGAGTATTCTAGAACACAGAGATATTGATTTGGCAGGCTCAATACGAATGAACTAATATAAATATAACCTTTGGTCTGAGTCAACTTGTAAACTCAGATCACCGTCAAAAAAAGACATTCGAGTAAGATGACTTTAAATAATATTGCCTGTTCTCCATGCGAAAAGACTGTACAGAACTGATTACCCAATGGAACCATCTGATCTTTAAAAGGTGCTGTCTGTGCATTTAGCTGTATAATCGCCTTTTTTATTCTCCATGTATAATTGATGGAAAGACGATTTTGCGGCTTAAATGTGTCTAAGCTGTTTACAGAAGTGTCACAAGAAAAACTGGAATAAATAATGTTTTAATCAATTTGGCGCGCCGAATTGCGACAATTAACATTTCATTTAAATAATTGGAAGTTAAATATAAACTAAGAAAATAGATCTGATGTGGAGTAAAGTCATTGCCGGCAGTGTGCCATAGGATTTAGCATTTGTCCAGACGAATCCCCTTCACGTTTCATCCTAGTAATGCCTCATTACGCCATATTATAGTGTACCAGAAACCCATAAGGGGTTGAAAACCCCTTATGAGTTTCTGAGTGTACCCAACGACAAATGTTGTTTTCCACCCTTCAAACCAAACTGCACTAACTGCCAACATGAAGTCGTTCCTCTATTTCCGCCCACATCACATCTCATTTTCATTATTTTAAATCTGAGATAAAGTACAAATTAAACTTGAAATGTCCACGTTGTAACCAATTTGTTAGGAAAAGTTTCTGCTCTATTTTGGAGGTTTCAAAAAGATTATATGCAAGTCAATTTGTCATAAGGGGATGAAAGACCGAGACTGGTTCACCAGTTTGACCTTTTTAAAATTTTATATAATGTAAAATATAAATTCCCATGTCCTTCTCTTAGCTTGAGGCGTGAAGTTTAATGCTTACGGTACTTGCAATTGTAAATAAAGTATTTTAAGAAAACTGTGACAAAAAGATATCTTTCGAGCTTAGTATATTTCCCGAGTGTGTAGTATGTATCGCAAGACGCAAAAATCATTCTAGTGGAACCGTTAACGGCACTCAAGCAACAAAATTGATGATTCTAACCCAGGGATGGCAAAGTCAAGTCAATCCTAAGGAACTTGAATAAAACGATTTAACTCTTGCAAAATAGCTACATTGAAAACACCTAAGGGCACTAGACTGACTTGGGTAAACTTGGGCTAGCAGAAGTCTGAAATAGCACCTAGTATGAAAATTTGATGAGCTTTAATTTTGATGACCTGTCAGAATACTGTCAGTTCACCACAAGTTTCTAGTCCTCAACCCTTTGTAACCCTGGAGATGTAGAAAGAGGCTGCAGCTAGCAAAAACTCCTGCTTCCTGCTCTCCTAAACTCCAGTTTCTTGCAACTCCGGCTCAATTTTCTGTTTCATCTGATTTAGGCCGTATAATAGAGCTGTGCTCATCTTGGATTTTTTTTAGTATATTTCCCGAGTGTGTAGTATGTATCGCAAGACGCAAAAATCATTCTAGTGGAACCGTTAACAACACTCAAACAACAACACAAACAAAAAGACAGCGAAATCTGTCTTGCATGAAATAGTTTACAATTGATTTGGTTAGTTCGATAAATTCATTTTAATTTACATGTATAATACACATGTATTTAAAATAAGATTCACAATAAAAACGAACGTTACGATTTTGAAATAAAATATAACTTTTCTTTTCTTATGTACATTTTTTTCTAAATAATAAAATTATATCAAATATCAATGTCATTATTTTGGAGACCTTTTGTAAGAATTTTTTGTAAGAAGCATAGTTATGAAAATATTTACTTAAGGTAACTCAGTTCTTGCCAAATAAAACACAATTTTAAAAAAAATCAGCATGTACACATTCTCAAAACTATCAGGAACTTTACTCTGGTTCACTGTCCGAGGAATGTGCGAACTGGGGATACCAAAGCACTGAAAAAAAAACAACAAAATATGAAATTATCTAATTCGCAACTAATAACCAGATAACTCTGTAAAACAAAAAAAAAATTTAACTACCCTTTTGTGTTGAACGACAACTAAACTGGAATTTATGCTAAATGTTGCCTCTAAAATGACATAATATAAGCATCTCATCATACTTTTGTATATTCTCCCTCTCATTTATTTTGTTATAAAGGGCCTCAAGTTCAAAAACGGTGAAATGGTGATCACATCTCCCTCTCTTAGATTAAGTTATTGTATTATTCTACTGTATTGAAATATCAAAGTTTTACTAACTTGATATAAATTAAATTTGAAGTTTTCTTACTTGAATACTCGCTGAAGTCCTGAGGTAGATTCCTCTTGTGGCTCAGAATCTGCAAAAAAAAAAATTGCTGATACATTGACGTTTTTCAGCTATGGCACTACCTGCTGTAATGGTTACGGTTGGTGCTAAATTAAAGAAATCTAAGGTCTTAGAATATTGATTGAATGACAATTATAATTGATTTTGTGAAAAGAGAGAGAAAAAAAGGAACATTTCAAAATGTTCCAAATGGAAAGGTTAAGACTCATACATTGTACCTTCCTCCTGCAATGGATGACAATTTTCATGGGCGTGTATCCATTTACTTCCAGGTCAACTGTAAGGTCACATCCTTGATATTCTAACTGTCAAGCAGATGAGATCCCAGGCTCGATTTCCACCGCTCTCTCGGTCCCCAGTCAGTCTCTCCCTCGGTCTGGGGGAGAGGCACGAGCTCATTTCGCGAACAGCAGCTGGTAATCGAGCCCAATGAGATCCTATAAATGTTGTGACTATTTTAAAATACCATGATTCATATGATTCCTTTTTGGTAAGATTTTTTTTTGAAATGTTGTTTGACCTGCTATTTGGATTCTCTTGACTTATGAAATGATTGTATTAGACAAACAATCAGCATATAATTACCATCTGTTTGTTCTTCATCATCTTCACTTGCTAACTTCTGTAATCTAAGAAACTCTTTCAAATCTTTCTCTTCAACATCATGTCGATTCTTCTGTCCATACTCAGTCACTAGTATTCAATCATATACAAATTTACACAGAAACAATCCCTGGTTGTTTTGCAACAAGAAAGCTTAATTCCAGCGGGACAAACGTACCGTAATATCATGGTCATATCAACATTTATTTAAAAACCACTTTTCGCCTTTCAAAAAATAAAATTCTCTATGCATGTCAAAAAGTATCACACCTCCCACATACTTTCCACTTTAAAACAGTTGTGAATTTGATTGCCATTGAAGCTTGACCCTTTCCAGATAAGGTGAATGTGATCTAATGCACTGTTCTTGATTTTTGTCAATGAAACATCTTTGTGCCTTCTACACTTGCAGAAGTAGAAAACGTCAAGTTCTCTTTTCTGATTGAATGTTCCAAAAGTCCTTTGTAACTGTTGGAAAGTATTTTGTTTCATCACCTACAATATTATTATTTTGGTTTGAATGGACCAGCCTAGCCAAAAAAGGAAAGCCAAGCAAGAAACAATGTGGGCTTGATTCAGACTGTCAGGAATACAATACAATAATAATTATGATATTATATCGGTTAACTTGCAGAGTCAACCAACCTTTCACTGTTGATGAACTTGTCGGGGGCATACCCATTCTCTCTTCAGCAACATTGACAGGCTGCAGCACATTAAATTTGGACACGCTGGTTAATTACTGTGCTTAAACACCCAAGGGAAATTGCAGTATGCCGGGTAATTCCTACTAGACCACTAAAGTTGATGTCTTTCATCAATCTTTACATACCACAGTTAAATCTTTGAATATTACAGACGAATGGTTAAGACCAAAATTGATTATTCTAACTCAGGGATGGGAGAGTCAGGTTAATCCTATAGGAACTTGCATAAAACGATTTAACTCTGGCTAAATAGCTACACTGAAAACACCTACGGGCACTAGACTACATGACTTGGGTAAGCTTGGCGTAGCTGAAGTCTGAAATAGCATCTAGTATGAAAATTTGAAGAGCTTAAATTTTGATGACCTGTCAGTTCACCATAAATTTTCTGTTTCATCTCATTTAAGAATGCTGTATAATAGAGCTGTGCTCATCTTGGATTTTTCCACTTAGTTTCAAAGGTGATTCTGACAATCAAAAGCTTAACTGTTTCTACAATCATAATTTGTTAAACCATGATTTTGGCCTCGCACCACTAAGTGTAACTTTAATAACTGATAGAGAGTGGTAAGACTGAAGGAAAGTAAATAGAAGTCAGTAGTAAAAGCCTGATTAATACAGTTCAAGAATCCAAAGAAGATGAGGATGAAGAGGAAAGTTCTAGTTAATGAAAAATAACAAAAAAATGTACCTCTTTTGCTTCATCTGACTGTTCATCCTTTTCTGAAGTTCTCCCTAAAAGTTGTCAACATCACAAACCACACATAAACATAGTTATGGACAGAGATGATAATTTTACAGAGTGATGTCTCTATGAAGGGTGGCATGCACTTGCCCACCACCATACAACTCTGCAAAATTTGGTGACTTTCATTAAACAATGTAGTTTATATACACATCACGTTCAAACTTGGCATTTCTATTAATTTTGAGTCCTTCTTATTGGCCCTGCTGATGGATTTTCATTAACTAGTTCAAGTCAGAAGTTAAAATAAAACTGTGGAAGGGTTTATTATACAATTTTATTGACGGCCAAATACCACTAGATGGAAGTAAAGCTATGGTTGCTACACACCTAGTTGAGGTCTGTGGCCTGCCTGCTTCTCTTCCACATACAAGGTGAATGCATACTTGTGTGCTTCAAGTGCCTGGCCATGTCGAGAAAAAAGGACTTTTTCCCTAGTCTCCCAACGGGTTCTGTCTAACATGATTATTAAGTTTCTTTTCAAATTTAAATAATTGTTAATTTTTAAATTATGATTGGTCGAGGCATAGAAACCAATAATTCTTGTTACGCATTCATGTATCAAATCAGGTTCACAACATTAAGAGACTCTTTAACTATAACTAATATATTATTGCTTAGATTAAATTAGGTACTTTAACTGAAGGGGGGTGTGAAAGTGACTCTTGGTGTTATGAAACTACCTTTTTCGTTTAAAAAACAAACAAAAGGCACACACCCCTTCAACTATGAGACTTTTTCTGGATAAAGCAATTTAGATGACTAGATAAACTGAGGTGTGAGATTGCACCATCCCTGATCATCAGGAATCCAAAAAAGTGAGACGACAATTCACCATGAAATTTGCAGAAACACACTGTGAAACACACGTAGTTAATGTTTGTTGAGTGTTTAAATATATTCTTGACAGCGTTTAGGTGAGTGGTCAAGACATAAGATTTTAGGTAAAACAGTAGTGCTAATAAAATAACAAAAAGGATACATGGATAGATGACAAAACTGTCTGTCTGCACAGGAGTTAGATCATCTGAACTTAATATTGCACAGACAACTCTCTAATGGGAGAAACAAAACACTTGCTCAGGAAACATATTAAAGCAATATTACCATAAACAATTATTACATAAAATGCAGCTTCTAATGAGTTATATATACATGTATTCCAAATAATGAATCACAACGTTTGGACCACTGAGGATGTAAATTCTAGGGTACTCTGTAAACAAAATCAGTTAAACATTTTTTGCTTACATAGCCCAAAAAAGTTGACTGCCATTCTTCATTCTACCTTCCTAGCTTATTTAGGAAAACAGACGTAACTCTGATTGTATGGTTTAAGAGTTTAAAACAAGCCACACAAATGAAATATTTAAGACATAAGTGCCTATAGACTAACCTCCAAATCTTTATGGTTCTTTTCTTCTTGGCATAATTTACGAATACTCTCTCTGTTTTGTTAGAAAAGCACAAAAAATTAATGTTTTAAAAAAGGAACTTGATCAAAAATGCCTAAAACAGTTTCACTGCTAAGGTTGGCACCAGAAAACAATTTTTCAGTTAAGTAAACAACAAGCTAGACCAGTAGTATATAAGCCTGCTCAGGTTTTCCTTTAAGCTAAATCCCGAAAACAAAAGGCCACAATCACAAGAATTACTCTTCTGAAACCTTTCTTTGCTTTTTAATGCTTTTTAATTTGTTGTTGTTGTTTGTTGTTGAGTGGACCATTATCAAAGAGCACTATTCAAAATTTGATTGATCTTACTAGAGCACAGTAAAGAGTTCTCAGTGTCTTATGATCATCCAAACCTCTGCAAGATCTTTTTATTAGTCAAGTTGCGTTTGTTAATTAGCTTATCAATGGCACATGTAAATTCGTAAATTCGGACATTTGCAACGAGTATTGCACAGCTGAGAGAGGCAGACGTCAATGTGTTCCCGAGTAAAATCATGATTGCTTACCTATCAGAAGACTGTCTGCAAGTCACTTTTATCTTGTAAATGGTATCTCCGTAAACAACCAGGCGGATGTCTGGCTTTTTGCCAATCTTAAACGGCTGCAAAGGCATTTTGACACATCATAAAGAGCAAGTCAGTCAAAATTCACCGCCATTTTCTTTGTACCCTCGACTTGAAGTATTCAACCGAGGGAAACTAAGTCGAGAGAGTTGAGGAAAAAGAAACATGGAGGACTTTCTGGCAACTGTGCGATCAATTTCTGCTGACAAAAATTATGTTCAGCTGGCAGATTTTTTAAACAGATCTAATGAGTTACTTGCGAAGTATGCAGGTCAAATTGACGCTGCCATCGCATCTCTTGATCCAGATCAACATACGCTGGCTTTTATGGCACTTTTGTAAGATACACGACAAGTTTTCCTCGCTGCATAAGATTAGCTTATATTTCATGCTTAACTTTGGTACCGTTTTTTGTTTTTTTTCCTGAGACCATTTTAACTGAAGAATTTCTTAAATGTCTTCTTTAGGTTGGTCAAATTGTCGTTGCCAAATTATGGAGATTTTGAGTTACTGTTTAGTCAGATTCAACAGTTTATAACAGTTTGTTCCAAGGAACAAATTCAGTTTGCTGGGGAAAAGTGTAAGTTTCTGGTAAATGTTCAATGTGCTTTTTTCTCAATATTAATTTTAATTTCAAAGTCAAAATATTTGTTCTTTCCATTTTTCTAGTCGCTCATATTTGTCACTTCATAACACAATGCCTGGTGGACCTTAAACAGGTATGCATGTTCATTCTTTGATTTCAACGCCAAATTTATGTGTTACATATCAGCAGTAACCATTAAAAGCTGTATAAAAACATTTTTGCATAATGTTCAGAGATGTCAAGACCATGCTGTGTTGAAGGGTCATAACATCTCCTCAACAAGTAAGATGTATAAGATGAGTTTGAGTTAAAGGCCATTTACATGGATTTCATGGATGTCATGTATGTCATTGTACAATAATTTGTTGCAGGACAAGATCAGCACGGCTAATTCGGGGGTAAGGGGTAGGGGATAAGGGGTAGGCTAATTCGGGGGTAAGGGGTAGGGGATAAGGGGTAGGGGTAAGTGGTAAAAATCATACTGTAAACATTGGCAACATTAGCAATGTTTTTTCTAGAAGCTATGTGGCCCACCACCCTTATAAACAGCCCTTGATACAAGGTGGAAGGTACATTATTGATATGACATGGTAACATGTCAATAATATAATCTTGTTTGGTATATAAAAGTGGGCTAGCTCTCAGAGTAAGCATCACCCAGCACGCAGTGCTTTATTAATGCATAACTTATGTGTATTGGGCGATTCCAGAAAATATCCATACCATACCACGGACGGCTTTAAGGATTTCCGAAGGGGAGGGGGGATTCACGATTATGGAATTCTGAAGGCATGGGGGGGTATTTACGATTTGAAATCCGAAGGTATGGGGGAATTCCACAGGTGGGATTTCTGGAGTAGAAAGTGTAGAGTAAGTTCCTGGAAAACGCTATTGTTGTGGACTTTTGTAGTTCAGAAAATAAACCACGAACGTATGACCGCTGAAAGCAGAAGACAAGCATCGATAGATCAGACACGTGTTTACGCTCATAACTTATAGAAGTGAACAGTAAAACGTTGGTTTCACATTTACCTTGATGAATTTCTTGTCACGTGAATAAAAACTGAAAATGTATCTTTTAATACCGCTTGCAAATTTCTTGTTACTCCCGTCCGAAACCGTCCGATAAACAGTAAAAACTCGCACCAGTCCCTCACTTCCAAGGAACGCCTGTCAGATTAGAACGCTTTTAAATGCGCACTACATGACGTATAAAAGGACGCAACACAACTCGACGGTATATTTGACCCTCAAAAGATTTTAACAGTCTGTTTGAGCTATTTTCCTTTGTAAACGTCAAAACAGCACAAGAAAACAAAGAGGAGTAAAATTACCTTAAGTGGTGTTTATTTTTATAGCCAAATTCGGACTTAAAAAGGAGTTTGCACGGCCTGGCAACTAGCGTAGGTTTTTCTTGTCACTGAAGAGTAAAGCTTGTCACCTGGCGCCGCTAGATCACAGCCTTGAGGAGGCATAAATTCATGTTCGTTTGTTCTTATAGGCGTTGCTAAGTCGAAAATGTTCTTCCAAAAAAAAAACAGAAATTCTGAAGGGGAGGGGGGGTTCACGACTATGGAATTCTGAGGGCATGGGGGGGTAGCGCATTTTGGAATTTCCGAAGGCAAGGGGGGGTTAAAACATGGAAGCCGTCCGTGGTTGGGTATGGATATTTTCTGGAATTGCCCATTATAGCACAAACCTTAAGATAGAAACCTTTGCTCATTCAAATAGTTTGCACTGAAATTAAGTTCACTTTATAATAGCTTATGGCTTTTTTTGTTGGATTCTTACTGGTCTTACTTTAAATGGAGACTGACTTTGTATCACAGTGTTTCAATCAAGTCACCAAATATAGTGTTCTCCTTATCAGGCGGTAACTGGTAAAATTTACTGCCTGAAGCAACATTTTTTACCGCCTATAACCGCATGAAGGTTTACTAAAATTAAATAAGTAGTTTTAAAAAATGCTTAAGTTGTGATCCAATCCGATCAAGGAAATGAATGAATATATGGAAGAGTACTAATAAAAGTGTACACAGCTTTTCTTTTTATGAGAACAGTGAAGACAGAGTAGAATTAAAATTATTGTCTTAAGATAACATTTGGCCGATTTGTGTAAAATAGGTCGTAAAATGAGGGAATGACGTTTCAGAGAACTTAGCTCATAAATTTTCCAGGGCCATGTCTCTTACTCCACTACCCCCTCCCCCCTCCACCCCCCACTAGAAAAGTGTGCCTCTGGGGCATATTTTTTGCCTTACCGGCCATGAATGGTCCCTTACCTGCTGAGCTAAAATTTAGGGAGAACACTGCCAAATAGTGTCCATTATCTGTATTAACTGGTATCTTTATTAATCAACTACTGTAGGGCAAGGCAAAATATATGAAATATACATGGAACAAGGAAAACCTCCTGCTGCAAGCAGTGTTTGTATAAAGCAGTTGTCCATACAGGAGGGTTGCACTCAGTTTCTTAAGGTTTTGTTTTTCCACTATTTTTCGCAGCCAATGCGAGGGATAAGAATGATGTGTGTTGCTATACAAAAAGCTCAACAGTCTTCAACTCAACTCACATCAATTCACACAGATCTTACACAGGTAACAGAATTTGTGAGTGTTTGCATGGTTTGGTTCAAGAAATCATATGCAGCTGTTTCGAGAAAGGTTGTTGGAAAAAGTGCACGCGACAATCCCAAAAGGTATTGTGGGTGGTTTAAGTCTGCGCTGTTCTCCAAAGAAATTTGAAAGAAAGGCATGAGAGGCCACCGACAAATGTCGGCGAGTGCTAATGAAAAGCAACAAAAGTAGGTTCGACAGCTACAGTCGTTAGGAACAGTGTATTAATCATATCCCATATTACTTTTCATTACTTGTCCCCTGCACATTTTTCCAACAACCCTTTCTCACAATAGCTGTATACATGTAAGAAAGTCTGGAGAGCTAACTCTTCAGCCTGCAGGCAAAACAGGGCTACAAATAACTTTTGTCTTTAGAAAGGACATCTGTCCTGACCAGGTCATCCTAGTCATATCAAATAGTTTGTTGACCACACATAATAAACTATGCAGATCTTAAATGCCAAAATGATAATCTTTGGTAGTATTGATCTGTCTAGTCATCATTTCCAACTGTAGTGAAGACTTTGTTGGACAATAGACATGGTTAAGTCATTGTCTTGATGACTAACTGTTATTTGCGGCTCTGCAAAATTATTTTAGTTTAGTCAGCTTAATGGACTGAAGTTGACTAACTAATTATAAGTGTGTACCCTTGAATGCATGGTGTACACACCATGCACTGTAGGTTGTTAGAGGACATTTTGAACTTGCGAACGTTTTTGGTGACCTGCTTAACATTATTGATGGCTTATTGTATGTCTCTCTTCTCAATGACAGGGGCACCATGCAGCTCTTTATTAGACCTCACAGTATTGGCTGTGAAAACAATAGACATAGAAATATAATAATAACTCTATCTCTAAAATTATGGAGCTGCATGTTATGGAGAACCAATGAAATTAGAGGTTTTTAAGAGCTGCATACTAACTGCACTGACATGGGTCTTTTCAAATAAAGGAGTGAAGATTTTAACACTTCATTTGTATAAGTGTTTCTGATGCAAGATTAATGAAGTTAAATGAAATTTAATACCGTTAACAACAAGGAGCACAGTCTCTTGTTGTCGGTCAGTGGGTCAGTGTGGTGGTGCAAGCGTAATCGGCCTTGTTGGCATTAACTCCATGTGTTTAGTACAATGCTTTCATGGCACTTTCTGGATTTGTTTAGCCTTTGGATTGTGCCTTCCCTCCCTTTATTTTTCACCGATATATCAGTGTGACAGGTGCCTGGTTTCATTGGCATGGGGGCTCACGGCTGGAAGGCGTGGGTTTACCAGCCATGGGGGCATAACTCTGTCTTGGAGGCTGGCTTTGCCTATAGTGGAAGGTCCTGGACATCCCGGGCACCCAGCTCCACTTAGCTATGCAGTTGTTGATTGAGTATTAAAATGGTCATTTTTCACTTTCAACAGCTTTGTTTACTTGCCAAATGTCTGAGGCCAGCCTTGCCATTCCTAGATACCGATATAACAGACATACATAAAGAGGTGTGTTTTATTCTAGCATGCTGATAAGCAGCATAAAAAAATAATCAAACCTCCACAAGTGAATGAACATGTACTAGTCAATTAATGCTCAACACCTCCTTAAAAGCTGAAAAGCTGTTTCTCATTCTTCAGAAAGCCCTCATAGACCTCCTTCCAAACAGGTATCTTATAGCAGAAATCTTCCTGATATTCCTTTTATCAGGCTTTAGTGTGCATTTCAGCTCTCCAGCAGGAAGCTCAACATTAATCTGGCACCCCTACTCAATAGACATTGCACAGGAGTTGCCTCCTGTGACACTGGCCTGTTCACTTGGTATTAATTTGAAATGAATTGAATTAATTTTACAAAAAATATTCCTCAACTCCATTGAACAATTTGTTGACAGTTTGGCACAGCTTTCAGAACCCATCAGGATCCCTTCATTGGTGATGATGTTTGCTGTTATTTGCAGCCTCGTATTAATTTTGTTGTAGAATTTCATTATTTGGTACGTTTGTCACCATACAGTGTACATCTTTTGTTTTTTCTTTAGGGTGGAAAATATGATGCCAAAGCACTGCTTGGATATTGTTATTATGGTGGAATGATCTACACTGCTCTAAAGAAGTTTGAGAAAGCATTGTACTTTTTTGAAGTGGTACGCGTGTTAGATCAGTAATACTATCTTGTATATGTACAGTAGGTCTTTTGTTTTCTTTGAGACAACCTAGTGAAAATCCTTTATTTCATACTCTGTAAGTATAGATTAAGAAACTGAGGAGTAATGTGCATTAGAACAACAGATATTTTTTTATTTATAGGCTGTGACATGCCCAGCTGTGGATGTGAGCCATATCATGTTGGAAGCTTACAAAAAGTTTATTCTAGTGTCTCTGATCCTTCATGGAAAGGTGAGACTTACTTCTATACCAATAAAGTGTCTTAAGGGTTGTACAAAGTATCTTTCCAGAAGTTAGCAATAATATTTTTACATAGAACAGATTACTCAGTTGGGCCCGATCTTCAAGCTGACTTCTTCAACTTGTATATTGTGTTAGGTTTTGATTATCATGGCTATCTCATGCTCATGCCTGTTTTCTGATTGAACAAGATCATGTCACCAGTCAGGTGTCAAAACATACTAACTTCTGTTAGGGCAAACAGCAAACAAAGATCACTAACCATGTCCCTAGGGGATTACACTGGATCATGTACCTTGAAACCATGGAAAATCTATGCCACTCATGCCAAACAAATTATTGTTATTTTTTTGCAGTCATGGCTGACCCACTAATCTTGTAGTTAAATGTAAAGAAGATCATTTTTTTAAAATAATTGTAAATTGAGTCAGAAGGTATAATAAAACTCACCTTGGGGGACAATGATTGTCTGGGGGAACAAACAAAACTCATTGTTTTCCCGTAGGCTAGACATCAATTTCTTATTGACTGATTCATTTTAATTTTGTGTATATTTTAACAATCATTTTACCTCAACAGATAATCGATCTTCCAAAATATACCTCACATGTCATCATGAGATTCCTGAAGGTAAGATTAGAAAGAAATAATTAATAACAGATAGTATTCACATGGATTATTGCATCCAAGAATTAAAGTTTCTAAGAAACCATGTTTTTAAAAGTTTATGTAAAAAAATTGTGTGGTGTTAGTAACAACTCCTGGAATAAAACGTGTCTCACAATGACTTGGGTTCATTGCAGCAAACATTGCACAAACTAGAATCAAGTTCTACTTCTTGCAACAACTGCAGTAATACTGGAACTAATTTTTCACTTGTTGTGACAAAAGTTACAAGAAATTTTATGCTAGGCAATGTCTTATGTAACATTTCTTGCAACAACAGACCCACAAGGCAAAAGCGACAAGTTGCCAAAAATTTCCCAAATGTAGTGCAACTGTTGCTTTCAAAGCCTTTATTTTATTGACATTGACTGTACAGAAAAAGCTAAGGCAAACTTGCTTTATTTTGTAAAGTTACTGTATGTGTAAAGCCTTACATCTGCCAAATGGTTGAAAATGCATTTGCAGCTTAACTGCCATCCAGAATTTTGTAATTTCTTAGATCTTGTTTTCATTTCAGCCTCTGAGTGGTGCATATCATGAACTTGCAGGAAGTTACACATCAAACAACCCCAATGAAGTGCGAGCAGTAGCCACTAAAAATGAGGAGACATTTAGAACTGTAAGTTGATGTGTAAGTTGATCCATTGATCTTTGAACGGTTCTGTCAATTTACTGAGATGTTTTTTTATTGACAGGACAACAATGTTGGCCTGGTCAAGCAAGTTGTCAGCTCACTATACAAGAAAAACATACTCAGACTTACAAAGGTACAGTACTTATATAGCCACTGTGTAGTCAAATTCTATTGCAAGTTATCTGATGGTCCTTAAAAATAATGTGAAAGAAATAATAATACTATTGATCCAATATCTTACCTATGGACAGTACAGTACTCACAGTATGTTGCAACACAATGCAATGAAATACTCCTTTTGACAAGGGTTGCAGATTTCAGTGTGAAACCTTCATTTTCAGAAACAAGATGCTCAAATTTGTAAACTGAAGCTGTATCTGTTTGTACACGTGACTTATCTATTTGTTTTCTTGTAGACATTTTTGACCCTGTCCTTAGCAGACATGGCTAACAGAGTACAACTAAGCAGCCCAAGAGAAGCTGAGCAGTACATATTAAACATGGTTTGTTGTGATAATGGAGTATAATACCGTTAAATCTGTTACTCCTGTTATTGCACCTACATAAAGTTGAGTAGTGGGTATAACAAGAACTGACTTAGCTGACAGGGATGTTCTGAAACTTAAGTGGAGGTGACAAATTCATAATTATATTGTTATGGTAACAGAGCTTCAACTCACTTATGGCCTTATGCCTGTGGACAAAATAATATCAAACAGGGCTGGGTTGTTTAAAGCTGGGTTAAGATAACCCAGGGTTAGTGCAAAATTTGAACTCAGATATGAGAGTAAATTTAGCTTGCGTAGCAAGCGTTTCCGTGCTGTTTCGGAGCAAAGGAACGAGATTCTCGGTTTTGGCCGCGCGAGAAATGAAACGAGAGGCAAAAAATGAAAGAGGGGGGAGGGGGAGGGGAAGGAAGGTCCCCACCCCCTCCCCGCTTACTCGCGCCATTTTTCGCGCGGTCCTTGCTCGGAAACAGCACGGAAACGCTTGCTACGCAGGCTAGAGAAAATTCAGTTTAATTCTCTTTGCCTACAATTTGATGATTGGATACTCTGAAAAGAATAGAGAAAATTATCCAAGAGAGTGCTTTTGATAAAAAGATAAAGAATCCCGCGTTAAAATTTAACCCTGGGTTAACGCTAACCGGTGTTCCAACAACTGGGCCCAGATTAATACCATAAAATTGGAATAGTACGGTATGCTTTTTCAAGTCAAAAAAATATGCATGAAATGCCTGACCACTTCTGATTACCAGTTCTCCACGCTTAAAGTCCTTCCTTACTTACTTTTTGTGTGAAAAGTGTGAAACTGTCATGCACTTTATAGTCCCATCACTTGATATATTGTATGTAAAAAAGCAAGTTTGAATACATATCAAATATGATATCTTAGGGTTTCTTGAGGTCTCTTGGCCACTTATTATATGCTACTTTTAATCTCATTTAACGTATGTGTGGTGTAAAGAAAAGATTGAGTTGAACTATTGCTCTCGTGGCGAGATTCTATTAAATAAAAAAGGAACGAGGCAATAAAACAAAAATGCTGTAGACCAGTTAAGTTATTTTAATAATAAGTATAATATGTGCATTGCCAGTTGAAGTCTTTTTGGTCTGTTTCTTATTTAATTTAGATAGAAGATGGAGATATTTATGCCAGCATTAATCAGCGCGATGGAATGGTTTCTTTTCACCAAAATCCTGAAAAATATAATAATCCAAAGATGTTAAAGAAGTTAGACAGGGAGGTATGTTAACCTCACGAAATAAGAAATATACCGGTAGGTTTAGGTTTATAGTCGTCTCATGGTTTGTTTACAACTGAAACTCTTGTTGGGGTATCCTGTCACATCGCCTGCAACTAATGACTTAAATAATTGACGCAGTCTACTTACCAAGGATGAGACAAAAACCCCGTGGCTTGACTCTCTTGGGGAAAGCAGATGATGGTACGCTAAAAAAAAACTGCCACAACTACCACACCAACAATAGAAAAGGAATGGAAGGAATAGCTTCCTACCGACGCCAACACGTGCATTAGATGCTTAATCGTCCCACAGCTGAATCTGAGGGCACTTACCATTGGTCAGAACGGTTATGCAGTCGAGGCCCGGGGGACGGGGGGTACCCAACAAATGTTTATACGGGGAAGCTCCGCCCCGAGGCCCAAACCCTTACCCTTTTATATACCATTTTTTACGAAAAAGGTACCCCTTTCGTATACCTTTATTGACAAATGGCACCCCTTTCACATACCTTCTTTAACACTTTGAATCCCTTTTAACTGCAGCTGTAAATGCACTGTCCTTTAAATAGGAATCATTCACAAAAATAGAATGGTTTCTCGACTTTATAAAGCCGTAAATTTCATCTGTTAGCCCTTTTGGGCCCTTTCACAAACCCAAATGACAGATTTCCCTCCCCTTTATAATTATACTTAATTAGTGAAATCCCTACCCCTTCATATGCCTGAAGCCTGAAAAAGATACCCCTTTCGGGCAGAGCCTCCCCGTATAGTCCATCATAGGGAGTACGCCCTTATGTTGAGGTGTGAGTAGCTCCACGTACTTGGCTTAAAGAACGAAGAATATTCACCCAAAATGTTTCCCTTGTTCTCGTGCAAACTATACTTGAAATGAACGAAATTTTTTGTGCGATTTCACTGCTTGAGTTTGTATCGAAACGCCCGGTTTCCGTCAGAACTGGGCGGCGAGATCAATACAGGTTAAAGAGAATTCCACTTGTCTATTAATCATAGCTGGCCATCCAGATCAATCGTAAGCAATAATTATAATGTCATTCATATTCTTGAAGTGGATCACCACACTTACCTTACTGACAGAGCATTAATAGTTTTCTTTTTTTGTTGTTATTGTTAGATGCGACTATTTCAGCATCTCGATGAAAAGCTGCAACATATGGACCGTGAACTTGCCACCAATCTTCAATACGTACAAAAGGTAAGTTACTATAATACTGATAGTAATAGTCGCTCCCCTGGATTACAAGATGAGTTAAGCGTCAAATGCGTAAATGGTACCCTCTTCTTAAAAAAGCAAGGCGCACGGGTGACAAAGACTCACCAGCGTGGCTTGAATATCGCTGCCAAAGAAACAAAGTGGTGAAATTACTTAAGACCACCCACAATGACTATCTTAATAATGTGATTGGGGGAAGCCTACAGGAAAATACCAAATGATTTTGGAGCTATATCAAGCGCTTGTGGTCTGAGAACTTTGGCATACCTATATTGCGCCAAGGACGCTCAATATTTATCTCTGACAAAGATAATGCAGAAGCCTTAAGAGACTATTTTCAAAGTGTGTTCACCAAAGACAACGGCTTGCTTCCTGCCTTCTCCCCATCCACTCTTGCTTATATTAATAACATACGGGACATTGTGTTTTCCCCCAATGGTGTTCTCAAACAACTTGCCTCATTAAATCCATCGAAGTCAGCTGGCCTAGATGGTATCTCACCACGCTGCCTACGTGACCTATCCGCTGAGATTTCAAGCATTTTGACATTCATTTTCTAACAAGGCTATGACACAGGCACCTTACCAAACGACTGGTTTTAACAGCTATGGTTGTTCCTGTCCACAAGAAATTAAGCAAGGAAAACCCAGCTAATTATCGACGCATATCCCTTACGTGCCTCTGCAGTAAGGTGATGGAACATATTGTGCTTAGCAACCTGAATAAACATCTGTCTGAAAATAATATCTTTGTCTCATCTGCAATCTGGCTTCCGGGCCAACACCTTAAATCAGCATTGCGAAGTTGATGCCCTTCTGCTGGATTTCTCGAAGGCTTTCGACAAAGTCTCCCATACTAAATTACTACACAAGTTAGCCCACTGCGGCATTAATGGAAAGACGCAAGTTTCAAGTTTAAGTTTCAAGTTTATTAAGAAAAATTGAGAAAATACAAAATATGATGTACCACTGCTCGCAGTTAGCTATAGCTATTCGAGGCGAGCAGTGGCTTGACACTAAGTAGAATAATTACAATAACAATCAATTAAAATACTAAGTAGAATTAATTATTATCGTACAATACATTAAAATAAGCTGAATACTAAATACAAAGTGAATAATTACAATTACAATACAATTACAATACTAAATAGAATTAATTATTATCGCACAATACATTAAAATAAGCTGAATACTAAATACAAAGTGAATAATTACAATTACAATACAATACAATTACAATACTAAGTAAAATTAATTATTATCGTACAATACATCAAAATAAGGTGAATACTGAATACTGACTAGTATTAATAACATTTGGGAAAAAAACGAAGATTCTCAGGAGAAATAAGGCAGATTACATGGGAAGCTGGAAGGATAATGTAGATAGAAAGCTAATAGAATGAACTGAGTTTAGTTTTCAAGACATATTCAAATCCAATAGATCAATATACTCATTCGCCTCCGAGAGTTTCTAAAGGAGCATAATTATTGTGAATGTTGCGTTTAAATTTCACTTTAGGCATTTGACGAATTTCATTAGATAGGTTATTCCAGACTCTAACACCGTTTCTTGAAAGAGACATGTTTAGCTTGTCTAATCTAGAGTATTCGAGAAAGAAGTTGCCTCTTGTTGATGATCTTGTGTTATGTGAATGAATATTATGTTGGTAATTAAATGAATTACTTATTTGAGGTGGCGATGTGTTATTTGAGACGTCATACATTAAGACGGCAACTGACTTGAAGTAAAGAAGGTCTAGAGGTAGTAGACTGGATGAAATGAAGAAGGGTACTGCGTGAGCTTTATAATCACCAAAAAACATGAGGCGAAGGGCACGTTTCTGAAGACATAGGATTTTGTTTCTGTGGATTTTGTCTGCTCGGCCTCACGCTGTTATGCCATATAACAAATAGGGTTGAATCAGCGATCTGTATATATGTTGTAAAGTATTAAGTGGTACGAAATGTCTTAGCCTAGCAATAATGCCAATCGATGTGCTTATTTTAGAGGCTATATGTAAAATATGATGTTTCCAAGAGAGGTTCTCATCAATAAGCACGCCTAGATATTTAACATAACTTTTACGTTCCAAAGATGTGTAAGAGTTGGTATGATGGTTGAATATTTTTAAATTAACTTCGTATTTGACATTTTTTTTGTCTTGGTCGAAAAATAACGTAATTAGATTTTTTAATGTTTAGAGATAATTTGTTTGCTATTAGCGAGTCGTAAAGCTTACAGAGCTCATCGTTTACCGTAGATTCCAGGGATTTTAGGTTTTTATCTGAATATAAAAGATTCGTATCATCTGCGAATAGGTAAAACTTCATTCGGTTACAACTGTTACAAATATCATTTATATAAACGCTTGCTTGGATTGCTGCTTTTCTCCTTAATCGTACCCAATTTGTGGTCGTAAACGGCACTCATTCAACCACTACTCCTGTTACCTCTTGTGTTCCACAGGGCTTCGTTTTGGGTCCGACTCTCTTCTTATTGTTCATAAATGATATCACCCAAGTAACAAATTCACAATTACGTCTTTTCGCTGATGACACTTTGCTTTACAGGACCATTAATTCCCTACATGACCATCAAGTGCTCCGGGAAGATTTACTTAACGTAACTAAATGGGCTTCTGATTGGCAGATGGACTTTAAGCGCCTTGAACATAGGATAAGAGCGCTATAGAAATAAAGTTATTATTATTATTAAGTGCCATATACTTTGTATTACAAAGAAACGGAAACCCTCCAACTTCATATTATACTGCAAGTTCTGATGCATTAACAAAAGTCCCTGAATGCGACTATCTGGGAGTTACGTGCACCGAAACCCGTCGCTGGGATGCTCACTCACTGCTCTAAAACAGCTGCAAAGGCAAATAAGTCCCTTGGTCTTATTAGAAGATCACTGAAACCATGCAGCGCAGAGGTTAAAGAGAGAGCTTGTATATAGCACTAACGCTAGTGGGGCCGAGCAAATGCTTGAAACAAATAATTCAAACTGCACTTAACAGGGTTAAGAATCCCAACTGGCCTAGGGAGGCAAACCAGCTGACTACTTACAAACATGGCCAAGGATTTGAACTCGGGACTACTGTGAACAAATCCAGCTCGCGGTCAGAGCAGGACTTGAACTCGGGACCTCTGGGTTACAAGTCCAGCGCTCTAACCACTTGGCCACGCTACCTCCTATAATAACTAAAAAGCTCACTTGCTGAAAATGTTGATTTGTTTCTTAATTAATAAATTTAAGTAGTTATTTAAAAGTAATTTAGGTATTATTTCTGTTTTTGCAGACTATGGGAGCTAACGCCGAGGAAGATGCTGGGATTGGGCGGATGAGAGATGAAGTGTTGATGTAAAAAAGTTCGAAAAGCCTGCACGACATGTGGAAATTCAACTTTGCTTTAGACTGTTCACAGTCCCCTATTTTTACGTGAGATCGTTGAGATATACCGCGTCTTACCGTCACGGCTATCTTGATTTTCAAATGTACCGAGGGGACGGGCGTCGGGGATTATAGCTCGGGGGGCTCGTAAAGCTCTCGATCTCGATGATCTTACGGAAAAAAAGAGGACTGTGAACAGTGTAACTTTGCTCCTACGAATAGGGCTTTAAATTATCAGTTCTTTAACGTTGAGAAAAAAGGCGACAAAAGGAAGAAACAAATGTTCAAGCTGTTTGGTGAAACCCATGTACAGTAACTCCGACACCAAACAGTTTCTGTCAATGTCACAACAAACATTGTTTGAAGAGTTTTAGTGAAGACTGTAAAAAGGTTCAAAATGCTAGAATTAAAATTGACGTATGTTGTGAGATGTTTTGTGTTACGTTTTTAGAAAAAACTTATCAAATCCCGATTGATAAACATATACCCAGTAATAGTCCCAAATTTATACGTTCTTATAATAAAGATGGCGGGCAGCGCGACAATCGGTTCGTAACTTTTTGGCTGATGCTGTTGGTAATGGTAGTGGAGTGGGGGAGAGGTGTTTACCTGCCCTATGATTCCGCTTTCAGCATTGTAAACTTCAAATTTCTTTCCTTCTACAAAGCAAAACAACTTTGGAATCGCACAAGTTCATCTCAAAAAAGAAAAAATGTGCAGACTTGTAATGTATTTAACTAACGACGAGGATCATTTCAAATGTAAAAGATCAGACTCAGTTTTGCACAGATAATTAGTTTTAATGTTCTTTGTATTTGACAATAAATACTTAGATTTGATAATAATACAATTAATATATGAACTGCAATATTGATAACTTATAATGATACATTTAAGGTATAAGCTTGATTCCCACATGATCTGGAACACGATCAGCAACTGGTCTGCATCAGATACCAGCATCGCATATTTAGCACCATTTTCACAACAACAAAGAGTCGAACAAGCATTACACATCTGCATGGAAAAATTTGTCTGGGGTCTATTAGGGATCAACTGAATAAGCCTCATGCAGACAGCATCTGAGGATGTCACAAACCAAATACAGATAATGTGGGAAACAGCCTTATTAATGAATACATCTATCTGTAAACTGACACATTGCATCTAAATTCTGTCCTTCAGTTAAATAGAACTCTGTAGTGTTATGAGTGATATACAGGGTTCGTACCCTTTTTTGAACAAAAACTTCAAGGACTTTACAAGGACTTTCAAGGACACATTTCGCATTTTTCAAGGACTCCATTCAGTGCAAAAAAGAGATTTGAGTCTATGTCTTTTTTAGTTCTACCACAACATGAGCAATTTTATCCTGAAGGTCTTTCATATTAGGTACTTGAGAATCTGGGTTGGATAAAGTTAGCACCGAAATTCAAGGACTTTCCAGCACCGACTACAATTTTCAAGGACTTTCAAGGCCTTGAACTTTTTATTTCAAATTTCAAGGACTTTCAAGGACTTTCAAGGTGCGTGCGAACCCTGGATATAATATCTAACCCTAACCCAGGATGATGGTATAACTGTCGATAGTTATAATTTATAGCCTACATGCAAATGTCTCCCATTTCCTTTGCTTTAAGGCAGAAAAGGACATTTGCACACGGGTTACCCAGTCATTTCAATATCATACACGTTATATTATCATTCCAATGGCAATTTTAACCTCATAATTCATTTAAAGTATTATTGAACATTTAGTTAAATAATTTCAATGCATCATTATTGTACTACTTAAAAGCACAAATATTTTTGCTTGAATTGTTGTGTAATGTAAAATAAGATATAAATGTGACTTATGGAAGTGGAAAACACATTTGCAAAACTTTTTTTCTTGATGTCCAAGAAACTATTTAACGTGTTGTCCCATTGCTGTATGGTGCAGCTTACAGTCATACATGTAAGTTGACCAGTTACTTCTAAATCTGAATTTATAATTTTATCATAGCCCAAGTCTAACATTAATTTCTGTACATAATTTAATTGTTATAAACAGGGTTCATACAAAAAATTGCAACCATTTTTCAAGGACTTTTCAAGGACTTTTCAAGGACCACATTAGATTTTCAAGGACAACCTACTAGGAATATAATTTCACAGATTGTACAAAAATGCATATTCCCAGTATATTCTAATAAGACTTTAAGGCTTTAACTGTTTGCTTCACCAAATTCTCTACATTTTTCAGTTCACTTGTCTTAAACTGATAGTTAATTATTGCATAAAACATGGAGCACTTTATGTAAATGACCTTTACATTCACTGAGCTACGATTTATATTCTGTCTTGGACAACCAAAAAGCATCAAAAAATTCTTTCCAGGCTACTGCATTCAAAGTTGAAGAAAATTCAAGCTCTTTTCAAGGACTTGCACAGAAATTTAAGGACTTTTCAAGGAAAAATGGAATTCAAGGACTTTTCAAGGACTTCCCCTAAAATTCAAGGACTTTTCAAGACTGTGCGAACCCTGTATAAATACAGATAGTTGTTCTTAACAATAAACAACTTGCTGTCCATAATAAGTTAACTGTTTTAAGTTTCTTTCACTTATGAAAACTACCTGACTAGTAAATATTATACTTTGACATTCATATTATCAAGAGAGGAAAATATATTTGATATTGATTAAATGTGTGTATCTACCCACTTATTAAAATAATATTATCACTGATTATATTAAGATGAAACTACCCCTCTTGTGGGGAATTATCTTTCAATTCATCATTCATTAGGAAAGATTCTGTTGGATTTGGTAAAAAACCAACTTGTTGGTAATGGTCACTTGTAAACACTGTCTGCTTAGCATTAAAGCTCGGTTCACCACTCATCGGCTTTGTGACACTTATGGATTCCTTAACAGTTTGTTGTCCTTCATTGTGAAGACTTAACTTTTCCACCAGTTGTTGACAGTCATTAGCTCTAGATGACATTAGATGGCTTTTGCCATCAGCTGATTCAGACTTGCCATTGCAGTCATGCTGTGTGATATGAACATCATCAGCAGACAAAGTAGAGTTGCTTGATAACTGCTCTGTAGGTACACTAGCATTGGGATTTAGAGGTGAGCAACACTGTGTTATGCTTTCTTCTGCCTCTAAAGTTGAAGTTGAACCCAATGTAGTAGATTTATCATTTAAGGTACCAGGGCTTTTGATGGAATCATGATCATCAAGATAACTTTCAGTCACTTCATTTCTAGCTGTATTTGCATTCTCCAAAACAAAACTGTTGGTAGCAACACTTGGATCTTTCTGCTCCTCTCCACTGTCTTCAGAAGGAAGGCAGGTGATGTCATTTGAGACTGGTACAGCATTCCCCACAGGGTAGTATAACCAGTTAAATGGCAGTTCTTTGTCCAAAATCTCAGATTCCACTGGATCAATGATTACACTGTTGCTTGCTAGGCTAGGAGCACCTTCAATACCAGAGTCATCATCACTCTCAGAAGGACCAAACAAGTTTAAGCTGTGATATCTACGAGAAGCCAGACCATCTTCACTTGCAGGCTCATCATCTAACATGTGATCTGGACTGGTGCTGGCTCGTAACTTAGTGGGATGGGATCTAAGTTTCATCCGTTCTTTTTTTGTTATAGGCTTCTTGTCAAGAATCAGCTCTTTACCTTTGAAGAAGGACAGTACTATCATCCTGTAAGGTTTTGCTCGTGCAAACGGGTTTCCAGCAATACACAAGTACTTCAAATGGGAGTTCAAACACAGCTTGGAAACTTCATGGATGGTGTATATCTGATTGTACTCAATGTTTAGTTCAATCAGCCCTGTCAAAGAGTCTAATCCACTAACAGTCTCAAGGTTATTATGACTAACAACAAGAGACTTCAAATAAGCCAGCCCTCCAGGCATGCCTGTAATGAAGTGGATGTTGTTATGAGACAGGTTCAAGTACATAAGGCTTGGACAGCACAGTTGTTGTAGATCCAAGTGAACAAATTCGTTATAGCTCAAATCAAGATTTTGTAGAACTGGCAAGAGTTTAAGAGATGTGTCAAATGCCACTAGTTTGTTATGTGTTAATATAAGATGTGTTAGCTGATGCCATGGTTGGACAACAACACGATTCTGCATCAGTTTTGCTGTGGTAGCACCTCTCCAAGACTCCACAGGACCCTTAACTTTTGGCGCCGAACGTTTCTCGGCGGCACAATCAACAAGCAGCTCCTTCATGTTTGTCAGACAGTAACGTGCTGTTAGACTTGTTATCTGGGACTGGACTTTTGACAGGTTATTGATCAGTGTCAAAGGGCAGCCATCAATGATTAAACAACTGAGGGACTTGAACAAGGAGATGTCAAACTCCAAGTGACTGGAAAGCTCCTGTGAAGTTGTAGACTTGTTTACAATGCTGCTAACACAAAGTGATTGCAGCTGATAAACGAAATCATACAGATTCCCCAGATCTGCTGCATCCGTTTGATCCATCGGACTGCCTGGCTCTGGTAACTGCAACTGGCGCGTTACACAATACAACTGAGTAGGAGAGAAAGTAAAACTTTCACCTTTCGCCAAAACTTCCCTTCCTTTCTGAAACAAATCTCTTGCCAGTGATTTTGTCACTGCCATCACATCATGCCGTTGTACTTCAAGAAACTCGAGGATTTCTGGCGAAGTCGACACGTAAGTACTGCTGTTTACCAGTCGCTGCAGGTAGTGTTCCAGCGCCGCTTTTCGTTTCTCAAGATGACACAGCGCCATGTTGGAAGTCAGTTTCTTTGGTGGCAGCATATCTTTAGGGATACCATACAAAGCCACGAGGTTTTTATGGAGCTCGTAAAATTCACGGTACCTTCGAAATATGAACCAGTGGTTCGACTTGGTCATGACATCAATTTTGTACAAGGCGTGCGGTGAAGGGTTAGTTCTTTGCCATACCTCTCTTATGACGACATGCTTGATTGAAGGCGATAAGCGGCCTTCGCTCTCTGAGGACAGTCGTCCACGGTCTTTTCTCCATAAAGCACTCCCCGCAGGTGGAAGGAAGCCTTTTAGTGAAGTCATTTAAAAAGAAAAATCGGCCTTAGTTCCTTTGTTTTCACTTTCACGGTGCAGGCCATTTTATTTTCACAAGATGTTTATTGCTAAGAGGTCCCAGGAATCCTTGCGATATCCTATGACGGTTACTAGTACCCAGGTTCTTTGCGGCTGAAACAGTGAAGGCACATTTAGCTACATTTTCACGCAATAAATCAAAACATGAGCTTTATTTTGCAGTAAAGCCTCTTCCTCCACGACTCATGACATCATTTCTATGCCGGCAGGAGCTAGGAGGCGATGGACATAGGGGGGATCCTGGAAAAATTGTGCAGTGTGCTTCTTGGAAGCCTTACTCTTTTTCCCGGGGTTGGGGGGATCTTGGTGGGAGTGAACCGCCCCGTACTCCAATGCCTGCGTAGCAGGCGCTTGGAAGTAGTGGGCGAAAAAGAAAACGGGCGCGCGCGAGGGAGACACGCGAGGGGTCCCTCTCCCCTCGCGTCAACCTCGTTCCAAGGGTTCTCTCCTACCCGCCCTACGGGTAGGACAGAAGTTTCCAGCTGCACCCAGCCCCCCCCCGGGCTGACCCCCGGGCATTAGCCACTTTTTTGGCCTGGAATGGCAAATTCCCGGCGGGGGGGTCTCTTGAGCTGTCAAATCCCCCGGGGTGGGGACGAAAAAAGAGGGCAAATGCCCCGTCCTTCATAAACACTGCACATTTTTCACTGATCACACAGTCCAATAGTGCCATTTTAGGCATTTTAATGTGCGATTTTTTGTTTCAATTGACGTCTTTCTTTTGTAATAGCGCTAGGATTCTAATTAAGACTTCACGCCTCGACGACACCAGTGTTATGGTTTTAGTACTGTTATAAAATTATTGACATGAAAATTAATAGAGCGCTATAAAGTTATATGTTATGTCCAATCGGTTTTATACTGTAAATATGAAAGGATGTTTTTCAAATAGATGAAACTCAACAGAAATTTAATTCAATTTAACTAGAGAACTTTGATTCACGTCGATAGCTCCCGATTTTGCTATGTAATTCTGTAATAGAACACTAAAAGAAAAATTCTTAAAATCCATTTCGAATTCGCATGTTACTCATTTTTCTTATTCATTTGGAATATGAAACGAAGGGTACGTTCATGCACTCCAGTAGTTCCCTCGAAAACCATACCAGATTCCAGACCAAAATGGGCAAAGTCCATACCTGTTTTCAGACTAAAACGGTGTAAAAACCATACCCTTTGAGACGGGACATAACTATGTGGCTTATATAAAGGGGTAGCCTCCGTGCTCTTTTTCAGACCCTAGTATATGATTTCCCAGCTTCTTTCGAATTTGAAACGCTGCTCTCAAGAAAAAGATGTTAAAAATTGTCAGTGAGTCCTACTCCTTTAATACCCTAGACTATGTGCCCCATACACTTTTTTCAAAACTTCCTAATTTTCAAATCATAATATAATTTCATAGAAAAAAAGCCTCTAAGGATATTGACTTCCATGTGGCAATGGCACAAAGCAATAGCCTATTAAGTAAGTACTCTTTGAATAAAAGTGACAGAAAAATAAGAAAGCCACCATTATTTATCAGCGTTTATTTAAAACAAAATGACTCTTCCGTTTTTACATTCAAAATATACTTTGTACAAGCTAGACTTTACTAAATTATGGTACTACCGAAGAATGAGCACTGCAAATGATATCAGAATCTTCAAATAGAGGGGGAAAGTACAGAAACTTTTTCAGTATGTACATGGTATCATTCATGCAAGTACACTGTCTCAATTTCTATAAAAATAATATTGTCAAGGTGGTAGAGGTATTCCCCTAGGATCAGCTAAGGTGGGATCTTGTAAATTCTTCATTAACTGGCTCAGCCATCTCTTTGTGGAAGCATCATCCTTCAAACAGTTTGAAAATGTTCCATCCTTAAGTTGGTCAGGAAGGCACTGTCGAAGAGCCTCACGGGCCCTAGTTAGTAGACAAAAGAAAAGCAACTTCAGTTTACCATCACGTTTAAAATACAATTTAGCAGCACAAACTGCAACAAAATGCAATAGTTACAGTGACTTAACAATCCTCATTATTATAAAAGTCATTTAATCAAGTTAACAGGGAGGGTGGGGCCAAGGGAACTGGGCTGCTAAAACACTCCCCCTCCTCCCTAACCACCACCACTTTCTATAAGAATGACAGGGAATGAAGGAGTAAGAAAGGAAGGGGAGGATTGTCCCCCACCACCACCACCACACTTCAAAAACATTTCACCCTACCCTTGAGTAACATTCCTTTGTCATCATTACTTAATTACCTTTTTTTGGCAGGGGTGGTTCAGTAGGTAGGTAGTTTAACATTCATACAAATCTAACATAACATACAAATACAGGACTAAAAAGAGGGCTACCATTTACCTATCAAAGTAGCTTTCATGGAAACTCAGTCTTCTATTCTTATTTTTTTATATATCTACCGTGCACAACAATGCATAGATAATTACCAATAATTGACAGGTACATGTAAGCAAGAAACACTGACCACTGTGCAAATTACAGAAAATACTGTCTATTTTGTTAGTAAAAATTCCACTCATATCTCTAGAAATAACGTTTTTCCCAACATTTTTCAAATTAATCAACATTTAACATTACTAATTCGTAAGCAAATGGCTGAATAGGTCATTAGCTAATCTCAGTGTTCAGCTGATATGTTAATCAACACACCTGGGATTGTCAGAGAGACGAAGGTAACATCTTACGACATGTTTCAGCAGTCTTGCTGACTGGTCTTTTGCTAGAGCAAGAACCATCTTCCCCTAAACAGAGAAGGATACAGAAAGTCCACTATGTCAGGCATTACAATAAAAGGAATAAGATTACTGAATTTATGTAATCACTCACGTAGTCTTGCAATTATTTATACTGAGTGAGAAGGTGTTCAACAATACAGCTAAGATCACTCTTTGTCTGTTTAAGCTTAACCAAAGTTTTAGTTGAATATGATCGGAAACTTAAGCAATGAGAATGTTGACGTCCCAGAGGTCAAAAATTAGCAACCAGAAGTTGATCTTTTCTCTCTTTCAGTGCTCTTAGTCAGCAAATTTGTACAGTGGGAGTTAAAACAAAGGCATTCAGATTCATTGTGTGAGACAGAAGTGTTTCATCAAGTGAGACATCAAACTTCTGGTTGGTATTCATGACGTCTGGGACATCAGTGATCTCATTGCTTAAGCTCGCTATTATTTTGGAACCAGTCACCCTGGGCAAAAAAACTGCTCTTAGTCCAGTGACACAATCTAAAAGAGGTTTTAGACATCTCCAAAACTTTGCTCATTCCTTCTAAGATAATTATCTAATTCACAACTCGACTATTCTGATTTCTTTGTGTACAAAACCATTAGCCAATAAGCAGTCAATTTACTCTTTACAGTCAACTCCTTTTATAGCGGACACTATACAGACCTTTAGTTTTTGGCCATAATAGCCGGAGCTTACATCAGTCATTCAACAAACATCTATAATTTATTTTTGCCTGGGATTTAGCTGCCGTTTGTATTATCAGGGTGTTCGATATAGCGGGGCGTCTGCAAGGCAAGAGTTGACTGTATTTTTAATTCCACTAATTTATCTTACCAGAATCATAGCTACATGAGAAAATCTTTCATATGTTTGACATATATAAGACAGCCCAGTCTCATCCAGCAGAATTTTTTGTAAGATAAATGTGGCTACCTGAAGCAAGAAAAAAAGCACTGCTTAATAATGAGAAGCTGTCAGTGATATTTTAATTCGTCATTACGGACAGTACTTCTATCAGCCTGATAAGTTTCACCTGGACTAACCCCCTTCCCACTCCTCCCCTCCCTCACACAATGGCAAAAAAAGCCACATACAGATACTAATTTTGATAATTATTTCAAACAGTTTTACCCAGTGCACACTCATCTACATGTTGTTTTACAGTTTCTGTCTCCAAATTTCGTTTTTAAAGTGTTTAACCAATTATTGCACAAAATTATGTGAGTAGTTGTGTGTTTCTGTTTTTAATAAAAATTACAAAGATATGACAATACAATACAAAAGACTGATTATTCAGGAGACTGTTTTTTGTGTTAATGAGTAGCTGGTGTCTGATTATCAACATTCTGCCTCTTCAAACAGGATGTGACTGGACCTAAAGGGTCAAATACAACTGTAACACTAAGATCTCTAAATGCAACTTACGGTTTTTGAGAGCTCACTTCCAGATTCCATAATTCTCAAGCAAAGAGGGATAATTTCTGTTGTGAGGAGGAAATTGATAACCTCTGCTTCATCAGTCTGGAAAAAGCAAAACATTTGAAAATACTACCAATGAGAAACCACTGATCAGCAAAATGATTCTTCCTTGTTGTCGAATATGATGAAGTGACTTACTTTGACTAATGCTCCTACAACCCCCAGACTGGTCAGTCGTAAATATTCAAATGGTCTTGTTTTACTTGTTGTATGAAGAAATGGATACAGGAAAAGAGGGATGTGTGCTGGAGGAATAAAACAAATAATTAATAGAAGGTTAACAAGGATGTGAAGTTAACTAGTGCAGGTAGCAATAACTTCAACATTGATTGGTCTTTAACTTGACTTTCAATTGGAATGTTAGCAGGTTAATTACTGTCCCTGAATGAATGAGTACTGCATGGCACCTAAATAAGCACAATATTGAGGAGCAAAAATATCAAAGGGCACTGCACCCTCCAAGCAACAATGCAGAGCTTATTGATTTGTAATGTTGTTACCAATTTGGATCTAGAAGGGATACAGGCCTAAAAACTATATTCTCCCTAGGGCTAGTTTGTCATTTTTTGAAAGAAAGAGAGAGAGAGAAAGAGAAAGATCGTGTACCAACTATTTTGCAAATACATGTAGGAAGTTTTATACTACAGTACCATGTACTCTGTAACTATCCCCTTGAATAAGCAATTATGCTCTTTTGAGTAAATATAGTATTGACACAAGAAAATTTTCAATAACAGCTATTTTTTACATTTTTGTTCTGTAAATTGTTAACTACCGGTTGTACTATAATAATAATTTATTCTCCTATGATGGATAAAAATTCTCTTCATTTGGGGAGCATAATTGGTACATATCAGTATTGACCAGTAGTCAATTCTCCTTTTTTTACACTCCATAGCTATGCAGTAAAAAATAAAACACAATCTGATGATACTGTATGATGTAGCCCACAATTACCTTGTAAGAATGCAGATCTAGTTTCAGGATGGGAAGCCACACACTGTAGTAAGGCTAGTGCATTACAAACACGATTGGATTGGTGAGCCTGCAAGTTGCAAACACACTTCACTTACTTAGCACTACATAAAATTATAGATACTGCTAAATATAATAATGTACATGTATGTTAGTCCATGAAAATAACAAAACTAAAAAATCAGGTGGGAAAGGTCAGTCAGATATCGCAAAAAGACTTACATGTATTTAACCGTTACTAGGGGATTTTAATACAGGAACAGAATAGGTGATAAATTGTTTTATGGAAACTACAGATAAGGCATTACAAGTAACCATGATTTACTGTCCATATTATAGTACATATACGTCTAAATAACTTGTAACTTACTGTAAGATTTGGAGGGTTGATCACTGGATAAATATTCACTATTTCTTGTAATAATGCCGCGATGGTTCCTACAAGGGAAAATTCCACACAAAATCATAATCAGGATGACCATAATACATGGAAATAGGAAGTATGGCACCTCAGACAAAGGGCCTATCTCACACACTGAGTTGAAATGATGAATGATTATACATTAATAAAACTTAACAAACAATTATCTATTATTATTAATTTAATGAGTGATAGACAAATATTAAAGACTACAAATCTTATCTAGTTACACATGTAAACAGTGTGGTTTGAGAACGCTAGATAAGATAGACAATAAAATTATTAACATGGAAGTCCTCTACTAACCAATAACTTACTTTACACCAGCAGGAAGCAACAGACTGAACAACTAATTAATTATCTTAAGTACTAAACACCTTTTCTGTAGAACTTTCTTACCGAATGAATGCCAAAGCATGGGTGCCAGGTCAGGGACTACTTCTCGCTTTTTGCTACAAGAATAGAAAAGGAAGAGTTCAACAATGCACATAACATCTTAAGAAGTACATCAAAGTTTTAAAAAAATGACAACAATCATTGATATACATTCTAAGTTCTAAACAGGGAGATATCCTGACAGGAAATTAACAGGGAGACTTGCTGCCTCAAGTATTTTTCTTTGAAATTAATGCTGTATTTATGACCTGTGTTACAAAGTACCTGAGTTCTAGAAGAGCATGTTCTCTTGTATCTGGACTGGAAAGCTCAAGAACCCAGGTATAAATCTTCTCTCTTTCCATCTCAGATAACCCTGATGACTGTGAGGGATGAGTATGAGGAAACCCCCTCTGTAATCAAAAGTAACAAAATAATAATATTAAAGTTCATTAATTATTATTACTACATGTACGAATGGGAAATGGTGAACTCTGATACCTGCAGAGATATTGAAATCCTGACACTTTTGAAAGGTCAGTTAACCTTTTAAGCCCATTAATAGTTATTATTAACAAACTTCGCCTCCTATCATCAATGCTTAATCAATCAGGAAGGTCATGAGCAATAAGGATATGATCGCTCAGGATTTCCGTTGCCTGCTCAGCCACCATTGCCCTGTAGGCTCAGTTGGTAGAGTGCCAGTCTGCCAAGTAAGAGGTTGTGGGTTCTTCCCCCGACCTGACCAACAACCAGGGTCTTTAAAAAACTGGTGAGATCATGCTAACAGTGACTTGTGACTTAAGATCTTGCCTCAGTTCAGATGACTGCATCATTGGGTAGTCACATTAAACCATTGGCCTTCTCTCCTTCATCCTTCCTTCATTGTTTAAATTCAAAGGGGACATAAAAGACCTCACACTACTGTTCAAAAAGAGCAAGGGAAGTTTGGGATATTTGGATTTTTTCTAACCTGGTTTGAACAAAGCTACAGCTAAACAAGGAAAAGGAAGGAAAGAGATGAAAAGGTGGGAAATGAACAAATAATTATATAAAGCTTAAAATTTACAAGTGAAAATTCAATAGCAATTTTACTTTAATATACTACAGATCCTTTTAACGATTTCTGCAGGTGGGTTTACTTTCATTATAAGTTCACATAAAGCTATTATAGGTTCAATTTATCACTTGTTCTAATAAAACTTAAGCAACTTTCGCTTCATTCTAATAGAACACAATAAACTGCGTAAACTTGCCTTTATTATTGCTGCGCTTTCAAAATATGGCAAGAATTTAACGCACACGGTAAATCATTGCCAGCTTGAAATCGCTAAAAAAGCAGATACGTCTTACATACAGGAACTATGATGGCACATACTAACCTGCTGTCCTAGTTGATGCATCATATTTCTTTCTCAACTTCCCCAACGGCGAACACACCTTCTTTCACTTTCTTGCTTTCTTTCACAAAAAAACAGTAAACATGGCGGACAACTGAGCCCGCAGTTTTATGGTCAGCAAAAACTTCCGGAATACCTAAGGTACTGGGCACTAGTTCGCCACGAAGACAACAAAATCACGGTTTTATAAGAGATGGGGTGAAATTTCTTAATTTGGGGTTATTTTCCTCCGCTAAATTGCCCATTATACGATGCAGGGGATATGGAGCTTGATAGGAAAGATTGGAACTGGTGCTGCACAAAATTTTCCTTATGAAGTCGGTGATAAAGTGGGAAATCTAGAGGACAAATCCGTGTGGGCACTGCATGAAGGAAAAAAGAAAGTAAGCTGTGGTTTAGATGACCGGAAATTATTTAACAGAAGAATGAGCATTAACTTACAATACCTTGTTGGTTGTTTTTAAGGGCACTGGAGAGATCGTGTCAGTGTTCGTACATGATGTAAAGTCATCTTCAGAAGATAAGGTAATAATCAACGGGGACAGGCATTTGGGGTAGACGGAGGATAGAATTTAATCATAGAATTGTGACTTTTGTGTCAGCATTACTTTCCTATTCATATAAAAGACATGTCATGGGAGATTGCATACTGAACAAGATAAATTTTCCTATAAAAAACAAATGTTGCTTTGCCCAAGCATAGGTTACCCATATCAGCCTCCCAGAAACCAGTGTTAGGATTGAAGTGAGTGATCTACACCGTAGATCCTCCTCTGTTTGCCTGTACGTTTTTATTACTAACTAGCCCATGTTTTTTTGCTTCAATCAATGACAAAATTGTTGAGACACTCTTCTCAAATGGGGTGACTTCTGAGAACGAAACAATCCACACACCTCCCCCCTCCTTTAATTCCATTCAAAGTTGGCACGAGTATGGTTCCCAAGTGACATACAGGTACATGTTGTTTGAACAGCAGCTCAGCATTGCATGGAGGGAGTGGGGAAGGGAAAGCTTAATTTTCCCCTTTCTAATGCTGCATAACATCAACTAATTTCGTCACCCGATTGTGTGGGTCCAGAAAATATCCAGACCCCCCCCCCTCTTGGAAATTCGAGGGGGTAGGGGGGTCAGAGGCCCAGGAAATTCCAGAGGGGAGGGGAGTTGGACAATTTAATCACTTTCCAGAGGATTAATATCATTTCGTTTTTGCTTCTTACCAACCTGGTAGATCATTCTTAGGACATAAATAACTTGAAATATATCATTTAAGATTGTTCCTTTTGATCTTAATCAGGTTTTCTTTCTTCCAAAAGCATTTTGGATGCAATTTTCAAAGGAATTTGACCAACTACAACTCATTTTATTGCATGCTCATACATTTGGCCACCATTACTCGTTACCAGTCTCCCGAACTGAGCTGAAGCCCAAGGGTCAATTTAATTTACCAGTGCATCCTTTCTGTCATTATTGTTTTAAGGTTCAAACTGCCAAGGTAGCCCTCAGAAGACTGAAAACTCTTCGTCATCCTAATATTCTACGATTCATAGATGCTCTTGAGGTAATGGTAAATAACAATTCAAATCACTTTTATAATTTACATAGACTTAAGTTAGAATAAACATCACAGGGCACAGAGGGGTTACTTTTAGTGAGCTTGATTCCAGTTACATATAAATGTTACAGTTGATAGCGACTTGGCCGATCAATCCATCATGTGATTCCTTTTACAAGTCTGATAAAATATTATCCAATGCTCCAGAAATACATTATACATTTGTATATGTTATGGTTCATTTTTTTTTCCAGTTGAAATATTATCCAGTGCTCCAGAAATGTTTTTTTTGTTTGTTTGTTTGTTTGTTTTTTTCCAGTCAGAGACAGTAATTTACTTGGTGACAGAGCCAGTGAGACCACTGGAAGTACAGCTTAATGAAGAAGAAAAGTCTGATCTTGCTATATCTTGGGGGTTACATCAGATAACAGTTAGTATTATTCTAAACAGATATACCTGATTCAGATAAAGAAGATCTGCCAAATCAGCAGAAGTGTTATACAGAAATATAAATATATATTGAACAAATAATTCCTGACCCAGACCATTTCTTCGGCAGCTTTTTTATTTAGGTCTTTGAGGCTAAGTTTATTAGCTGTCTCTTCTATACATTAAAGTTAATTTTCATATCGCAAGTTTTTTTTAAACAAGCTAAATCTGCTTCTAAACCACAATACGCCCATTAACATAACAGCTTTCTTTTGCCTTAGTATGGTTTGTGTGCTTATTCTGTTATTGCTATGATTTTTCATTTATTAGCAGATGTATAAGTTGTTTTAATTTGTTGTTTTAGGCAGGCCTTAGTTTTCTTACAAATGACTGCAGCTTAATTCATGGAAATGTGTGCATGGCATCTGTGTTTGTGGATGTGGCAGGAGAATGGAAGCTTGGTGGAGTGGAATATCTTAAACCTGTAGAGCCAGCTCCTAACAGCGAGGCGGAGCCTGATCTTCCTCGACTACCAGTTTTACAGGTCTATGAACCTCCTGAGGGGAGGAAGTTTAGTAAAGCTAACAAGAGGATTGAAAAATGGTGAGCTGTTGTGCAGTTTAATGCTCTTGTATTATAATATTATATGTACTGCTGGCACCGGTTGTTTAAAGGATGGATAGCGCTATCCAACAGATAAATCACTATCCACTGGGTAGGATTATGAAAACCAATTGTGTTATCAACACTGGATAGAAATTTATCAAGTGGATAGTGTTATCCACCTTTTAAACAACTTGGGCCTGTTCTTATGTAAATAAAGGTACTAAGAATGGCCAGTTACCTTAATCTGAAAGCAAGGACTTATTTTCTTGCAGGTCAGCAGATATGTGGGGTCTTGGCTGTTTAATATGGGAAGTCTTTAATGGTTCTTTGTCCAGGACAGCTTCCCTCAAGTCTGTTGGTAAAATTCCAAGGAATCTTGTACCAGATTACGTGCAACTTGTTGGAGCCAATCCTAAAAGCAGACCAAACCCTGCAAAATTTTTGCAGGATTGCAGGAGTGATGGACACTATCTTAAGAACAGCTTTGTTGATGCCAATTTATTCTTACAAGAGTTGCAGGTTTGTTTTTTACCTACATGTATTGTTTAGGTTTTTACATTATATTTGGGCAATGGTGTAATTTCTCTCAAATCGAGGCCCTGGATAATTTTTATGTATTTACACATGCATACTCAATCAATTCAGAAACAAAACGTCAATTAGGATATAAAATGTAAATATCATGAAGAATACTTGACCGCAGGACATGGAAAACTTTTAGCAAGGAAATCCTGTTTCATGAAGAATTAATTCCTCCTCACGCTTCTCTCATGGCCCTCTCTTGTGCTCAAAATCCCTTTTGCCTTCCCTTTCGAACGTCTGTCATGCAAGCTACAAACAAGCTCAACTTAACATTTTTACAAGCGTTCTTGTTTTATCATGGACCCCTGCATAATAATAAAATGGCAGTAAACTGAAGAATATTCTTTGCCTTGGCCTAGTAGTAAAATGTAATCAAAGGACCTTGATCAATTTATTATCAATAATTATTATCAATAATTATTTCTCCACTCATCTTTCTTATAAATTATTGTACATCATGTGCATGTAGCATAATCATCTAAGATGCAAAATATCAGTAAAATAATAGTGCAGACTGACGATACTGCTAATTTTGTCAGTTGACTTTTGATAATAATTATTTGTAACTTATAGTAAGTTACATGGTATTTGTTACATGGTATTTGAATAATAGTGGTGAATGATATGTAGATGCATTTGCATGACTGATTCTTAACTGTACTGTGCAATTTCTATTCTTACTGTAGATTAAAGAGCACAAGGAACAGAAAACATTCTTCTCATCCCTGAGTTCATCACTGGATTCTTTTCCTCAGCAATACTGCAAACACAAAATCCTTCCACAGCTGCTTAATGCTTATGAATATGGATCAGCAGGCAGTGCTGTGCTTGGACCACTCTTCAAAGTCAGTAATCTATTTCCCTCTATAAAATTATATTCACCTGAATCATTGTAAACTCCAAGACAAAAATTGTTTAGGAAATGTAAGGGATTCAAAACCTGTTAAGTTTTGTTTTAAATTCTTGGCATCATAGGTTGGTAAATTATTGGACACAGATGAATACCAACAGAAAATAGTGCCATGTGTGGTCAAACTATTCTCATCAACAGACAGAGCTACACGTATCCACTTACTACAACAGGTATAAACAAGTTTGTTTGCAATTCTGCTCCTGTTTTACTTTGATTACTTACATGTAGCAAAAAAGAAAAATGATATTATTAAACTAAAATGGTAAAGGTACAAGTAAAATATGTGTAAAAATATTTGTTTCAGCTTGACAACTTTGTGCTGCACCTGAAGCCATCAACTGTGGATGAGCAGATCTTTCCTCATGTTGCTCTGGGTTTTGGAGACACAGTACCAGCCATGAGGGAACAAACAGTTAAGGTATAAAATAGCCCAGCCTGCCATGTTGCTGATTTTGATGATAAATTTTGCCTTAGATTTAGATGGCCCAAACTTGCTCTACTTCAAAATACATACTGGTTATTGAGCACTGAGTACAAGCAAAATGAAAATGTCATTGATTTTAGTGTTTGATTCCTTACAGTCAATGCTACTTCTTGCCCCAAAATTGAGTGAGAAGACAATCAACAATCAACTACTGAAATACTTTGCCAAACTTCAAATGGACCAAGAGGTAGTGTATTTAGTTAATATTATCTTCTAGTTTTTCAGAACTGAGCTCTGGCCAGTTGTTTATCATTTTATAACTAGTTGCAAATCAGACCAAGAGTTTCACACCAGTTTTCCAACTGTCAATAGTGAATATCAATAGTTAGAAAATTTTTGTGTTCTGCATTTTATTTTAGCTCTAATTAGGTTTGTACAGAATGTAGTTGTATCTTCAAAAATTTAAGCAATACATTGTCAAGATTAAATTCTTGAGCTAAAATTTTTGTCTTACTTGTCACAGGCTGGCATTAGAACAAACACTACAGTCTGCCTGGGAAAAATTGCTGTCAGCCTTCCACCAGCTGTATGTACTTTTATCGGTAGTTTTAAACTGATTATAACATCCTGCATTGTTGGCAGTTTTGTTATTCAAGCCTGGGGCTAATGAAATGGGCGGACGGTACAGTGTTTCTCATTGTTTCCAGCCATTCTCTTTTCAGCTTGACTTCTCACTCACCCTCCCCTCCATGGTTCCTCACCAACAAAACCACCAGCTATGCCAGCTAAAATTATTATAAGTTTTTGTAACTCCTTATTTTGTGGACTAAGAACCTAATTTAACAATTAGTTGCCCTTTGGAAAAAGTCGAGTTTTTATTTGAATATCAGTGTATTCAACACACGGTGCAAATTAAGTACACAAGTTTTTACATGTCCTGCTGGAGACGGGACCGCCATTTCTACGGGATCAGTCAAGCGGAAGGTGTAGCCGTTTACAAAGCATTTGTGTAGGTAAAATGTACTACCATTGTCCTCATTTGTTGTGATTATTGTGTCCTGCGTGAAGCTGCTGCATCTCGTTTTCTTCGTAGTATGATTTAAGGCCTTGTTTTCTTTCTTTACTATATACCGTTTAGACCCAACATTATGTTAGAATTAATCTCGCTATATTTTGGCCCCTGCTTATTTAGTTGGCTCTTGTTAAACAACCCTAAATATAACAAAGAAACATATTAATTAGTCAAAAATGGACTATCGACACAGGATCCCCTTTTTTTTGCAGACCCGTCAAAAGGTGTTGATCCCTGCGTTCTTGCGTGCTTTGCGAGATCCTTTCCCCCCGGCCCGCACAGCTGGCGTGATGGGCTTTCTTGCTTGTGTGGAGTTTTTCAGTTTAAAGGACTGTGCTGTTAAAATATTACCTGCTTTATGCAGCCTTACGATGGACACAGAACGCAAAATCAGAGATCAGGTAAATAATACTGTAAAAACGTTTGATTCATCAGAGTATCCAGCAAGGCGGGGGCAGTAAAACAAGCACATAGTCAGTCTATCACTCCGTTCGGGATGAAACTCAATGGTTTTCACAGAGAAAAAGGAAATGAAATGGTCCAGATCTGTGCTTAACATGATGAGTTACAGACCCGGATAACCTTGTTCCTTAGAACTTGTTGATACCGGTCAAACTTTGAATTTTCTTTCAGTAGCGTTTTATGTTGTTTTCTCCTTAAAGTTGAAACAAACCGTGAGTTAGTAGTAGTCGTAACGTAACTCTTGTTCGTCAATACATTTTGCGTATCTAGTGAGTAGAGAAGTCAACAATAATTGAATTACAGCTACCAGGTTATAACGCGTAGTTTAGTTTAGTTTTAGTTGATTTCACCACAAAAAAGCAAAAGATGCATTGAAGCAATGTGGTGAGGAAGACCAAAAAGAAACCATAAGCCTTATAGGTTTTGGGCTCCCTCAGAGTATAAAAGTACAAGTTTACAAGGCCAGGATCGAGTGTATACTAAGCAATCACATGACATTGATAACAAGTGGATAACTAATATAAATATGTATAAATAAAGTATAGTAACAAGCGTATAACCCAAATAAAGATTGATAGTTTGTTAATTGTTAAGAAATAGTGCTTTGGTTTCTGTTTCATGCAGTTCGTTCCATGTGTCTTTTGTGTGTTTATGTGTGCGCAGGTCTTCAAAGCGATAAAGCTTCTCCTTGGTAAGCTTGAGAAAGCCTCAGAAGATCCTGAGTCGGCCATGAACCAGGCAGCAGGTATGTCTCACAGCTATGACGTTATCGACGCTAATATATTTCACCGCAAATTAATGTGATTTCACCGCAGAAAAACGGATACTACTCAAATCCCACCGCAACGAAATTAACATCCCACCTAAGGCGTAAGTGAATTATCGATACTCTTAGTTTTTATTTTCTTCGTGCCCCAACAGTGTGGTTACAAGACGTTCAGGCAGGTTGATCCAGTTGTTATCCTCATACTCTTGTACCTTCCAGGGATCCTGGCTCATTTTTTTTTCAATGAGGAAGTAATTTTACCTTTCCATCTCTAGTTGCAGAGCAAACTCCTGATTCAGCAGCTACTGGGGGTTCGTCTTGGACAGGTTGGGCTGTCACTTCACTGACATCCAAACTCTACCGGGGAGGGAGTATTCCTGCTGCTGGGGCTCCTGAACACGCCAAAACAGTTGACAAGGACAAAAACCTAGGTATGACTAAGTACAATGCCAGTCCAAAGACCAACCCAGTGTGTTTTTCCCGATCAGCGATTGGTTCTAGACCCTAGAATCGTTCTTGCAAAATATTCTGAACACACCTGCAATCATCGTCAAAATTGTTAGAAAACAGTCTTACCCTTCCATTTTCTGCAAACGCAAGAGCAAATACAACATCACCCCCACCCCCGCCCCCTCCTCCGCATGTCCAAATGTTCTTGTACATGTAAATTAGCATCGATATGTCATATCTTGGCCGGGTTCTTTGCCATTTCATCACAAATTGATATCAAACAATCAATCTCAAGGGAATAATAAGAAGCAATGATAAGATTTTTAGATTACCTTGCTATTTAGATTCAACATCAGTCAGCAAAACATCAACTGAAAATCGTCCTGAAGACACACAACCTACAAAAAATGAAAAGAATGAAGACTCAGGCAGTGATTACGGAGGGCAGTGGAGTGAGGACGAGTGGAATGATGCACAGGTAAAAATTTCTCCCCAGAGACTCCTCTCTTTGTTTTGTTTTGTTTTCTTGTTTTTTGGGGGTTTTTTTTTTTGCTTATTTACTCTTTTAGAGAAAGGTGCTATATTTTGGTGTAAAATCGCCATAACCTTGTATCTCTTGCAATTGATTTCTGCTTTAGGGATCTAGTGTCTCTGAAAGACACAATCAGTTTAAATTTAGATTTTTTTTTGACTTTTTGAGTTAAACAGCACATCTCGTATCGCTTCTTTTTCCATCCGGTGGTATTAACCAGTAATTTTTTATTATACTTGAGTTGCATACCCTTACGACAATGCATTGAGTGTGTAAAGCCTAAAACCCCAATTTTTCTCTTTTCTTTTGCTAGCCCGACCCATCTATTGATGCAAACGGCTGTTAAGGCTTTTTTTAATGTCTATTTTTTCAGGAACCGGACATAGACGATCTAAAGAGCGACCTTCTGGCAGCGAAAGAGGAAATTTCTCAGTTTCAGAATACAAAGAAAAAACCGGTATGACCACTCAGGAAACAGCCTATGCCTTCGGTATCATTTAAATCAAGATTGCAGCTAAAGAGAAATTGTAGTGTATGAAGTCTGTATTTTTTTTGTTTATACCCAGTCCCTTAGACGATCTGCAAATCTTGTGGCTGATTTAGACGGAGGAGAGAGTGGTAGCGACTATGGTGACTGGGAGAATGATAACTGGTCTATGGATAGCTTTGCTGTACCGTCTGTAACGAGAAAGACAACACAAAACAAACCACAACAGATCGCTAAGGTAAGAGAACAATGAAGACCTTTGGGTGCACGTACCGCTCAATTAACTCTTGAATTCAAAAGAAGACGCATATTCTCTTTTTGCTCCACCAGCCTTACTGTCAATTGACTGTCACTATAACCTCTCTGAGTGCGTTAGTTGTTAAATTGCTCTTTACACTTTGGTCTTTACAGCAAACTGGAAGCAGCACTAAGCATAAAAAGTCTTCTCGCGCAGACGATGATACGCAGATATCAGATATGTTAGGTGGGGCCACTAGTCAGCCTCCCGTTTCAGACAGCGGTTGGGACGAAGACTTTTTCGCCCCAAAGGTATGGTGAGAGAAGTTTTGATTTCAGTGTGGTGAAGGCAAATCTTTGTTTCCAATTTTTTCCACTTAATCATACATAATGCTGATCATTTTCTAACCAAGAAATAGAAAAGCTAACCGTTTTATTTATTTGTTCGTTTATTTTTATTTTTATCCCTTTTTCCGGACTTTTAACGGACTAAATACCCTCGCTAGGATTCCGTGATGATGCTCTGGTAAGCAAAATTTCTCGTCACTTTTAGGTGAAAACCAAGTCAGCTGCGGGACAAAGATCTGGAGTCCACGGCAAGAACAGACCTCCCCTGTCACAAGACACTGAAGGGAACGCGTGGGATGACGGAGACTGGGGATCATTTGACGAATCACCTCTGACCAGCACTGTGCCTGCGAAAGAATCCCAAACTAACAAGCCCTCAGATGGTGGATGGGAAGAAGACGACTGGGGTATGGAGGACTGGGGACAAGACAAACCCAGTAAAGCGGAACTTGCAAAAAAGAGAAGAGAAGAACGGCGGCAGAAACTGCAGGCTCAGAAAGAAAAACGAGCCGCCGGAGGAAAGGGACCAATGAAACTCGGTGCAGTGAAAATGCAGTGAAAATCGGTCGGAAACAAATTGGGATGGCAGGTTGTGCAGAGTGAGGCAGAGCTAAGTCAGATTCGAGGAAACAAGCTGATGAAGGGAAGATGTTCAGCAAGTGCCTCTTCGTCGACAGGCAAAATGTGCTTTGTTTTGAAGAGAAAAAATTGCCACTCAATGTATGAATGAAGAAAATCAGGCGAATGAAAGGACCTGAAGAATGGCGAATGAAAGAACTGTCAATTGTTATTTGTATTGACTATGCAAAGAGAAGATGCTTTGCGGATTAAGGCTATTGTTAACTCTGCTTTTGTATGTCAGGGCAATGCATATACGTGATTGTTTGACCCAGAAGTGAAACTGGCGCAATCTCACCACATGCATTTCACTTCCCGTCCGTCCTCTTTGTTCACTTTACCGTATTTCTGTCAAGAGAATCATAATTATTATCATCTTTCAATTGATATGTTGATCTAAGGTGGCGTATTTAGTAATCATGCACAGTGGTCTCTTCCAAAGCGGTGGTGTCTTCTTAGTGCTTCCCCCCTAAAAGAGTTATTTTTCGAAAAATGTCTGTCTTAAGAGAAATGTTGACCTTCTTAGAGAATTTTTAAATAGACGGGAGAGATGAATGAAAATGCATCTTGAGAAAGAAAAGACCTTTCTCAAGATCCTGTAGCGCTTAAAAGTTTTAAGCTCTCTTCATACGTGAAACGATCTCAATGCTCTCAGTAGTTCCCAAGCGACGAGTGTCCTGATTCTTTTGGAAACACTTTACACTTGCATAGGAATCACCACGGCACTGATAAAGTTGGTCAGTAGCGAACAACTTAGCCTAGGACGAAGCTCTTGTTTGTTTTTTGCACGTTTCCGCGAGTCGCGCCATAGCGTACAATACGCCAACAAGAAAGAAAGCAGGCTATTCTTTCTAATCTACGCCGGCTCGTAACTCGCAGAAAGAAAACAAGCGAGAGAGTCCCCTCAGGCTATGATCAGCCAAGGTCGTGTAGGTAGGAAAATGTAATAAGCTCTAGTATAGTTGAGCATGAGTTTTTGAAATTATAATTTTAATTTCGAAAATTTCAGTTATGGTTTAACTATAAATTTCTTATTATATCATGTAGCTGAGATCTCTTCGCTCAAAATGTTGCTTTTTACAGAGGAAAAATAAATTAATGTTCTTGTCCACTTAGTGCTGTCTGCTGCTACTATTATACGAGGTGCTTAAAAAACTGAAGAAATTTGAAATATCAATTTGTCGTGTTTTCAATTTATATTTGCTTTGATAGAACTGACGTCATCATTCTAGTCGATACTCAAGACGAAGGCAAACCATCGAAAACCACACCTTCTCCTGGGCACTCTACGTAACTAGTTAAACTAGAAGTTGCAATGTGAAAGTTATCCGGCTGGCGAGGAGAAGGCGGTCATGGAGCGATAGGGGGAGAGATACGTAAAAAATTAGGTTTTTTCAAGAGACCGGGGCTCCCTTGTTTAATGGAGAGTGGTGCTTGAGGGGGGAGGTGAACTTTTTATTTCTCTACTATAAATATTTTGGTATCTCTTCATTTCGGGTAACACCCTAAACACCGAAGATTGCGTTACCTTTTTGGCGTGTCCATGGAATGTTTACATATCCTGCCAGGAGCCTATCACCTAGGCTCCTCATCCTGCCATTTTTAAAGAGAGGCACAGTTCAAGGCAAGTGTAAGTAGTGTGAAGGTTGTAAAAGATTTTTGGAAGATATTTCAGGGAGTGGCATCAGTGTTAGGAAACAATCAACAGTTTTGTTATGAAATATGTAATGAGAAAAATTACATCTTTTTAGGATAAAATACAAATTGATTATACGGGGAACTTGAATGTGACTCTACACAAAGGTCACCTCTGTTGTCTATGGAATTTTGTATAAACGTAGCAGTCATTAGTAGTATCATAACTGTTATAGTATAACTACTAGTATTATATAGTAGAGTATGTATTCTGTGTCATTTATTTGATTTTAAAAAAGCCCTATCTTCGTCCCTGGACCGCATCTAATACCTCAGTGCAAATTTAAAACCGTCATACTGGACATAGGATTTACCAACATATCACAATAAACGGCTTAAAACTGAAGACCGTTTCTACCACCCCAACTTCCCGTCCCCCGTCGCAAGGTTGTAGAGAAACTCGCAAAAAAAAAAGTTAAGAAGATATGGTTAAAACGGCTGAAATTTTTTGAAAAGAAACTAATTAAAACATAGCCATAAAAATATGTGTTAATTTAAGCAATTTATCAGTACAGCCGATCGACGAAATATGCCTTTGTTTACAATACACGATGGAAGGTCTTAATGCAAAGCCGCAATAACATAATAATTCATTAAATGTATCAAGTATTTTAAACTTTTGGTGACTTTTAACACAATAGAACATCATTTACAGTAGGAAAGGAAACCCTTTAAGCCGAACGCATTAATCTGACTACAGGTGTACCTGTTTATAGCGCTTGATCCGATCGAGTCGTCTTTGCTTCGCAGAGGTAAACATGACAACAAGATTAGCCGTTTGGGGGAATCCAAACGGTGACCGCTTCCGCTTAATAGAGGTCAAATTTACAGTAAATATGGAAAGCAAATTTCGGGAAATTGATGGGCGACCCCTTAATAGAGGGCCGCTTTATAGATGTTGGACTGTATTAAGCGATCAACCTCCATTAAGAGGTCACCTGGCTAATTCCCGAGGGTGATCGCTTAATAGAGGTTTGACTGTACAGGGGCACCCAACGACAATTTTCGGAAAATATCTGTTCGGAAGACGATTTGAGATCTAGAATTTTCGTAACAGTTGTTGCAAAATTTCTTGCTGGCCTGCCTCTCCTAGGATTTTCGAACATCTAAAACATGGTCTACTTGCCTATTTTTAACGGATTTTTACCCTAAAAAGGTCACCTAGAATTTTCGGGAGCCTTTTTTCTGGCTGGAATTTTCGAAAAGGTAAGTTTTGATCCCTATAATTTTCGGATCACTAGACTTTCAGCTAGAAAATCCGAACAGATGAAAAATTTTAGGGAATAAAAATATGCCTATATCTATCGTTTAAATACTAAAATACGTTTAACAATGTTATGTTAAAGCGGTTTTGAACTATATTCTCGTTGGGTGTCCCTGACTGTAGTATTATACTACCTATTTCACGTTTCAAGTAAAATCACTCTACACTTCAAAGCTATTTTAGCTTTTTAACGTCTTCGCGAATTGTGTGTATTTTGTATTTTTTTAATTTTATGAGATCCTTTTTGAAAACCAACTTTTGTATGAAAAAGTTATCTCAATAAAGATTATCATTATTTTTATTACTTAATTCACCAAATTCGTATTGAATCTGAATTGCAGACGCAATTGTATTTTTTATTCATTTAAGCTATGCTATTCAGCACTGCATTTATCCTCTCTTTCAATTATTCCATGTATTTATGTCTCTTAGTTTCACCTTAATATGAATGTATTGGGAACCTATCTATTTAAGACACTTCCGAGTATCGACCTGTTATTTTATTAGTCTGACTGAAATGTCTGGTTCATTAATTTACTGCTGTCAACTGCTGAGAGGGTGGTTAGGAAAGGAGTTTTCAGTTTTTACCGCAAAATGAATGAAACATGTTCTAATGTACGCTTGGCACAACAGTTCAGTCTGAGACTCGTCTGGGGTTTCTGACTGAAATGTAAATGACTGTTCAATGACGCCGCGGTGGTCATCATTCTTCGGTATCAGAAGCATATGCTTCTTTCGGTATCCAATGGTGAAGTCTAGAGTGATTTTACTTGAAACGTGAAATAGGTAGTAGATTACTACAGTCAAACCTCTATTAAGAGGTCACCCTCGGGAATTAGCCAGGTGACCGCTTAATGGAGGTTGACCCGGCTTAATACAGTCCAACCTTTATTAAGCGGTCACCCATCAATTTCCCGAAATTTGCTTCCCATATTTACTGTAAATTTGACCTCTATTAAGCGGACGCGGTCACCGTTTGAATTTCCCAAATGGCTAATTTTGTTGTAATTTACCTCTGTTAAACGGTCGCCTTGTTACATAACAATCACTAAACGGCATATGTTTTGTCACAAAGAACTCTCGCTGGCACTGAGCAAAGTCAGTGACTTGCTTGACCAAATTAGACGACTATAACTGAAGTTCTCTCTTTATGTTAAATGAGATTTTAAAATTCCTGATGATGTGCTTGATTGTAAAGACAAGAGAGGATAAAGGGGACAGAGAAAGCATCCCCCATACACACCCTATTCCATAGCCAATTCGTCTCGAGTTATTTTTAGAATAGGGATAAAGTTACCTCGCGCGCTGCGTGGATGTTTCGTGGAGGTTTCGTACGACTAAACGCCATGCAAAACATGTCGGGCGAAAGGCAATGAAAGCGTAAAGAGATCGAGAGCATTTCTGAATATTGAAGCGAAATGAGCCGGCGCTCACCTGGGAAAAGGGAATCGCTCGACTCTTTGACAACCCGTGAAATCAGTTTAACTCGAAGTTATCGTAACCTCAGTGCTTTAACAAAATGAGAAATTTCGCCGGTCTATTGAAACCGGTCGCTTGTACAATAAAGCAAGTAGCAAATAATATTCATGTACATGTAATTAGTTTTACAAATTGAATTTTATTGTAGTTTTCTTAAGTTGTCTTAAGCGCTGTTGATCAGTGAATGTAAATAGCGCTCTAGAAGTTATTAAATTATTATTATTATAGGACGCCAAGTGTTATTTTTGTTGAATCATAAAAGACTAAGAAAAGAATAAATATCAAACCAGAATTTGCTCTCTTCAAACTGTAAATTATAATTGATCCTGAGAGAATATTCACTGTGTTAAGGATTTCCCTGCTGTACAGTTAGCTCTATACAAGAGAGGAAGGGCGATTCTTTTTTAATTTCCGTTTCGCTGACACAGCTTTAGCAGAAATCTCTCTTTAGTCGTTTTCGTCGACAAAACGAATAGCAATATTGCTCTCCGCGTCTACCGCCATTTTTTTCTGCCTCAATTCGTGAAGGACGCGTGGCTCTGAGCGCGGGTCATCCACGCGGAACACATTCGCGCTACGTGATTGGCTGTTGTCTAATCCCCCTTGGGATCTGTGGTCTTAAAAATAACTCGAGACGAATTACCTATGGAATAGGGTGTGTATGGAGGATGCCTTCTCTGTCCCCTTTATCCTCTCTTGTAAAGATCTAAAATTAAGCCCATAATGTGGCAGAAATTGACCAAGAGAGCAAAAATCCATTACTCTATTTACAGTTTATTAATCACAACAACAGTGACGCGAAATATGATAAAAGTGTTGAATGTTCTGATGAGGAGTTCACGCAAAACAACAAATTTTTACAGTAATGTTCGTACCGGAGTGTCTTTACAATCAAGCACACCATCAGCAATTTTAAAATCTCATTTAACTTGAAGAGAGAAATTCAGTTTTGGTCGTCTAATTTGGTGAAGCAAGTCACTGACTTTGCTCAGCGCCAGCGAGAGTTCTTGACCAACTGAATATCCACAAATATCCAAAAATATTCAGTGATTGTTATTTATTACTTCCACTTTGAAATCACTGGCTATGCGTGCAATCTGATTGGCTCTCAGCTGTGTGATTTATTCCTAAATCGCACCATTTTTTGCTCTAAATCGCATCTGTTCCAAATCGCGTCATTCATGTTCTAAATCGCATCATTTCTGTTTTAAATCGCACCATTTTTGTTCTATATCGCATCATTTCTGTTTGGAATACAAAATGAGATGTAAAAGCCTTTTTGTTTCGGCTTTTTAACAAACCGGCTACTTGATCAATAAAATATTGGTACTGACTAAATTCTGCGATTTCAAAATGAAGGTAATAAAGTGGTAATTGAACTTCGTGTCGTGCAATTTTGGTCTGAAATCATACTTGTGATTTCAAATCGAACGAGCGCGGATTTTGAAATAACGCGTATGATTTCAGACCAAATTGCACTCTACTCAGTTCAATTACCATTATGTATCAAGGTGACCGTTTAACAGAGGTTAATTACCGACAACAAAGTTAGCCATTTGAGAAATCCAAACAGTGACCGCGTCCGCTTAATAGAGGTGACCTTTGAATTACAATAAATGTGGGAAGCAAATTTCGGGAAATTGATGGGTGACCGCTTAATAGAGGTTGGACGGTACGCACTAGTTTTATGCACTAATTCTATTGTCTTCTTCAGTTTACCTGTCGCTATTTTGCACTATTTGTTGGCATTTTTTCACGGTTCAGGTAAAATCACTCTGAAGTGTAGGACTATTTCCAGTTGAAAAGACTATTAACGATACCATTAGACAAATATGAACGCAGACGTATCCCGTCTTCTGTGTGTACAGATACTCAGGTGTGTCCAAGGTAAGTTCTACTGAATTCTTTGTGAAACATATCCCTTTTAACTTATTAACAGAAGATTTTTTAACATTTCGAATTTTTAGTCAAGGTTCCACTTAATAAGAAATGTTGTCCTTTAGCGAGAACTGACTGCTACTACCTGTTGATATTCGCAAACGAAAATGAGTGTGAAATCGGAAAGATTGGCCCAGCTCTTTAAAGATTTTCATCGACTGACAAACTTTTTTTGAAAGTTGACGGTCATTGTTCTGCTTGACAACTCTACTTCAAATCTATCTCAAATAAGATCAGCGTACCCCAGTCAGATTTTCCTTACATTTAACCCAGTTCCTTACAAAAGCTAAATCTAGACATGAGGTGTTGCAGTATAGTTTCACACCTAGCTTGCAAATCGAGGTATGTCAAAACAAACCCCTTTATATGAAGTTTGTGCCGTCATCTTCCTCTCTAAATAAGAATGCTTTGAAGGTCTGACTTTGCATGATTATTCCTATCTTTTCACTCTCACTGGTAATTATAATACTTTACACCGTATCCCTCCTGTACATAGGGATTGTAACCAATTTTCAAGCGTGCTTGTCTCGATTGTATGAAATATTTGGCACCAAATAAATTACACTACCAGAGGGGAGGTAAGAAAACTGATGTCAGATTAACCTTGGTTGCTTTTGGCGACATATATCTGAACCAACGTCTGCTTTTGGAGGCACTAGATAAAATGTTTATATAACAATGAAGTAGATCTCATAATTCTTACACTGAAAGGCTCACTGAACTAAACTGGTCAACATTGGAGCTTAGAAGAAAATACTTTTGCCTGGTTCAACTTTACAAGATAATTCATGGCTATTCTGATATTGATTATACCACATATGAGGATCTGACTGGCCCGACAAGAACTAGAAGAAACCATGACTTTAAAATCAGGCCTAGAGCAGCAAGGACAAACTATTTTAAATTTTCATTTTTTAATCGTTACGTTAATGATTGGAACTCTTTACCAAACTCCGTTATGTCTGCTTCCAGTTTGAACTCTTTTAAAACTTTATTACTTAATTATCTTTGTAAATAGTCATATGTTTTCCATTTCGTACTGAATTTGGATTTTCTTTTTTATTTAATATCTAAGTAGTTTATAGTGTAGTTATGTATTAGTTTTCTATTCTTAATTGTTTTATCTTTTGGTTTTGGAGGGCAGTTTTTATATGGGAATTCAGTTTTCCCCTATTGCTTTCCTTTACCTATTGTACTTTTATATATGTATATATATTTTTATTTTGTACATTCGTAAAAAGAATTATTAAACTTAAACTTAAACTTAAACTTAAACTTAAGTCTTTTTCCTTATTTTAGGTTTAGTCGTCTGTACATGGCGGTTACGTTTTCAGTGGGATTTTCATTCTGTAGTGTTCCAAATTTCTACTCCCATAAATTTTAATTTAATAAGAATTTCTATTTCTACTCCCATAAATTTTAATTTAAAAAGAATTTCTCCCATGTATAATGACTATGTATATTTTCTCTTAATTTGAAAGATTTTGCAAAAGTAGTGGCAGATTATTTGGAAAAACTTGTGCATAGTAGTGGTATTTGATACAAAGTTAGCTCGTAAAATGGATAAAAAGTTCCCAAAACGGAATGGCTTGGTTCCAGCATGCCTTTGCAGCCTTGTATCTGTTTAGAAATCATTATAGAACCTATTCTAACAAGTCTTAATCTTCCGTACTCCAAAGGATTAACTTACCAAATACACTGAAGGAGAGCAGCGAAGATGGTAACAAAAGAATCATTATTCATAGTTTTCGCGCTTTTTGCGAAGTTTCTTGGAGCAATTTCCCTTCCAACAGAAAAAGGTAACTATATAGCCATAAATAAATCCATGATTAATGGATGTCTCCAGCACCAATGAGATGTTATAATTTTCATATGAGGTCACTTGAGAACAAATTAAACAGAGAGAGTTCTGAGCACTTAAAAACAAAATTACACCGAAAAAAACAAGCGCCAATGTCACGGTTTCTTTAACGATCATCTAAAAAAGACACGACGCATAACCAAAGAAAGGAATAAAAGAAAGATGAAATTCGTTTTTATGTAAATTTGTACGTATGTCAGGGAGCTCTTGTAAAAAAGTTACCGTATTTATTGGAATAAGCGCCCAACCTCGAATTAGCGCCCACCTCGAATAAGCGTCCATCCTAAAGGCAGAAAAAGTTAATTAGCGCCCAGCCTCGAATAAGCGAACACCCCTACCCCACCCCCTCCCACTGCCACTCAAACTGAAATAGGCGCCCACCCCCTTACACCTACCACCCCCCAAAAAGGAGTAAGTACTAATAACAGACTTGCCCGAAGACGGAGTTTTCTTCAGAGTGTTTTGCAGAAACCTTGCTTTGTTAAATCTTCGCGTTTTGTTATTACCACTTACTGTTTTGTTGCAAAATATACATGTTACACTTCTTGAAAATGGTGAAAATTTAATAAGCGCCCAGCCTCGAATAAGCGCCCACCTCGAATAAGCGCCCACCTCGAATAAGCGCCCACTCTCAAGGTCCAAAAATTTAATAAGCGCCCAGGGCGGTTAATCGAGTGGAGGCCGTTACGTTACTTAACTTGAGCAGCACTATTCATCAACGGAAAAGAACTTATGTAAGAAGAAATCAAAACGAACCGGCCTCCTAACAAGAAACGTGGCTGATTAAAGACAATCAACTTTCGCCAACAACATGAGTGAACAACAAGGATTTCATGATATTCTGATGGACAGGCACATGATTTACAATTTTTCTAATTCTCTTTAGAAAGCCTAAAAAGGGATGAGTATGATACGAACGCCTTTTCTAATGACATCAACAAGTGTCTGTTCACTGCGTGGACAACTGCTTCTGGAAATCCAAACGCCGTTTTGAGCAAGTCTGTTGAGTGTAAAGGGTATGCAGGAAGCCATGTACAGCTGTGCTATGGTCTTGAACCACCTAAGGCACAGTTTGCTGCCTGCTACAACAAACAAACACTTACTCCAGACTTCACAGGACATATTGTAGAACCCGATATCGAGGGAACAGGAAGAGAAGATGAATGGAGAGAAGACAAAGGAAAATTTGGTAACGAGTCTTACTTTCTTCCGACTTTTCTCTACCAGGCTCCGGTTGCTCTAACGTTATATAGTGCTAATTACCAGAAAATTCCTTTATCCAGTGGATAAGTTATAGGGAAATGTTCGGCACTAGACACAGTGGATATATAGCATTATCCACCTTTTTTGAACAACTGGAGCCAGAACAGGAGCCCATATCGCCATACAAATAAAAATATATTTGGCAGCACTTTCATAATCTAGATTCATATGATCTCATAAGTGTATAAGTTTTGAAGTGCTGCATTATAGCGAATAGGTATACAAGTGCAAAATGAACGGGATTGTTTGACATGAATAAGGAGAGCTAGGGGGAGAGATTTACCAACAACAATTAATACGCGTCATTTGCATGACTACAACAAAGTATTACAGTATAATTGCAAAAGCTACTTGAATTTAATTATTGATAGTCCTTTTTAAATTAAATATTTAAAATAATTTGAAATATGTTAAACATTGCTTATTTTTAACCATCAGTAGGATTAATTATTCCGGAGACAAATTTGTCTCTCAATTCAATGTAAGTGATATAAATGAAATTAATTGGATCTTATCGAAGAAGAACTTGGACAATCTAATAAAAAGTGAGTTTCATCTTCAATTCTGTTACAATTGCAGAAACTGCATAATCTTTCATCACGTGATATATTGTCGTATCATACCTGTCTCAATTCTAAGTTTGAGCACAGCTTTGTCGTCTTCCTTTAAATATCACAATCAATCAAAAAATTCTCAAACACATTTTGTATATACAGCCTAAAGATGAGGAATCTCTTGTCGAACAAGCTTTTTTAAGTGTCCTTCGACTTACACTGTAATAGCAAAAGTAGCTTCCACTCTCATTTAATGAAAATGTCAGAATACTTCAGAAGCTTCCTGACTTTAACCCTGATTTATTAGATATAGCTATGGTATAAAGGTATTTAAGTTCAATGAAACAGGAATATATCTCATATTGGCAAAACACCCTTCAATATTGTCAAAAACTTGAATTTTATAGATCTTTTAAAACCGGTCATACCTCCTCTAGTTTCTTAGATTTAACAAGAGGAACAGCTGGGAGAAAGGCTTTAGTAAAACTACGAATAAGCAATCACAAACTAATGATAGAAATAGGCAGATACAATCAAACTACGAAGGATAATAGGCATTGCCCTTTTTTTGGATGCAATGTAATAGAAGACGAAGTTCACTTTCTTTTTCAATGTCCTACATACTCTATGATTAGGAACAAATTTTACTATAAGGTCAAGACTCTAAGTCCAATTATTACCCAGTTACCTATAAACGGTTTGATTAATGAACTGATGAACTCTTCTAATTACTTTATCAATATACAATTCATAAAATATATTTCAGCTTGTTTTGATGTTCGTGACAAATTATTATCAAAGTAACGTAATTGCCCTGTGTTGTAATTTTGATTCCTAAACATAGCTTTTGCAATACTGTATGTGTTTGTATGGTCATACAAATAAAGCTCGTTGTTGTTGTTGGACTGCCTATACTCAGTTTCACTAATGTTTTTCTGGAAGGGTTCTTTCTTGTTAGATCTAGGTAGGCAGCGGGGCTATAATTCACTTTAATTATGTAATAAAAATTAAGTTTTTGTGAATGTTGAAGGATATGATTCCAGTAAGAAATATATTTCTTTTGCCTGATCACGGTAGAGAAACATATGCTTCTCCCTTTCGTATCTCCATTGACGCAGCTAGGATACTTGCCATAACGCCAGTTGTTTTATAATATGAAAAGCTCCACTAATTCCTTGTCTACTTGCACTCCACCTTACAAGCCCCAGTACCTCAATCGAAAGTAGAAGACTACGATCCTTACAGTCAAAAAGGCCTGTTCGATAACTATGACATCCAAAAGCAGTATTTCTTAGCTAAAGGACATCTGACTCCTAATGCAGACTTTAATACAGACGATGAGCGTCTTCTAACAATGATAACCACAAACATTGCACCTCAGGGGCAGAAGTTTAACAGCGAGAATTGGTCAGGATTGGAGAGAGGTGTACGAAGATGCGCAAGTTTTAGCAACAGAAATTTATACGTTTTTACTGGTGTGGGTAAGTAGCGAGCCTTCAATGTGCCAGTGTATTCGCCAGCAATTTCCTGACATACAAGGAGAATACATCTTTTAAATAAAGAAACCATTTGATTAAAATAAATCGAGAAAAGCAGCGAACGACCGTTAAAGAGGTTCAGCAGTTTTTTGAAGTAAGACTGCTGACACCAAGTTCAACGGTTGATCCACTCTTTGTAGCCGGTATGCTTTCAAGTAGGCTTCCATGCGTATGTTTAAATATGTTTGCTCTTGCTGTTCCGTGTGTGCTTCGGCTGCTCCGAGAACAAAACGTTCAGTGGCTTTGATTCAGAGAAAGGGTAAGTGCATTAGTACACCACATTTAAACAACTGACTATGTACTTCTGGAATTGATGCCGTCACTACCATCAATCCCATCTACTATAAGCCTAGCATTAGTACTTCGTCACGAAAATCAAATGGCGAATAATCAAGTGCTGCTTCATAAATAGAGAAAGGTGAGGAAGGAGTAAACTGTGACCAATTAAAACAGTTTTACAGTTTTTACTGTAAAGTGGAACCCAGTCTTACGGCCATTTCGGTAATACGGTCACCTCGATATTACGGACACTTTTTTTCGGCCCGGCAAAACGGCCATACATTTCCTTACAAACTGCAAACCCCCGTTAATGCGGTCACCCGTTAATACGGCCAACAGCCACATTTGAAATCCCAAACAGTAGAATTTCTTATAATTTTACCCCGTTAATAAGGCCACTTGCTCGAAATTTTTGGAAAATTAAAATGTCTGTGACATGTCACTTTCATTGACCTAGTACTCTGAGCCTGTTCTTGTGCTGTTTTTAGGCTACAGTACACATAAAGTGCACTTGTTGCGATGTTATAGCCAAACTTTAAAAGTGTTTTATGTTCTGATGGAAAGTTTTAAGTAGTTTTTTTTTTTTTTTCAGTTACTGTACGCGATATCTACATTCTGGTTGTTTATTAATGAGAACAGTTGTTCAAGAAATGCGAATTAGATATACGGTGTATTTGTCATTACGGCGCTCAAGTCATAAAATTTGAGCCTGCCCCGATAACACAGCTACCCTGTTAATACGGCCAAATTTTTTTGACCCACTGGTGACCGTATTAACGGGGTTCTACTGTACTTGTTTAGACCCTCCCCTTAGGTTGCCCACCCCACCCCACCCCACTACGCCCTAGACATCCATCCTGAGGTGCAATAATATTTAAAATAGTCTATCAAGTCAAACAAGGATACTCCAAGGTAAAAGGATTTATCTTTAGCGCACCTAAGGCTCTTTTTCTTTAGGCGGTAAAGCAAGAAATTTGAGTGGCGAAGTTATGTATCTCAAGAGAAGAGTTTTGACCCCGAGGTGGTTTTGGAAAGCCGTTTGTGATCCAGTAGCAAAGCAGTCGATCTTCTTCGTGGGTGAAAACAGCGTTGGCATCGCCAGCCAGGCTAAAGCAAAAGGATGCAATATGATTGAGCAAACAAAAGATAAGGGCATCGTATATTGCATGAGCCACCAAAAGGCAACTCGTAAATTCAAAGAATTTAAATTGTCACCTTTTCAAGAGAAAAATTGTAAGCCTTCAAAGAAAGGCACATTCATGGATAATTTCCTCAATGGCCTTAAATAATTGAAATTGATGAATGAATGCAAGAATGCAATTAGTTTAACTTGTTTAGTATCTGCATTTTACCTGACTATTATAAACTTTAAAGAGTGCCGTCAATAAAAGTTAATTCAAAACACCCTGTGGGCTCTTGTTTTAATATGATCGGATATGAGACACTCCTTCGTTTCAAGCTACAGTACTAATACCGATAGAATTCTGAAAATTAAAGCCTTTAGTTTCTCCACTCCTCCATCTTTGACTCAAAATCAATTTTCCTGCACCAATATACGGGGTACAAGACAGCTGAGGTGGTTCAACCAACATAACCAGGGTTCTTTGGTTGTAAAAACCATGCAGGCTTATCAAGCTATACACGATATAGTAAAAAGCCTGGTTAACAAGGGGATTTTGGTTAGTCTGGCATATAGCAACCAGGAAATTAAAACCAGGCTTCAACCAGGCTCTTAAAGTTTTCAATGAACCAGGCTTACCAGGCTCCAACAACATGTGCAAAAAGCCTGTTTAACTAGGATGGCAATCCTGGTTTGTCTAAAAGCATGCCGGAAACCAGACTTTATAACCAGGCTTTTGAAAGCGTTAAGCGTTGTGATGTAGCGAAGATTTGACAAATAACTATGACAGCGACAACAGAGAAATATGATGTTGCAAAATTGTATTTGTTTCATGTACTGTGAATGTGTCAGCTCTAAAAGGATTAGCTTTTAGCTTTTCTTGCTTCTTATAACTGTGACGTCGTTTCATTCGGTCTGATAAATAAATTTAACCTCTATGCTTTAACACTAAGGCTAGCGCTTTAAACGTCACCGTCACCTCTCCTCTCTCCCCCTCCCCCCCCTTCCAACCCCCACGGCCCGCAAAGGCTCCCGCAGGGTATTCCAATATAGCCAGCGCACGGTAAATGATGAGAACAGGGGGTTGGTTGTTTTTTTGGTGTGCTTGGTACAGTGCTAGTAAAGAAAGGGTTTGGTAGAAAACATCAAGAAAGTATCAGAGAGAGCTACTGTGACAGAGACCCAAAAGATCTGCACTGATGCTATGATCTGCACGGATGCTCAGGAAGGTGTTCAGTGTATGAACAGAATGACTGACTTGAGTGACTGATGCTCGAGGTGCATGGTTTGCGCCCGGCTGATGCACAAAAAGAACATGAGCAAAAACTGTGTAAAAATAATAATGAATTTGGTGTTGCGCAATTATCACATTAACAATTTTTAATTGCTCGATCATTACAGTGATAAAAAGCTAAAAAGTAATTAACAAAATTTATAAACTATACGATATTTTTCAGGCAGCGAGTGCAGTGACTTGAGCAGAGGTGTGATGTGACAAAATTTGCTCTACTGGAATACCACTGACGCGCAGCTGAATTCTGAACTCTCTGTATTTTGCGAATATGGCATTTGGGAACTCCAAATAAGACACTGTTACAATAGTCTAGGCGGCTTGATGTAAAAGCATGTATTGGTGTTTCTGTACATTCTTTGGTGAAGTACTTCCTAATTGTTCTAATGTTGTAGAGATGATAGAAAGCTGAAGAGCTAGACTAAATGATATGGTCAGCCATAAATAAGTTCCGTCTAACCAAACTCCAAGAATTTTCAAAGGAGCTATATTTGCATTAATAAATTAAACGTGCGAAATATTTACTTTGGCGAGCTGCTGTTTCTTGCCAAACAAAGGAAACTCAGTCTTAACCTCATTCAATGATAGTTTATTATTATGCATCCAGTTCATGACAACCTGAATACAACGCACGATAGTGGCAATAACGCAAAGAATGATTCACAAACCATACACCAGCTATCTGTGAGCAAAATAAAAAGTCGATCTTTTTAAAAAGAAATGGTAACTTTGCAATTGTGCAACCATCGTGTTATGGATTCAGTTGGGAGGTTTGACCCGGGGGGTGGGGGGGTACTTTAGGAATTTCTGGGTGGGGATATGCCGCTGGGACCCTGGAACCCTTGACCTATACCAGAGCTAACTCAGCTGAATTTTGCTACCCTATATTAGAGTAAACTCCCCAAATCCCCCTATCCTAGAGTAGCTGTTTTCCAGAAACTACCGAGGTCACTAAAAATCTTCAACCAAATGATCAGTTTCCTGAAAAACGATACCCTATTCTAGACCCAAATGCTCTCATTTATATACCCTATCCTAGAGTACACTGCTTAAAAACCATACACTTTACAGCGGGACATACCCATACACCCCATTTATGGCAGTAGTACCCCCCCGGGGGGGTTGACATGTACCAGTTAGGGAAAATCCGTCGGTCCCACTAGAAAGAACGCCTTAAAATTACTTCAATTTCCGAGTTTAAAAGTGATACGTCCTAAGCGAGCGAAGATATACAAACAAACGTCACCATACAAACGTTTGTAAAAGTTTTGGACTTTGAGGAGCTATATCTTGGTTGGTTTTCAACAAATTACTTTCAAACTTCGCAGTTTTACGGATTTAAAGACGCTCTTTCTAGCGCAGTTGACGGATTTTTCTTTTCTTGTCCACGTCAAGAGTTGAAAAAACCCATGGATGGGTCTATTATAAAAGACCATTCGCTGCTACCAAAGCAACCAACAAACTTTTTTTCTTTCAGACTCTTACTTAATTTACCAGTTTCAAAAACACTCTCGTATTGAATCTGAATTCTAAACGCTTTTCCTTTGGATCTTTATTAAATGTAGCTTCGCCCTTCAGCCCTAAATTCATCCTGTCTTTCAATAATTCCATTTTTTTTGTCTCCCGGTTTCACAATTTTCATGACTTTATTCTGATGCCATCTAGACAATTCCTAGTATCCATCATTTATTTCAGTAGTCTGTCTGGTTTACTAAGTTAACCTAAATATTAAACGTAGTGACCTAACGGGGTTGTTAGGCAATGAGCTTACAGTTTCTACCGCAAAATGAATGAAACAGGTAATAATGTATGCTTGACACAATAGTTCATTGTGGGGTTATTGAAAAGTAAATGATCAATGACTGTTCAATGAGGCTGTGGTCATCATTTTTCGGTATCCAATGGTGAATTCTTAAGTGTCAGACTATTCCAATTGAAAAGAAGACCATCAAATAAGCCACTGGATAAATATAAACACAGACGTAGCCCGCCTCATTTCTGTGTGGACAGATTCTCGCGGCAGGTGTCCCATCGCATCAACTGGGCAGTAGCATATTGTGAGGTAAGTTCTAACTGTTTGCAGGGATCCTTTAAAATTGAAAACAGAAGATTTTTTTAGAATTCCGAATGCTTTATACTTAATAAGAAATGTTGTTCTTTTGCAAGAAGTGACTCAGTTACCTGTTGTTTTTCGAAAAAAAAAACGAGTAAGAAGCGGGGAATATGGCCCGGTTTTTTAAATATTTTCATTGACTGTCAATTTTTTTTTTGAAAGCTAGCGGTCATCGTTCTGCTTGATAATTCTACTTCAAATAAGATGTCTGTAAGCCACAACTTCCCTTTTTAATCCCGTCCGTCCCAGAAACCAAACGTTAGACATAGGATGTCTAGTTTCACATCTGGCTTGCAAAACGAGATGATGCCAAAACACACCCCTTTACGTTTGCCTAAACATCTTCCACTCTAAACGCCTCGGGTCACTGTCGCTTGTCTGACTAGGCATGATTAATTCAGGGATGATTGGTGTCCTCTTTTCACTCACCCTGGTAATCATAGTCCTTATGACTCCTCCCGTACATAAAAGGATTGCAGCCAAATATAGAAGACAATTTTAGAGGTTGCTTGTCTCTATTGGATGACATCTAAGAAGTTTTATTGTCAGACTGGAGGCACGATTGAAACTGGCCACAGATTAACCTTGGTTGTTTTTGAGATAAATCAAAACAGCCTAATGTGTCGAATTTGGAAAAATTTCATCTCTGTGCAATCTAGTAGACCGTTTCTTTGACATGAATGTGCTTTGCTCTTTTCCATCATTTTGCATTTATTTCTTTTAACTCAATGTGAAGGACTTCGATGCATAAAACACAATAAATTTCGGTTGCACAAAAAGTGTGTGACGTGGCAATACGGGCTTAAGAATCGTTTCTTTTTTAACACACTTTTGCCACCCTTATTACATCAGCGTCTAGCTATACTTTGAGGCATTTAGAAATGATCTTTGTATAACGATAAAGTCTTTTATTTCACCATTTTCAGTTTTCGTTATTTACTTGTCAGTGGCAAAGAAGCAAAGGTCAGATTCGCTTAGACGAAGGGCTAACACTCGAAAAGACAGCTTAGGAATATTTTATTTATGTAATAATAGTAATAATTAGGAAATAATAATATTAATAATAATAACGAAGGAGCCCAACTCGTCATGGCGGTATTCAGTGAGGCCTTCATTCTACAGTGTTCCAAATTCCTGCTTTTTGCTCCCATAAATTTAAAAAGACTTTCCCGTAATTTGTCTTTTCAAAATCTATAATATATTTATGTAAAGAACAGATCGTCTATGATACTTATTATTATGATTATTAATTGTAATCATAATTACTATCATTATAATTATAATAATTATTATTATTATTATCATTATTACTATTATAAAACATTTATTTATATCTCTCTTAATTAGAAATATTTTGTGAAAAACCCAGCAGATTATTTTTAAAAACTGGCACATAAATCACATCGATATTTGATTCAAATTTAGCTTGTAAAAATGGATAAAATGGTACCAAAACGGAATCGCCAGGACCAACTTGCCTCGGAGTTCCTGTATTTGTTTAGAGATAGAGCATACTTTAGTCTGAAAAAACTTTTAAAATGTTCTTTACTCCAAAGGATTAACACATCAAATACATTCAGTAAAAGGAGAGCAGCGAAGATGGCAACAAAAGAATCATTATTCATGGTTTTCAGCCTTTTTGCGATGTTTCTAGGGGCAACTTCCCTTCCTACTGAACAAGGTAAAGAGGTAACAACATCAGCTGTTATTGTCGTATGAGTGTCGACTTACGGCAAACAGAAAGAGTTCTGAATAAAAATAAACCACAGAAAAAGCGCCAGCGAAGTGCGGGCCAATAACCTTGTGGTCTGTTCATGACGATCCAAAAAAAGACATGTCATTAATTAAGTAACCAAGATCTTGAAACAGACAAACGAAGGATGAAAGCCATTTTTAAATTTTTAAGCATGTCAGAGAGCACTTTTATAAGGTTAACTGGCTAAATGTTGAGTTAAAAATGTGCGGAACGCAGTCATTAACGGAAGAGAACACAAGGAGATATCGAAAGAAACTGGTCTCCTTACACGAAAAGTGGCTGATTAAAGAGAATCAACTTTCCTCAACATATAATGAAGCTTTAGTTAAAAAGTCAGTGAAAACCAAACAAATCTTGTTAGACGGGCAAATGATCTACAATTTTTCTTTTTCTTTAAGAAAGCGGAAAAAGGGAAGGGCATAATTTTAACGCCTTTTCTAATGATATCAACAAGTGTCTGTTCACCGCGTGGACAACTGCTTCTGGAAATCCAAACGCCGTTTTGAGCAAGTCTGTTGAGTGTAAAGGGTATGCAGGAAGCCATGTACAGCTGTGCTATGGTCTTGAACCACCTAAGGCACAGTTTGCTGCCTGCTACAACAAAGAAACACTTACTCCAGACTTCACAGGACACATCGTAATACCCGATATCGAGGGAAAAGGAAGAGAAGATGACTGGAGGGAAGACAAAGGAAAATTTGGTAACGAGTCTTACTTTCCACTAATTTTTCTTTGCCAGAGCAGAAACCCATATTATTATCCACATCAAACACCTTTGCCAGTACTTTCACATTACTAAATTTGTAAGTGTATAAATAGTCAAGTGCAGCGTTATAGGGAATACCGGGCTTGTACTTGGAAATTGTCCTGTAGTACAAAAAGTCAGACAAGGAAAAACAGTAAATTTCCTTCCAAAAATAAGGCTAGCCCAATCGATTTTGAAACGCAAATTTCCCTCCGTACATAAGCCCGTCCGAATTTAGCCTCTCAGAAAATAAGCCCCCCAAAAAGGGCCTTTGAAAAATATAAACCTCGGGGCTTATTTTCGGAATTTTACGGTAGTTATACCATATATACAAATACAGAGTGAACGGGATTGTTTGACACAAGTCATGCACATGGGGTGAGCTAGAGAAGGTAGCTGAGTTTCCATCACGGTAGACAAACATATACCAACCCTTTGATAATTCAATTGATTGAGCTAGGATACTTGCCTTGTCGCCACTTTTTCCTTTTTCCTAATGATAAACTAATTCCTTGTGTATTATTTTGCACTGCACCCACTAGCCCCAGTGCCTCAATCGAAAGTAGAAGACTATGATCCTTACAGCCAAGGAGGCTTGTTCAACAACTATGACATCAAAAAGCAGTTTTTCTTAGCCAAAGGACATCTGACTCCTAATGCAGATTTTAACACAGATGATGAGCGTCTTCTGACAATGATAACCACAAACATTGCACCTCAGTGGCAAAAGTTTAACGGCCAGAACTGGCAAGAAATGGAGAAAGGTGTACGAAAATGCGCAAGTTCTAGCCGAAGAAATCTATACGTTTTTACTGGTGTGGGTAAGTAGCGAGCCTTCAATGTGCCAGTGTATTTGCCAGCAATTTCCCGACTTACGACAAGAATGCATCTTTTAAATCAAGTAGCCATTTCTGCAGTTTTTTAAAAGCAATACTGTTAACATCACGTTCAGCGCTTGATCCACTCTTCGTAGAGTATGATTTCAAGTATGTTTCTTAAATGTGTTTGCCCCAGCTGCTCCGTCAGTGCGCATTTCAGACCACGTGCAGTGGCGTCGATCCAAAGGAAGAGTTTGGAGGTCCCAACCCTACTTTCCAATTGCATTATGACACCAGTTTTTTAATCAGTTTTAAATGTTTATTGAGCTCTTCTGAAATTGATACCAACTATGGATTGTATTCACCTGTCATTTAGTATAAGCCTAGCATAGCATTTCGACTCTAAACGGCGAATTACCTTGCTCTTTTATGAATATAGAAGAGCGAAGAAGCAGCAAACTGTGACCAATTAACCCGAGTCCCAATAGTGACCAACATCAATTTTCTCATAACGATAGACATAGATTGTCAAGAGTTTGGGTTATGAGAATTAATAAAATGATCACCTAAGAGAAAACGCTTTGATCTTTTGTCAAATTCTCTCAACTCATTCTTTAAGGAAATGTATAGAGATCAGTTTGGAGAATTTGTATGTGGATATTGGGACTTATAAAGGGTTAAAACAGTTTTACAGTTTTAAAACATTGTTCACTAGCTTGGACCCATTCCCCTCAGCTGCCTCGATCCTTCCTGAGGTCCCATAATATGTAACAGCTGCCGGTATATTCTATCAAGACTACACCAAGGTAATAAACAATTATTCCTCGAGCCGGCACTTTTCGCTACTAGTGGGCTATAACAGTATAGCCTAGTAGTAGCTCAACCAATCAGAACGCAGCATTGATAATAGATCACTAGTTGGATTTTACTAAAAGGATTTATCTTTAGCACACCTAAGGTTCTTTTTCCTTTTAGGAGGTAAAGCAAGAGATTCGAGTGGTGAAGTTATCTCTCTCAAGAGAAGAGTTTTGACCCCGAGGTGGTTTTGGAAAGCCGTTTGTGATCCAGTAGCGAAGCAGTCGATCGTCTTCGTGGGTGAAAACAGCGTTGGCATCGCCAGCCAGGCTAAAGCAAAAGGATGCAATATGATTGAGCAAACAAAAGATAAGGGCATAATATATTGCATGAGCCACCAAGAGGCATCTCGCAAATTCGAAGATTTTAAATTGCCACCTTTTCAAGAGAAAAATTGTAAGCCTTCAGAGAAAGGCACATTCATGGATAATTTCCTTAATGGCCTTAAATGATTTAAATTGGTGAATGAATGCAAGAATGCGAATAGCTTAATATCTGACCATAACAATCTTAAAAGAATGTCAATAAACGTTCGTAAAACTTTATGATGTTGTGGCGTCTAGGTTTTTCAGTTCTTCTCTCTCATGCACACGGTGGGCTCTTGTTTGAATATCATCGGATACGAAAAACTAATTCTTCTCAAGCTACTCATAACCTGTAAAGATTCCGTAAAGCCTTCATTTCCACTAGTCCACCATCTGTGACTCGAGAACAATAGCTCTGTGGTACGGTGAAGATTTGACAAATAACTAAGAAGGAAATAACGGAGAAATATCTGACTGGAATATTTACACTTGTTTCATGTGAATTTTCATCTATCAAAAATCTTAGCTTCAGTTGAAAGTGTAGGTGCCGTTTCTTGAGGTGCGGTAATTAAGCTCTCCCCGCTCTCCTCTGCAAAGGCTCGGCCGCTGAGAATTCCAAAAAAAGTAGAAATAATCAAAAAATAGCAAAGGCGCAGTGAATGATGGGAAGAGGGAAATGCCTCTCTTCTTCTCTTTGCCCTTCCCATCTTTCCCCGGGCGCTCCTTTCTCCTTCTCCCCAGTCTCCTAAGCACACAAGGGGTCCTCTGCGAAGGAGAGGGACTGAGCTCTCCCTATCGTGGCCCCTATATCTTATCGACTCGAGTAATAAAACCAAATCTTTGTGTTTCACTCCCCCATGTGACGCAACACCATGCTGTCTTTAGCATATAAAATCCTTCATTAACCTCTTCAGTGCTTGCCTACTATCCCATGATGCCAGTGGCTCCTGAAAATCGCTCAGTTCTGGGGATAATTAAGTGAAGCCACCGGGGGCGAAGGGTGAGGTGGGAAAGGGAGAAATTTTTTGCCTGTTCACAGACCTTTTTTATTTTCTCTTTACAGATCGCCGCGCGATCTCCCCCCAAATTTATGGGGGTGCAGCAATCGATATTGAAAGTTAATGGGGGTCGTACTTATAAACGACCTTAGCCTTTTAGTGCTCGAAATAAGGAATGCCAGTCTCGTATGATCGATAAAATGGGATCTGTGGAGATTTTTTACTATGATGACTCTCTTAGGGCAGGATATAAGTCCAAAATATTCTAATTGTTTTATTTTGATTTGATGAATTCGATAAATCTTTCCTTTGAGAGAATGGAAGTTGAATGGTTTCTTCTGATAGTCTTGGACTCTTTCACCCTTTTTTTTTTTTTAGTTAACTTATGCATATTATAAATTTAGGGGCGGATTATCTTTCTCAGGCGAATTGGGGAAGGCCAATTTTAGCCAGTCTGAACACCATTACCACCGGAGTAGCTTAATAGTTCAGTGACCCGTAACTATGATGAATAACAAATGAGCCGTGAAATCCTTTTAATTTGAACTGCGGCTTATCGCTTATAACTTCCATTGCCGGCCAGGAGAAGATAAACCTTAGAGATTTACATTACGTAGTGCAACATTGTGACAGTTAAGGACACTAAATATATTAATTATTATTGGATTTTCGTCAGAAGGTAAGGGCTTAACATTTGTTTGTACATTCATCACACCTTTCTTTGTCTGATGAACTCAAAAGTACAAGTCTACGAGGAAACTAGCACCATGTTTGAAAAAATAGGTTCAACAATACCCTCATTACTTTCTTTTCCTTTGCCAAGGCAGGGCTTGATTGACACTTATTTGAGATATTTTTCTGGGAGGGTCTTGACACATTTGTTCCATGGTTAGCTCCAAAGAAATCAGTGACACGGTGCGCAGCACGTTAGGAAATATTTGTTGCTTGTTTGAGGGGTTTGAGAAACTATATTTATCGTTCTTCCCGTCCATATCATTTGCCCAGTGAATTAATAAGAACGCCTGATTCATCTCTGTTCATTTCTTTATCCTGCGGGGATTGTTTTGCCTTTTTGTCTTCTTCGCTATTTAGCTAAAAAGTGCTTGGTTTTCACTTTTAATGATTGATTTCATTTATGTTTATTTATCAAAGGAAAATTTCTAACATCGTTTCAAAACTTTTAAATCGACCTACAAGTTATTTCCAGACAATGAAATAACCAGTTCCCAAAAGCTTTAATTAGTTATTACGGGAGCCTGTTATAGGCTCCTGGTTATTATCAGGTCTCTAAACAAACCTATAACTAGAACAATAAATTTAAAATCCTGCCTTATGTGTTTGATTACTATTATGTTTCATTGGGATGACACAGAAAAGCTTTTTTGTTTAGAAAGAAATTAAAACAGTATACCCTTCACAATTGAGTTTATTTTTACCGTCATCTTCCACTTCAAAAAGCCAAAAAAACAAAGGAATTTGTGAAATTAAAGAGTGTGTCTTCAGTGAAGTTTATAGTCAGACTTATCTTCATGTAAGTTCAGGGGCAACCAACTACGATTTCCTCCAAAATACGTTCAAAACAGTTTTGAGGCTATCCTGAGTACTTTTAGACCTCTAGAAATGCATTCCAAGCGGCGCTTCAAAATTTTTATCTGTTCGGTCATCCTAGGGGAACTTAGGTCTTTTCGAAATTACAAGGGTTTCAGTATTATTTTTCAGAAAATTTTAGGTTCAATAATTCAATTTAACGTTTTACGAAAGTAAGAATTTTTCTGATTCCTCTCTCGATCACATTTTAAAGAAAAATAGTGTAACCTGGGTTGTAAAATATGAAAAATTAAACTTCAGAAAATACTAGGGAATTTATTAGATAAGCTTCGAAAATTGAACACGAATGGAACGTTGATCTACAAGTTCAGTCCAGCCGTCCTCAAGCAAAAGAAAATTCGTTCTGGGCAATATTTGCTTCTCCGAACAGATATTTCACCGAAAACGGTTGTTGCCATGGAAGCCCCTGTAAGTTAACCTAGACAGTTTACGTGCTCACTGTCCAAGTCATGAGTTGTACCCGTACCCATGAACAATCCACTAGGCAACGTTGCCGACCTAACTCCGTAATGTAATGATGTGTTGCGCCTCTATTACAGAAGAGGAATTTTCTTTTTTGCATGGATCGTCCTTATAAGTTCAAACTAAGTTTAAATCAGTAAGTTCTAATAAAATTTGTCTTCACTTGATTTGTCCAACATTGACAGATAACAATTTAAACAAATTATAAATTTCTTCAGTGGATTTTTTTCCATTCCGGAAGTTTTGTTTTTGTTTTCTGCTGACCAAACCCTATTCCTCTACAGAAAAAAATTACAGGGTATTATCGCTCATCCCGAGAGGTTTATCCCAAGTACCTTGGACATTTGTCATGTTTGCCTCAAGCCCCATTAAGCAACATTGTTGGCCAACAAATTATCAATGTTGAATGTTACATGTTGCTAGGCTTTGATAGATTACTTGTGCTCACAAAATTAGCATTATATGCTACTAGCGGTGCTCGCATATTTCTAAAATTATGCTAGTAATTATGCTTGTGTTTGTGAATTATGCTCATTTTAGCAAAAAATCAGAAATTATTCTTCTACTTTTTACTTTAAATTGGGTAAAAGCAACTATGCAACAAACAAGTAAATGGCAAACTCATTTGCCCTGTTTACGTCTATAAACTTTAAGAGTGAATAATTCATAGTCTCAAACAATAAAGAATCAGCACGCGGACGCCATCTTGGGCAACTGAGCCAGTAATGCGTATGCGTTAGGTCACTTTCTGTGGCATCCAGAAAAAATCTGACAAAAAAAATCGATTTTAATAATTGAATTTGCCTGAAACACTGATCTCGGGTCAAAAAATGATTGCGCAAGCAATAATTGACAATTTTGTGCTGCAAAATCGAACCAAAAGTGCAAATAATGCTAGCAGTGCATTTTCGGAAAACACGTATGGAAATCATGCTCGTGATGACGAATTTAACCAACAATTATGCTAAGCCTAGAAAAATCTATCAAAGGCTACATTTTGCGTCCGTTTACACACCCTGTTGCTTGTTGTTGCGTGTTGTTGGGAGTTGTTGCGCAAAGTTTGAAACCGGTCCAACTTTTGTTGGTGAATTGTTGCGTCTGTTTGCACGTAGCTTTACGCATGTTTTAACTCCTGTGCAGAATTTTAAATTAGAACGATAAACTTATCCATACGGCGAGTAACACGTTTAGAAAGAAATGTTGGAACGTTTAAAACTACATAAGCGCAAATCCTTCAAGTTACGTTTAAGGGGATCTTCTGGCTTGTATCGTATCACAGCCCTGGTGGGTTGTGAGCTGTTCTGTTTTACAACTTTTTAAATTTCGCTGACTATATTTTGTTCAGGTTACTCCAGAAAGCATCCTTGTAATCGGTTAGACAGGTTGAGAATGCTAAATTCTTACTTTGTATATTCTTTTAACGTAAAAGGATCTCGGGGATTTCTGGCTTATACTGAGACATGATGCGAGTCAAGCGAACATTGGTAGCCATCCTTCTCTTACTGTCCATCCTTCACGGGGCAACATTAGAAATAAATAAAAAAGGTAAATCTCTCTTTTATAAACTGTTTATAAGTATTCCAATCTCCCTCTTGAATGAGATGAGGTTTTTAAGATACATTGAATATAGTTTGACGCATTGTTTCACGTCAATAGCTAGACCGTGCAAAATGATGCAGTATTCACACCAACACTCTTGATTGTAACGAGTTGCTATTCAGTAATTTCAGTAATGCGCCAGAAGAGAGCTGTCCAGCAACCACAGGAGCCGGACATGAATTCCTTTGCTACAGACTTCAACAAATGTCTGTTCAAATTCTGGACAACATTTTGCGGGCCCAGAGAATCTGTCCTTCAGATGCCTGTCAAGTGTCCAGGAGGAACTTCAAAACAGCTTTGTTATGGAGCCAATCCTAACCAAGCTCAGTTTGCTGTTTGCTACAGCACAGAGACAAAAATACCGCTTTTCTCTGGACACGTTCTGGATCCCAATATCCCAGAAGGTGGAGGAAGAGATGCAGATTGGAGAAGCGACCCCACTGTTGGCAAGTAGTGTAATTATCTTCAAGGGTCGATTTCGATCCCGTTAACCTTCTGTACAGTGGCCATAACACCTTTAACCGGCACTCGTTTGATTAACGATTATTTGTTAATTAACTAGGAAACCAAGACTCAGTGGCACAAGACGATGATTACAGGGCCGCGCAGAACCAAATTATAGACAACTACAATCAACAACAACAACATTTTTTTTCCAGAGGTCATCTGACTCCAAATGCGGATTTTGCAGATGCCGACCGGCGTTCATACACAATGGTAACAACCAATATTGCACCGCAGTGGCAGTTATTCAACGCTCAAAACTGGGCTGAAATGGAAAGACTGCTAAGAGGGTTTGCAACCCAAGAGAATCATCCACTTTATGTATTTACTGGCACAAGTTAGTATCACATTTCAACGTTTTCATTTCCGATAATAATAGTAGCAATTCATTTTCTGAGGGAAGGAGGGACGCTATCGAACCAAATTACCAAGTGAACTACCATTGTGGTCTGCGTTCACTGGCAGCGTATAAAACAGACGTAGGTCTTCTTTCCAGCGTAATATCATTACGTACAAGGCGCAAACGCCTCACACGAAAATCGAATGACCAGCTTTATTCTCGCTATACAAGGTAATTTCATTTTTCTAGCATAAGTTATCATTCTGTCATTAAAAAATCATAATCTCTCCCAAACTCCATCCAACACTGTAAATAATAATAATAATAATAACAATAACAATAATAATAATAATTATAATGATGATGGTGATGATGATTGTATTTATATAGCGCTGTTTACCACTAATTGTCAAAGCTGTTACTAAGATAAATTATGGTAATAATGTTAACAGTAAAACATAAAACGCCAACGTCATAATTTGAAAAATACAACAAAATAATCACCATATTAAAAATCTGTATGAAAAGAAATCTCTAGATCAAAAGCTGCGTCTTTAGTGATCTCTTAAATTAATTCAAATACGCTGTTTTTCCGATTACATATTCTATTCCATAAATTTGGAGCTGCGATAAAAAAGATATATATCCATACGTTTTTAATATCAGTAAGTACTATTCAGTGCAACTAAAAGTTAAGACATTCTTTACTGCAAGAATGTAAGGACCTAGAATATTTCTGATAACTCAAGAGATGGGAGATATACGAAGGAACCGGACCATTTAGAACTTTGTTCACCAATAAAAATACGGAAAATCCTCTATTGAGCCATCCCCCCTCTCAAATAAGCCTAACCTGTGGGTGGTCAGGCCCTCCTTCTTCCCTTTTCTATTGTTGAGCCAATAATGACTGATGCTCAAGTGTCAAAGGATCAAGCGAACAAGGCGCAACTACTCGTTAGACAGAATTCAGACGTCTATATTTCAAGTTTTCTTGGAAAATCATGTCCCCGGTGCTCATGCAATAACTAATTCTTTGAGAAAAACATTATATATTTCCTCTTCTCATCTGACCATCATCTGTCCATAAATTTATGTCCCGTCAGACCAATCTGATTTCTGTAATATAACGTGGTATTCCACAGGGGTCTATTTTAGGCCCTCTCTTATTTACTATTTATATTAATGATCTCCCTTCATGTAATTTGTTTTCAAAACCCAGAATGTATGCAGATGATACTACCCTTACCTCGTCTGCAGAAGACCCATGTGTCCTTGAACATAAAATGAATTATTATATGAATTTAATTCAATCATGGCTGTCAGCAAACAAATTAACTTTAAATGTTAAGAAGAGTAAATACATGCTTATAGGGACCCAATTTAAGTTATCCCAAATAAATAGTGACTTCACAGTCAAAGTCAATAATACACCCTTAGAAAGAGTAATTAAATATAAATCCCTTGGGGTTCAAATTGATGAATCTTTGAACTGGCAGCCACACATTAATACCATATATCCGCTGGTATGCAAATGCACTGGTAATACCATATTTTAATTACTGTGGTGCTGTATGGGGTAATATCAATAAGGGACTAGCAGACAAACTTCAAAAGATGCAGAATAGGACTGCTAGAATTCTCACCTTTTCTAACTATGACGTTTGCTCAAGTGTTTTTGTTGGATGAACTTGGCTGGGAAAGGCTAGAATATGTAAGACTTAAACAGTTGGCTGTGACAATGTATAAAATCCATAATAATCTTTTCCCGTCGTATCTGAGGCGGATCTTTGCCAACACCTCAAATGTTCATTCACACAATCTTAGAAATACTGAGTTAAATTATTGTGTCTCCAGACCCAGAACTGAGTCTGCAAAAGGGAGCCTACACTACAGAGGATCTGTTCTGTGGAACAAGATTCCCTCAGTGATTAGAAAACTGCCTGGTTTAAATGTTTTTAAAACTTCAATTCATGGGAAAGATTTTCTAATACACCATGTCTCATTGTAACCCTTATTATTAATAATGTAAGTTTTTGTATTTTTAACATTATAGTCAAATAGTTCCTTAGAGTATTTTAGTCTAGTTTTAAACACGATTCCTAGGAAGACATGTAAAATGATACAATTTCGTGCATAAATAAAGATTGATGATGTAAGGTAATTGAGGGATACATGCCTTCCCAGACTTCAGATAAATGACTACTTGGCTGACCGCTTTATCCCTGTACGACGGCTCCGGTGTGACATTTTTCGATGGCCTGTCATAGATATCCGAATACAAAGTTACGAATTATAAGTTTGTGATTATTGTTATTGTTGTTGTTATTAAATTTTGTTTTTTGTTTTTCTTTATTTTTTTTTTTGGCCATTTTTAGTTCTCTTTATCAAAAGTAAGTCTGACTTTGTATTAACGTTGTTATATTCAAGGTGGACAGGCGAAAAATAGAGCTGGAGAAGAAATCAAGTTAAACCAACGGGTTGTAGTGCCCTTGTACTACTGGAAAGCTGTGTGTGATCCACTTCACTTGCAATCGATTTTCTTCTACGCTCGTAACCCAACCGACACAGCAAGGGCTGATAAACAGGAAAGAGGCTGTGAAGAAGGAGAACAGACTCAGACATCTGGGATAGTCATGTGTAAGAGTATAGACGACGGCATTCAAGCGATTGAAAAGGATGTCCCTGGGGCTATACTCAAGATACCAGAGTTCACCCGAAAGAAAGCGTGTAAACCTAATGAGATGGGAGCGTTATTCACCGGATATATTCGAGGTCACGCTCACTGGAATTAATATTTAATTTCTTCGTCTGTCGTTAAACGAATAATATAATCGATTAAAGATAGACAACGTTAAACGATATAAATGTATTTTTTAAGTGGGGGACGGGGGGGCGGGGGGTACGTGGGTGTGTGGTTAATGTTTGACATGTTTGTCACCCTGCCTGCATGGTAGGCGTTTGAAAGGGAATAAGAAGACCATTCCGGGTGTGTAAGAAGTACTTATGTTTAGAAATGAACGCAAAGGCGAGAATGGCACAAATGGCAAAAAATATATAAACAAATTGGATCCCAAAAGGGGCCCCTTTGAGAGTGGCACGTTTGTCAAAAACGGAAAATTGGCACAAATGGTGAAAAATCGCTAGAGGGCTGGCGATATCTAGAATCTGGCAAATATTCAAATTAAATGCCAAAAGTGGCCCCTTTTCAACAAGAATGGCAAATCAGAAAAAAATGCCAACAAGTCAAAAATATGCTAGGGAATTTATGTACAAAAGGGCCCCTTTGAAAGGGAAAATACTTTTACTATACTAAGCATTGCCTTTACTTAACGATGCGGCAAAAATACCGTACAACTGAATTCATTTCAGTTAGGCTTATGTATTTAGGTCATGTACTCCACAGGTTAAGTAACTATTTTCTTATGTCAAAAATATGCCAGGGAGTTTATGCGAAAGGCCCTCCTCCCTTCTCCCTCGCCACGCAGGCTTTCAGAGAAGGACACCACTGTAACCTTATCGAGAGTCAACCGTATGACGGCGCGCCCCGCGCGGAGATCAATGCAGGGATGCCCATATCACTATTACAGCGCCTACTTTTTCTCCCTTTACTTACCCAAAGGACTGGATCCACTAGTAAATATATCCTCTCCATTGACCGTTCCATACAATGGAATTCCGCCAATACCGCCAATTAACGAACAGTCCCCTAATTGCAAATTGTTACGTCCGAGTGAACGAGAGAATAGTAAACTTGTTTGAGTGTACTTCAATTTAATTCTAGCCTTGCATTGTCTCTAGCCAGCGTTGACCAAATTTGGAAGACATTAGCCAATATCAGAACAGTTGATGTCACTTGTACTGATATAGACAGAAAAGGGGCCGACAGCACTGAGAGGGTGAAGGAGACTTAAATTTAGAAGACACAGTAGCTCAAAAGAGCCCAGGCTAGGTGGTCAGGCCATCTTGTCATAAAACCTGATACAAGCCCCTTCCCCCTCCCTCCAGAAGACTGATCTACGGCGAATTAATGGAGGGGAAAAGCTGACAGGGTGGACAGAAGACGAGCTACAAGGACTCTGTCAAAGCGTCGTTGAAAAGCTCAGATATTGATTTTGAAACCTGGGAGACTCTGGCACTTGACCGACCAGCCTGGCGTGGCAAAATCAACAAAGAAGCTGTGATCTTCGACCAGAACAGAATGGCAGAAGCTCAGAGTAGATGCGAGCTGCGCAAGTCTAAAGTAATCTCCTCGCCACCTGCCCAATTCACCAGTATCCGGAATGCAACAGAAAGTTTCCCTTCCGTATTAACAGGATCAGCCGCAGCCGGACACACTGCACTAAATCCTTCTCTTCGTGGTGTTGCTGGTCATCGTCTACAACGACAGACGAGCAACATAGTGGGCGGTTTACTTGTTTGTTGAAATGGAATGTCTTGCAATCCAAGCAAATATAAAGAGTTGACGATCAAAAGAGAGGCAACCACGATCTCTATTCGCCTATTGGGATGATACCAAGCTGTAAAGAAGTAGAGATTTTGGGCGTCACCTTCCAATGTGACAGCAAATTTTCAGCGCATGTGAAGAACAAACATATTAAGGCTAACAAATCCCTACATATCCTTAGAACACTGCACAAAGAGGGGTACAATCAGTCAGAAATAGACCTTCTCTTTAATACATTAGATCTACCTTATATTACTAGTACGCATTATCTGTCTACGCCCCGTCCGAGTTCGATCTTACACCTGTACAATGTGAGGTCTAAAACGAACCTAAAACAATATCTTAAAACCATTATCGGGGTGTTTTAATAGTAATGTTTTCTTTGATTACTCGTTTGGTGAAGAAAAGTCATTTTGTCCAAAAAGGAACTGAATATTTATTTCCTCAGAATTGCGTTTCTGCACCAGCATCCGCCACGCCAAGAAGGGAGAAAACATCTTTAATTACTGAGTATGGACCTGATATTCAAACCTGAGTTAGAAATTTTTACAATGATAATGTTTCACGCTGCGTCTTACACAATGGTCACGGATCAGAATTTTTTTGGTCTTAGAAAGAGTCGTTCAACGGGGTTGCTCTTTTACCCTTGGCTTTTTGCACGGATCGTCCGAATACATAAACGTCTTAACAATGTGGACTAATTAATTTGTACTTTCCTCTTCTTTTACCATAAAGTACACCATGGAAAATGGCACCCCTTTCAAATACCCACTCAATAGCAAAAACACTGATCTGTGAATTCCTTCTCTGTCATAAATAAACAAGGAAGTATATCTCCGATTGACCAAGTGCTAGTTTGTTCGTCTCCGAAATGTCGCCTGTTTTTACAGGCTATGCCAGACGCAACTGTTTCCAGATGCGTTCGGGGTAATTCGACATAATCTGGTATAAATTCGGCCAATAAAAGTGACTGTAATTTAGTGACCTGTAACCATGAATAACAAAATAATAAGCTGTGAGCTCTCTTTTGAAGTAGTTGCTTATAACTGAAACTGACTAAAGCCTTCATTGTTGAGTTTATTCCTGACGTTCAGGAGTGTACAGGCTTTAATTTAGAGGTTGGTAATAAGTCTCAGATAGTTACATATTTTCAGGAAACTAAGAGTAGTGATTGTTTGCTGTTAGAAGGTGAGACCTTTGTATTTGTTATAGTATTCAGCCTTTTCTGTCTGATCAGCTCAAAACTACCAGTTTGCAACTATGGGGATTATACTTTATCGTCTGAATACAGGATTTGATTGACACTTGTACTGCCTTTTTTTGGTGCTCAGTGCATGACCTGAGAGCAAAAAATTAATGGACCTTTATTCTACGGCGATCTAAGATGAACTCTAAAGAAAAGCGTGAGGCGGCTCGCAGCTGGGCTATAGAGAATCATTTAGTCAGTCGGGGAAACCCTATTATATTAATAGTTTGTTGTGAGAACGTGAGAGCTTTATATTATTTGTTGATAAATTCAAAACACGGCCTCTGTGATCAGGACAAAAGCCACGTTTACACGTGAAAGGATGATTTTTTAAAAGACTGTTTTATAAACCCCATCAAGCTTTTTAAAATCGACTCAACATCATTTGCCTCCCATGTGTCCTGTAAAGTGATTATCTTACAGACGTTCCCTTCCCTGAAAACAAGGAAACTCACTCCTTTTTAATTCAAGTATAAATTTTCCTTTCTTCCTTACACCTAAACCAATTTTATTTCTATTTTGTTTGTTTATTACAAACAATGAAGTAACCAGCCAAAGAGGCATTCATTATTTATAAGCGGGTCTCAACGAACCTGAAACAATAGACTTAGACTTGTATTGTGTTTCAATTCTGATGATTACTGAGTAATCTTGCTTCTTTTAGAAAAGTTGTCTTGTCAAAAAAGGAATATTAAAGGTATACTCTTCACAACATTGGCATGCTCTACCCTCCCAACCCCAATAAAAAAGAAACGAAAGAAAAGGATGTGGGGAAATCACAGAAGATCTAATTAGTGGTCCGTAAATGATAAATGAAAAGACCAGTTAAATGCTTTGAATACGGTGGGAGGGTACTAACCTGCGTCAAGTTTCAGATCGGCTCCCCTCAGTCTTGCCTGGGACCAGGCTCCGTAAAGAAGGAAAAAGGTAAAAATCAGCGAGCGAAGCGAACCAAGGGGGTGGACCGTCTGGACTGGGAAGAAGGAAAACCCGCCGCCCTTTCCCCTTCCCTAATCCAACAAGAGAAGACAAGACAATGCTTTATTTAGAGTCTTATACAGTCCTATGTACATCGACTTTATCCAAATAATTTAACATCATAACACAAATTGCACACTAGTGGAACTATAATCAATAAACAACTAAACAACATGTTTGGCTTCTCCCCCCCCCTCTTCGTCCTTACCGAGGCTCCGATCCCAGGATAGTAAATAACTATTCCAGGGCCTATGGTCAATTGTAAATAAATTCAACTCTTATCTATAATGACAGACTCTCTGACAATACCGCTCTTTTGAAGTACCCGTAACCCTCCTCCACCCCCGATCCCTCCCCCCCCCCCTTCCCGCTACGTATTGACTTGGAGGTCTGTGTGTATTGTGTAAGTAATTAATGCGCCTCGGCACTCTATCATTTGCATAATACAAGTCGGATCCGTAGGTTTTTAAGTACAGATACCACTAAAGCCCTCGTACATGCTTTTGTTACCTCGCGCGTACATTATTGTAATAGTCTTTTATATGGCTTGCCAGCTTCTCAACCTGAATAAGGTTCAGCGCGTTTTAAATGTCGCAGCAAGGCTAGTTTGTCGCGCGCCACGCTACTGTCGCATAACGCCGTTGCTGTACGAGCTGCACTGGCTACCGGTTAGGCAACGCATTAGTTTTAAGATTTTACTATTTGTTTTTAAGGCCATCTATGGATTCGCGCCAACGTATTTAAGAGAACTTGTGTCGATTAAAAGATCAAGAAATTATAATTTAAGATTCTCCTCGGATGGTTTGTTGCTTGCAACGCCAACTTATAGAAGTAGGGTTACATTAGGAGACAGATCATTCCAGGTCGCAGCTCCGGCACTTTGGAATGTATTACCTCGTGAGATTGGTTCTATTACAGATCTAGGGATTTTTAAGTGCCATATGAAAACGCACCTCTTTAGGGAAGCTTTTTATTAATTTTTATCACGATAATTACTAGTATCTTAACATATGTTGTATATTTTAATTTTATCATAGTATAATTTAAATAATTATCAGTTAGATACCCTGCATTAAATTATTATAGATAGAAATCATATATGCGCGCTTGATCATTTCATGGAAAGCGCGCAATATAAGAATTAAATTATTATATTATTATTATTACTCCATGGAAAGTTAACTTAGGGCCTGATCTTGACGATGAGACTGGCCAACACGGCAAACCCCCTGTTAAAATTTTCGCCACAGTCACCCCAGAATATTATGGGGGTTTTGCAAGCATGTTTTCAAAAATTCGGCTAGCGGTTAGATGGGCCTACAACTGTGGAGCCTTATAGGTGGAGGAGAGTGGGGGTAGGGGCTTCCAAGCAGCAGCAGTTCATAGCCTAGGTAGGCTGTGGGCTCTGGTTCATGGTCCAAGACAGCTCATTACGGTGGTCAATTAGACAGGCTGCGTAAATTTTCTTCTTTACCTTCAAAATTTATAACTAATTTCTGGCAGTAAAGTGTACATACATGTCAGACAGGTTGAGAATGCTAAATTCTTACTTTGTATATTCTTTTAACTTAAAAGGATCTTGGGGATCTCTGGCTTATACTGAGACCTGTGATGCGACTCAAGCAAACGTTGGTGGCCTTCCTGTTTTCTCTTTCCATCCTTCAAGGAGCAACATTGAAAATAAATAAAGAAGGTAATACTATAAATCTCTTTTACATAAGTATCCAAGTAAAATCTCTCAATCAAAAAATTTCAAGTAAATAGCTATCACTACAGAATACCAACACTTTTGATAATAACGAGTTGCTTCCAGTTTCAGCAATGTACCAGAAGAGAGCTGTCCCGCAACAACGAAACCCGGTCGTGAATTCCTTCGATTCAAACTTCAACAGGTGTCTGTTCACATCCTGGACAAGTTTTGTTAATACAAAATACCCCTGTCCTGCAAATGCCTGTAAAATGCCAAGGGCGATATTTACAACAACTTTGTTATGGCACAGATCCGGAGGATGAAGACAGAGCTCAGTATGCTGTTTGCTACAACACAAACACACTTATTCCAGAATTCACTGGGCATGTTTTAAATCCCTTCGAACCACAAGCTGGGGGAAGAGACGAGTGGGCAATCGACCGAACTGTTGGCAAGTTATTTTCCATTCTCTTGGTCTATTTTTTTGTGTGTGTTTGTTTTAGCCAATGTTTTTGACAATTTAATTCTTACAGTTAAGCGTAACCAACGATCCAAGCAGGTTTTAAGATAATGTACAAGTATATAAAGACACAGGTACACAACTATTCTAGCACTAGTACAAACTGAATAAAGACAGTCCTCTATTTTTATGTTAGATCGTCGTGATCTAGCAAGTTAGTACCGTTTCCCTCTGGTGGTGATCGTGGTCTCTTATTTGGGTAAACTATCAAATCCATTCAGTAAACCCTAGGTGCCCGAGATTTTTTTCTTTCTTAATTCCGTCTAGAAAGCTTATAAAACCGAGTGCACGGTATATCGCGCGATAATAGTATCAAGAAAAGGCTTGGTCGATTTTAACTTATCAGTAACCCTTAAATTCTAATGACTACATCACACATCATGTTCGATTCCGTAAACGCTGACATCACCAGGAACAAGGTCGAACAACTTTTCTACAGACTTGTCTCTTGCGGTGGTCCCTACGTTCCCATTCACAAAGACACAGGTACACAACTATTCCAGCACTAGTACAAACTGAATAAAGACAGTCCTCTATTTTTATGTTAGATCGTCGTGATCTAGCAAGTTAGTACCGTTTCTCTCCGGTGGTGATCGTGGTCTCTTTCTTGGGTAAACTATCAAATCCATTCAGTAAACCCTAGGTGCCCGAGGTTTTTTCTTTCTTAATTCCGTCTAGAAAGCTTATAAAACCGAGTGCACGGTTATTTTATCCTAGATATTTCGAGAAAGGGCCTCTTGAACCAGGGTCATATCGCGCGATAATAGTATCAATAAAAGGCTTGGTCGATTTTAACTTATCAGTAACCCTTAAATTTTAATAACTACATCACACATCATATTACACGTTATCGCTTCCTCTTTTCATCTTTCTTTTCTTCTATTTTTGCTGACATTCATTTGTTTTCTAAGAACCGGTGGCACTCCTTTCTGACTATTCCGCCTCTCAAGGCCGACTTATTAACGGGTACAACCCACAGCAAAACAGGTTTTACTCCAGAGGACATCTGACTCCAAATGCGGATTATGCCGACGAAAATGATCGTCAAAGGACAATGTTACCAACCAACATTGCACCGCAGTGGCAGGGGTTTAATGATGGAAACTGGTGTGTAATGGAACAATTTCTGAGACGGTTTGCAAACATTGAGAGACATGAGCTCTATATATTTACTGGCACAAGTTAGTATGACAATTTAGCGTTTCACTTCCAATGATAGTAGATTTTCTGAGGGTGGAGAGGGTGCGGCGAAGGTTATCGATCTCTAGAATGTTAATTGCTTTTCTTATAGGTAAATTATTGTTATAGACTATTTAAGTCCCCACGCCGGTCGGTATTTGGAAATTTAAGTGTCTCCGTCCCCGGAATTTACTTTGCAAGAAAAAAATGCTTAGTAATGCTCAGGGTTTCTCGCGGGTTAGCCAGGTGGAAGGAACCAGCCGGAAATGACTTGTGCATTACAATTTAAACCTTCCTTGGCTTGCGAGTTGAAAGCTACTAATATATTATCTTCACTTTTCCATAGATGAGTCTTTGGCGTCCTTTCCCACTTGTTGAAAATGAGTCTAACTTTGTGTTAACGTTCTTATTCAGGTGGGCAAGCAACAAATAGAGCTAGAACTCCACTAACGTTGAATGGACGTGTAGTGGTTCCAAAGTACTTCTGGAAGGCAGTGTGTGATCCAGTTCACTCTCAGTCTATTTTCTTCTACGCTCGTAACCCCACTGACGTCACAACTCTGAACAAGAGGGTATCAGCCTGCTTTGGACAGCAAACTGAAACGTCTGGAGTAGTGATGTGCGACAGCATAAACAGAGGCAGTGCAGCAATTGAAAGAGACGTGCCTCGGGCAAACATACCCAAGTTCACCCTAAACAGAGCCTGTGCTCCTGATCGATTGGGAGATATATTCAGAGAATTCAATCAACGGCTACCAAGAAACTTTCAGTGGGAATAATTTCAGTGTTAAGCGATTAATATAACCAATTAAATAAAACGACGTTTAAAATGCCAAATTTGTTTGTGTGGTAATGTTTTCCATCCAACCCTCTCTCTAAGAGGACACCATTGGGTAGACTTTAAAGAGAGTCAAAGAAAGTGACTGAAAGGTTTTTTTTAATGAAATCAGGCGCGTAACCATGATGTAGTATAAATTAACGCTAACTTGTTTCAGACGGAGGACGCCAACAGAACTGTAGCACTCCGTTTGGGCTAAATGGACCTCTCTTATAAATCCGTCATGAAATATATATTTGAACAAGGCGAGGCTGTCGAGCGGTTCTCAGCCAACAGCTCCCACTTGTGTCAAGGTGTGGAACTGTCGCTTAAAGGAGTGCTTTTAATTTGCACTCTTCTCGGCAGTAATGAGCAACTGAAAATGGGTTTGACCGTTCAGACGCCTGATGGTTTTGTCATGCTGATCAGCTTTGATAAGGGCAAAACAGTTGTCCATGGGCATGCATGGCTGCCACTGCCGGGGTGAAAAGTCTGTGCACATGTTTGAGACACCGGCCTGCGGGCCGTGGGTTGTGTCAGTGTGTCACTTGGTCTTAGTTTGTTTCCTATTGCTAAATGTCGGACGCCTGATGTTTATTCGGCGTTAGCTTTAATGTGTCTGGTCCCCGCCTTTGTGTCTATACGTTCGGCCAAGTATAAGAGGTTAACAAAACGGTAGTTTTAGGATCTTTCGGCCTGGGAACGAACACTGACATTGCGTTGATTTTCTTAAAGAAAAACAATTGTTCTTCCCACCCAGACCTTAGTTGCACTAAAGTTGGATAAAGCTATACAAAAGATAAATCACTATTCACTGGATCACGCAATTATTTTCTCTAATACTTTTTTCAGTAATATTTTTCCGCTATTTATCCGGTGGATTGCGCGATCCATCTTTTGAGTAACCGGAGCCAGGTCAGTATGAATGGACACAGGCGGCATACTGCTAGGAGTAACCCTAACATAATGAACTCGTATCCAGCACAGGGAGTAGCAATACTTATAGGTGCTCCATGACTGAAACTGGGATAGGCTTTCACTGGTTTATATATAGTGCGGTTTTACTGACCTTACAGTGAGTTCGGGTATTGCCTTGAACTACAAAATAAGTAATTATTATCGAACTTACCCCAACTAATTTGAAACTTCATCTGAAAATACGTTACCTTTTAAATCAGAGCTCTAAACCTTGTGCTTCTTTGTTTCTTTTATATAAACACAGAGCTGCTTTCTACTCCTCAGGCGCTTCGTTTTTCGCACAGAGACAAGCGCGAGGCGCGAGTAACTGGTGATGAAACGCAGGGAACCAGAATGAATGCCAAAGCGCCGGCTTGCCCGCGTTTTCTCCTTCCTGCCTTCGGCGCGCGCAAATTTTCGTCGATAGAGGACATAGGAGGCAGCGCGTCAGATTCGCAATCCGGTGGTTCCGGGTTCGAGTCCTCCTCTAGGAACTTGCTGGATTTGTTCTCGGTAGTTCCGAGTTGAAATCCTCGGTTACGCTTGTAATTAGCCAATTGGTTGCCTTCTGCCAGTTGGGGTATTTAATCCTGTTATGTTGTAACAGGGTTAAAAGCGAAGCTCTCGATAATATTTGTAGTTTGCTCAAACAAAATATAAAATCATGTTATGATAAGCGGCAAAGGCAACGAGAACGATGAAAAAAACAATAGGTCTGATTAGCAAAAAAAACAACTTTGCACGTGCAGCACACTTTTTTGTACATTTCTTTGCCGTTGTTTTGCACGACCACAACGTGAAACTTCCAGAAACTTCCTAGTTAAACTTTTTATGGAGGAAATGTCGTACGTGTTGTTGCTCACTTTTTTTCACTCGCTCATTTTCACCTGGTGGCTGCTAGGATTACTCATTTTCTCAGTGGCCTGTCGCCCACTTTATTTTTTCTCGATATTGCAAATTTGAGGACATGACAATTAATCTAAGCTTAATACTTTAGACAACAAGGATATAGAAACAATTTTCGCTCTCCGTTTTCGTCTTTATTGACTATTTAGTTGACTCTGCTTCACAAGACGCGGGTGGCTATGCGATTACCCGCCAAAATAACCTCGAGGTCAAGAGCCGGCACCTGTCGAGGTGCATTTATTGGTTGAGTTATTTTACATTGGTATACCTGTGGTGTGGACGGACGGTCGTTCGGACGTACGGTCACGTGAATACCAAAATTTCTCAGATGGGTAGATCACCAAATTTTCTTACCCATGGTGCTCCGCTATGAATTTTTTTTTTTACGCATTTGAGTGGAGTGCCTGTAAACGAGGGTCTCAATAGGGTTAACCGATAGGCGTAAAACGACCAAAAACTTAGTCGATAGCCGTAAAAATTGAAAAATTTTAACCGCTCGCCGTAAATAGGGTAAAAAAGAGCTAACCGTAAAAGAAATTGTTCCCGAGAGTTGTTAATTTTAAGGAAGGTGCTAAACCAACTAATGGTTGCGTTATTTATTTCCCGGCTACTTTGACTCCGTACGCACGTTAGGCCAAGCGCTTTTTAGTTGTGACCTAGACCTAGGCTCCATTTCCGCCACTCTCTCGGGGAACTAATTTTTTCCATAGCGAAAATCTGGCTTCTTGCTGGGGATTAAAATTTGCGATTTTCAGGAGGACGTGCCTTCGAAATACTAGTGAAACAACACCCAGAGATGTCACTGTTTGTAAAACACGTTGCCGATAAACAACAATCCCTGCAACAATTCCCTGTTTTTCTATGACGCTACGGTATACATTGTGGCCTAGTCCCTGTACGGCGTCTTCCCACGCAATCTCAGTCAAGGCATTTCGGTGGCGTATCTGAGAAAAAAACTCGCTCGGACCACGTGACCCAAAACGCATTAGTCGCGCGGAATAATGAGGCCTATGGACAAGCCAACGGCAGGCAGTCCTTCTGTACAGTCCTTCGCTATCATTAAAAACACTGGACACAGGAAGTTTTTCATCGGCCGTTTTCAAAGTAGAGCGAGAAATGGATTATCCGTCTGAGACTAACCTGTGTACAGTCGCCCCCTCCCCCGCAGACACCACTTCTTCGATTTTTTCTGAGGGGAGGGGGCGGCTGTACATAGGCTATCTGAAACGGATAATCTGAACGAATAAACTGATTGTTCATTCAAAACTAAAACCATTCCATTTTCAAATTAAGACGTATTACCTATCTGATAAGAATTATCAAACGTATAACCCACCTCACACAAATAGTCCGTCTCTAGTATGAAAACGGCCATTTCTGTTATAGATGAATGTCGCGCCCCGGCCTTGAGTTGGGCGTTCGGGTGTCTGCTTTTGCTTTTTCCCAAAGATTGTTTTTAAATTGACTATTGATATTTCTATGCGTAAAATAATATTAGAAATGGAATATTTTATAAAACGTATGATCTATCAAATGTTAAAATTTTTCAAAAAGAATAGCTTCAGTGTATCCCGAGATGATCCTAAGACCTTTATTTTGCTTTGAAGATACAAAAAATACAGATTTTTTAATATTTAACTCTTTGAAACAAAAGAAATTAATTTTTAACTCTTTTGTTAACCATAACTGAAAAAAAATAACCAATAGCCGTAAAAGAGCCGAAATTTTAGCCGATAACCGTAAAATACACCACCCCATTGAGGTGAGACTATAAACAAGCCTTTAAACCTTTTTTTAACGCTTGAGTACGAGGCAAAACACAGAGGATATTGCATATCAGCGCGGAGATACGGAATTTCTCTTCGTTTGATAAAAAATATATCCTGCGGAGCGCTTCAAACGAGTACAATGTTTTTCAGAGTTTGTCTAATGGTTGTGGGTCGTGGGTCGTGGGTGACCATTAGGCAAACTCTGTTTTTTGACACGAGAAGAGAAATTATGTATCTCCAAGCGGCCATATAATGTCTATTTATGATACAAACACCCATTAAAAACCAAATCATTTGACTTGAGTATTTTTTGCAGCGAAAGGCGCGATGCAATTTTTTACGTAACCATAGCAATGGAGATCTTTTCATTTGTTACTATTTTCACATGTGAAGAGATTATGTTTTCGCGCGAGACCTCATCTGGTATTTCATTGTTGTTTATATAAAAAAATATTCTACCTCAACTACATTACTCCCAAGTTTATTTCGTCCCCTTTACGATGCTTGGTCATGCACTTTGGTTTTGGCTGCGATTTTGGTTGTGGTTTATCGCGCACTCCACGCGAGTCACACGAGACAAACGCGTCAAAACAATCATTCAGTGTCACAAAGGAAATCAACACCTAAATTTTAAATTTTCAGCTCTGAGGAATTTTTCATGAACTGTTTGCTCGCATTGAACTTTTGCAAACGGTAGTTGACCTATTGGGGCAAATGTATAGCAAGAGACAATGGCGACAAATGTTTGCGGTTTTTTCCGTCCTGTACTTAAAACGAGGCGGTTTGTTTGCCTTTAATTTGTTTAATTACTTTTAAGATTCTGGATCTTTCTGTTTGCATAAAAGACTAACCTGTCATAACACGTAACCAGAAATTTAAAGATCTCTAGCCTTTTTAGTTCCTAATTCTATTGAAGTAAAATAAATACAGCTTTTTAGCTTAAACAACGATAAAAGTACACCCGTATTATCATTACCGTGAGGGCAATATTAACACAAGTTTAATGATGATCTCGACAGCGAGAAGTTATGGAACAAGTCCTTTTGCTTTAAAAGCGGAACTAACAAGAAAACCCAACAGTTTTGGGCGTTAATTTCCCAGTCATTTAAACAGAGCCACAGGCCGAGTAAACCTGACTCTTTAATTCATGAAAATATCGATCAACGCTTTCCTTTGCTAATATTTCTTTAGAAATTTAGTCTGAAAATAGAATGCAAACAATATATTTGATTTACTGTTTCTCAAGGCTAGCGAGCGTATCGTGGAATCAGAGCGACGTAACCAAAGAGTAATATAGTTATATGAAGTCGATTTTTTTTTTCGGCCCTCTGGCCGAAAAAAAAAACGATAACACGTACATAAAGTTAATGGGTGACAAATTGTTGACAAATTGAAATCAGTGACCGTGAAGTTTATATAGGTGTATAAGGGTAACACTTAACAGGAAATTGTCAAGAATTTTTTGTTTGCGCATTATTAGTAGTAAGATGTGTCTTGACCGATTATATTATTTAATCCCCTAAAATCCTCTGGTTACTTAATGGAACTTAAATGTCTTTTTTATGAAAGCTTCTTTTCCGATCAGTATATAGTCATCGAAATTATAAAATGAGTAACTGCGGGTTTTGACGCTCTCAAAAGGCAAGCGAGTACTACAAATGGATGAACACTTAAACACATGCACGAATCTGATATCCAGTAGAGACCACTAATTTATCGAAAGGGAATTCGAAGAAGTTTTTAAACGACTGTTTAAATTGAGTAACTTATAAACCGGCTTTATTCACCTTTTTCAAATTCTTTTTTTATTGAATTTGCATTTCGAATGCTGGTCCAATTCATAAAATGGCACCAAGTATGTCATACCTGGCATTTACAATCAAATGTTTTTGTAGTGCAAGGTAGAAAATCGTTCAACCTGCAAGCAACAGATCTTTAAAAGACGTTTTCAACATTAAAGCCTTTCAGCGACTGTTTTGATTTTCATTGTAGATCAACATTAATTTTAAAACTATTTCCAACTTAAATGTCAGCTGAGAGCATCGTTCCCTGTATGAGACTTTCAAAGGCAACTATATAAGATCCTTCCGCAAATATGTGCTGTTTTTCGAGTTCGAAAAAGAATCAGTTTAAATGCATTTTGTCACTATGTTAAGCTTTTATTGTGTTGCAAGGCAATAAAGCTCAGCAGGTGATTATAAACAACTAATTCATCATTATTTTTGTGCTCCAAGAAACAACTACGTTTCACTAAATAATCCCTTTAGAGCATATTGGGATATGTTAACTAGTATTATTTGCCCAGACGTCTCGAATGTGGAGAACCATATCGCATTTATAAGCAAGCTTGTCACGCTATAGATCCTGAACTCGTAAGCGTTTAAGATCGAAGAATATTCCAAATATTTAACAATTGACTCTATTGTAATACAAAAGTCAGCGAAGCACAGACAGCGTCTAGCCAATGAGAGTCCAGTGAAAGCCCCGTAATTGACATTTCCAATTGAGGTGATTACAATAGTTTATTTTAGTCATAAATAAGTATTTTTCTCCTGGGACTCTGGATAATTCGTCGGCGTTCGTAAGATGCAAGTTAGTATTAAAAACGTGTGATCGAATTTGTAGCATCCATGGCGGATGGTTAAGTAAGGCCTGTAAACATTACAACATGGCTTTTTACAACCTCGTACTACTGGGTCTCTTTCTGATATGCCAGCACATTAGGTATGTGATGGCGGCGAGCGAATGCACTACTGCAATCGTGGCTTCTGTGTTTGGAACTATTGGAGGATTGCTTTTTATTGCTGCCATTGTGGCGCTTGTTTGGTACTGCTGCCGACAGCGAGACTCAAGTACGAAACTTCACATTTTTTTATGACAATCCAAAATTTCCAAGAGATTTCAGTGCGAAGATCACTTGGTTCCGTTACTCGTTAAGGGGCACTAACCTATGTTATGCTTACTTCCTTTTTTTTCTTAGCTTCTCTTTCGACATCTTCTGCCGATTCCGCAAGCGATCATGAATTTTCATTCGGCACAAAGAAGAAAGGTGGTAACATCGGCTTAAATGGCAATGGGACACCTGTTACGTTTTCACATCGCTACAGTGAAAAAGCACCTTCAGTTGGTAAGTCAAAAATGCCAAATGCAAGCAATTTATAGACATACGCACTTACACATTCCTGTGGTACAGCCTTTAAACTCCTGTTTTAAAAATAATTTTTGCTCTGCTTGTTTTAAAAACATTAGTTTTTGAAATGAGTAAAACTTAAAAAATAAAAACTACGCGATGCAGGTTTAAAAAGAGCATGAAGGTTATTTGCTTTGCAGCATTAATAAGCTTTAAAGAATTTGGATAATCGTTATATTGGCCAATTTCCACATTCATTAATGAAACTAAACAATAAACTTTAAAGCCATTTGTTGTTATAGCGCAAGTAACGATTAACAGCCACTTTTCTAAGGATATTCTCGCTTATCTCTAGTTAAGTTCATGCGGGAGAGACCTTACCACGCTAACAGTTAACAAGCTCTCATATAAAAAAATTCGCTCGGGAATATAACTTACCTCCAACTGATATTTTTGATTCGCCGCAGTCAGCCGTATCAAGGCTCGTATTGATTTCTTTTCCTTTTTCCTTTTTACTTCAGTTAAAATCTTTTTACCAGTTTCAGCGTCTTGTATGCTGATCGTGTTGTACATAAAATAATTCCGTTCCACGAAAATCATCCTGTCATTTATCTCAACAAAACGCCGCAAACCAGCTAAGGAGCTCAAGATGACGCAGGGAATTTGCATAAATACCATTGATGTTTTACAACCATTCAAGCACAGAATATTTAAAGAAAAGAAAACAGTGTTCTCTTGTTACAAGTTCGTTATGAAATGAAGTTACCAACTCTTGAACTATTGAGTAAAAACTACGACTCCTTGCCGATTAGGGGAGGGAACTATAAAGGTAAATTTGCCGATGAGGAAAGAGTTATTCAGAATACATGAACGAGAATTTTCTTTCAACCCCAAAAAAACTTCGAGAAGGTTTCGGAATCAAAAGCTTCCCTCAAACTGGATGTTGGCATTCCAAAAAAATATTTGTGGTGAACACAGCTTGAAAGTGACGTTTTTCTAAAGGCGCAAAAAAAGTTGAAAGAAAAAAATTTTAAAGTAATGAAATTCTCTAAGCTAAATGTATCATTGAATCATCCAAAGAAACCAAAAAAAGCTGTAAAGTCATTAAAATCTGGTATTCATAAACCACTATGATTTATTACAGTTTTCACGGGGTTGTGTTTAGACAATAAAGACAATTTATAAAGATTTAACAATTCAGTTCTCTAGCTGTTCACTTATTCAATTGCTAGAACCTTACTATTGTTCTGTTTCTGCATGTTTTTAAATTAAGTTAAAGCAAACTTTGATATTTTTTTAGTTCCTTGAATCAAGATATTCTGGTATTGTTGTGTTTGTTTTCTAATTTTCAAATGTTTATAACAATATTTAAGGAAAATTGATGTTTTCTGGTGCTAATTCAGGTAAAAAAAGCAGGGAGTAAATGTTTCCTCTGTAAATGAACTTAAGCAAAAAGAGTGGCAAAAAATGATTTACAAGTAAAAAAACATGCCTTTCGATCTTAAGACTGATAAATTCGCTTACTAACCTACCACTAAAAAGTGATTCACGATAGATATATTCTGCAGCTACAAAATCGCTGGCTAATGTATTTTATTATATCCACTTTGAAATCACTGGCGATCCCTGCAATCTGATTGGCTCTGAGCTGTGTGATTTATTCCCAAATCGCACCATTTTTGGCTCTAAATCGCATCTTTTTCCCAGCCAATGAAAAAGGCACACTAAAACAGCACAACCAAAAAGATTTCAAATCTCGTTTAAAGTAACAAATCAAATTGCAGGCAAAATGTATGTAATAATTAAAAGTGGTAATTTAACTTCCAGTCGTGCAATTTTGATCTGAAATCATACTTGAGATTTCGAAACGAACTCGCGATGCGCGCTGGTTCAATTTTGAAATCACGCTTATGATTTTAGGCCAAATTGCACTCCACTCAGTTGAATTACCGTTATAAATGAATGCGCGTCCCGTAACTTCTTAGGTTGGGTAGTCTTGAGAAACTTTTTCTATCTCAGCGATCGCTGGAAAGTGGCTTCCATCGCTATATCACAGCGATCGTAGGGATCATACAGAAACCAGGCTTTACCCGATGATTGTGTTTGCTTTCGATTGAATGATATCACTTACACAAACATGGTCATTTTCAGTGTTTGTTTTACATTCTTTTTCACTACTTTTTTTCTGTATCTTGTGATTCGTTGTAAGTTTGTCATTCCACTCTGTCTAATAGGCCACAAACTATTATTTCATTTCCTTCCTGCTGTTTGAGTTATGCAAAGCCGGATATGAGAAAATATTGACGCAGCTATCTTCAATAAATGGGAAAGATTCTTTGTGCTTGCTGTCTATTGGAACAGGAGGTCAAAATTATAGCCCTTAAAGAATTTATAAATACAGCGCTGCTAGGAATATGTCTATAAACTCCTTTTTATGACCAGTGGAAATGGGTTTCTCGGACGAAAACATATTTTCGTTCATTATTTTAAGCCGAGGTGTTATGTGGCTAGAGAAGTCAGTCAAGCAAAGATGGTTGTAATGGAAGTTATGTGCAGTTTGCATTGTAATTAGCACCTAAACTGTACTTAGGTCCCTTGACATAAGTTGCTGACCAGCAAGCGAATTTTAAAATCTCTGAAAATTTTTGTTCGAGCGTCCAAGAACGCTAAATTCATACCACCTGTTGGGTCAATTCTTAATTTATTGTGTTCACAGTTGGTCTTTTTTACTCGCACATATGTTAGCTTTTTATAGCAATGATGTGTATGCTGGATTTAATGACGGTTAATTCAAAATTCTTGTTGTTGCGTATACCACGGAACTAGCTTCCAGTGCTCTTGAGTCTTCGTGACGAACAAACAAAAGCATTATATTTGGTGTATGAGTAAGGCTTATGAAAAGGACCCTGTTTAAAAATATATTACTCAATTATTAAATAAAATACTGGCATCGGCAAGACAATTTAACTAAACATACACAATTTCTTACAACATAGAAAATAATTATTAAATAGGATAAAAATAGATGAGGCTGATAGTGCAAGTTCAAAAAAGAAAAAATACGAGAAAAAGAAAAACAAGCAAAAGAAGCGAAAAAGTTCACCTTCCTTCAGAATCCTTCAAATCCTTCAGATTTAATCGTTTTTCCTGCTGGTATGTCACTATGAATTTTGCAGGTGTATATCAAACAAACAAAAAACACTTTCGACTAATCAGTTTTCATTTGTACCTGTGTGTTGTTGATAGCGGTGAAACCCTCGTCTTATAACTTACAACACGATATAACCGAGCCGTTCGCTATGGTAAAAAAATACAATTTTATCATATAAAACAGCAGTGAAATACCAAGTGAGCTTTTGCGCGAAAACATGATATCTTCGCATTTGAAAATACGAAATTTCTCTTCATGATCAAGCGTTGAAAAATATCTCAAAAGTGAGCGCCGCTGGGAGGCTATGTAATACCCACTATATACGTTTTAGGAATAGAAATGAAAAAGCAGGAAAAAAGTTATTAAAGAATTTGAATTTGACGACTTTCAACGTGTTTTTTACATTAGTCGGTCAGTTTATCATATATGAACCACTTTAATGAAGTGTAAAATGTTGTGTTCCAGCCTACAACACATCAGGTGTGGTTAACCCAGCCTTTGCTGATGGGAGTCGTGAAGTTTTTATTGACATGCCACAAGGTCATCATGATGAAGTTAAAATTGATCTGGATGGAGATCCATCGTTCAAGCCTCCTGCACATAACGATGAAATCAAGATCGACATGGATGGAGGATCTGGCATTAAACTACCCTCCGGTTCAGGGGATGCAAAGATTGACATGGATGGAGGATCTGACATTAAACTACCCTCTGGTTCAGGGGGTGCAAAGATTGACATGGATGGAGGATCTGGCATAAAACTACCCTTCAGTGGGGGAGATGCACAGATTGACATGGATGGAGGATCTGACATTAAACTACCCTCCGGTTCAGGGGATGGAAAGCTGGATATGGACTGGGATCACGAACGTAATGTTGACTTTCCAGATGGAAATCGCCCGGAATTGAAGCTTCTCACGGGGAACGGAAGTCCTTCGGGTAGTGGTCTTCCAGGTACCGATGCAAATGTAATCATCAAGGGTCCATCGAAACCTAAGGTTAAAGAGTCGATTCCAAACGTTGATTTGGTAAGAAATTGATCAGACCATTTTTCAATTGTTTTTATAATGTTGTTTAATTGCTTGAGTTTTGAAACGCTACAATAGTTTAAATAACTGGTAGATTTGTCTATTCTTTAGCCGGATCATTTAGCGCGCAACAGTAAACACAGTGAACATAACAGTGAACATTTCCGTTGGCAATAACAGCGAGAATAATTCTCATCACTGCGACCATATTCTATCCCGTTCTGTCTGTTATCACCATATCCTTGTAAGATTCAGTTTAAAAACTCAGTTTCATCAGATCCCCCTCTTTATCGGATTTCTAGTATTACTGAAATAATATGAAACATTCTACGACTACGCCCTGTAGTCCTATCTACTTGAAATCATATTCGTTTTCCTAAGTCAGGTTAGAATTAAAACATGGAATCCTACAGTTTTTAAGTTAAGACCTATTGAAGCTGCCATGACAAAGAATTGAGCCAACAGTGCAAAGTAGAAAAAGAGAGTTTCATTTCGAATATACTAACATCGTTTCTGCAAACTGTTACATGAGGCTAATAAGTCTTTTCCCCATTTGCCTATCTAAAAAAGGTAGAATTTTCTCAAAAACGAGTGACTTTCCTTTTCAGCCACAGAAAACTGTTGACGTATTTCTTGAACGTCCAGGAAATGGTGGTTTCGGATTACTGATAGCAAGAGACAAGACTTTGCCGCCTCCTGCTTTGTTTATCAGAGAAGTTACACCCGGAGGCATCGCAGCAAAGACTGGACTCGTTGATAAAGGTTAGAGATTTAAACTAATAAAACCTTCGTCTAGAAAAAAAGTCGCTGTACCCCCTGTGGTAGATAATTAATTCATATCTTCTTTGACGACCTAGTCAGTTGTAGCCTGCGAAAACATCCGTTTCCCCTTGCTCTTCGTCGATGGGGACGTTTCGCGAGGAGGAACGTCTGCGACTCAGCGACACAAATTCCATACTGATGACGTAAAATATGTCCGGAATCTGGTCAGACGCGCTGATTGGTCGACGGAGTAGTTTCATTGTTTTAGCTATTGTTTACGAATGACAGACAAAAGACAAAAGGCCACAAAGGTCAAATGTAAACGCAAAGAATTCCTAACAAAATAGTCAATATTTGTGGAATATAGTCTTCTATAGAAGAAGCATTTGAGTTTTGCTGGAGCTCTTTGGCAGATGAACACAACACTTTACCAAAATAGACCAGAAGACACGTAAAATTGGACAAATTTGTATTTGGAACCCATGACTACCGGATTTATTATGTAAACATTGGTTTGCGTCATCAGTATGGAATTTCTGCCGCTGAGTCGCAGACGTTCCTCCTCGCGAAACGTCCCCGGCGGCGAAGAGCGAGGAGAAACGGATGTTTTCGCAGGCTAAGTCAGTTGAGGTGTTGACCACCACTTTTGGACTGCATACTGTTGGTCTTCTCTTCAGGTGATAAGTATAATGTCGAGTTGATTAAGCAGTGCTTTTTGGATCACAATGGGGGACTATGTTTCGCGCATTTCAATTTTTATGGTTCCCTCGGTGGTTCGCTGGTGTACAATTCATCTCCTGTGTTTTCCAACCATGACCTTGGTTGGGAGACACGTTTTAGGCAATATCAAAAACAAATTACTCGAGTGCAGTGTGCAAGAGTGCGTCTTCCCATACAGTCTATGTTATTTTGTCTATGTGTATGTGATTTGTAGTGCATGTTACCTATCTGTCATGATTCAGTTGGTGTCTTTCCCCTTGTCCCAGTATGATCTACAGCTGTACGCGTTAGAACTCTTTGGCCAAGAATGGCTAGACACGCCCACAAAGGGTAGGCGTTCAGTACTGTCTGAGTCAAAACGTTTACAGTTGGGCGAATCATGTTTAGAAAACGCTTGGACTTCGCAAGTTGTAACCTGAGATCAGGCGTTATTTTTTTCTTTTTTTGCTTCTTTGACTCGAGAGGGAAAAAAACGCCTGATACATTCATTTAACAAGCCGTCAACCGCCCCCTAATTTAATTTACATAATCTAACGTCGCTTGACCTGTCATGATCTTAGCCAATCAACGTTTACCAGACGGGAATCAAATTTTGGCGCGAATAATGTCCCTTTTGAAATTAATTTTAGGGAAAAGAATTTTTTTAAGTACGTCCATGTTCAGATGGAGCTTTCTAAAAAATTTTTTAACATGTATTTTTGGTGATGAAATACTGCTAGCTGCAACAAATAATAAAGAATTTACTGGTAAAAGTTCGTTGACTTCGTCATGTACCGAAAGCATTGAAAAAAAAATTACGCTGGTTTCACGGACTAAAAAGTGTTGTGAAAGTGAGGATCGCTCAGAATAATTCGCAGGTTTCTGAAGGAGGAATTACAGTCAAACCAGGTCAAGAGTCCATTCATGAATTGATTATTAATTTGAAAGTGAACCCGTTTGTCGCTTCTGTTACTTGTACCCGGTATCAAATTGCATTTAAACGATCAGTAAATTTTGGACTGGAACTTTTTAGTATACGATGAGATGGAAAATATTTCAATGGATCAAATTTCTCTTTGGAACTTGCTTCAAATTTACGAAAACTGAGCCGGAAGAAATTTCATAACGAACTCACGTGTGTATTTATTACTCCTTGCGCAAGAAAAAATGCAGACTGAAATAAACAACAACTAACGGATGGCGGCATTTTGGCCAATCGGAACAGCGCAAATCATCCTTATTGTTTCCTATCCAATCAGAAAAAATTCCATATTCTGGCTTTTTTCCATGTAATTTGTGAAAGAATTGTATCATACTCTAGAGGACATGATCGCAGGCTCCGCAAGTAGCGGATCGTGTGTTCAAAGCAAAAACGATGTCTGTGCGGTTTCACGTCGAAAAATTAATGTTGCTATATTGGTTCTAGGTGACAAGATCATTGCAATTAATGAAACATCCATTGAGGGAATGCCTCATGATCAAGCCATGTCACTTTTACGAGATGATAGCTTGAAAATACTACATCTAACTCTGAAGAAAAAGGAACTTTATAAGATAAAGGGTAGGTCAAAATAGGTACTTTTTAATAATCAAGTGAATAGTTGACTAGACCAATTTCAATATATTAAAATTCAAACTTGGCTCCGAGGCTTGGGGAAATAAAACAAAAGTAATCTATTATTCATTGCTGAGGGTCAAGACGATTTCATTTGTTTTATTCCCCGAAGTCTCGCTGCCAAGCATGAATTTTGATATATCGAAGTTGCTCTAAAATTCCTTCCAATGATTGCTACACTGTTTTGTATCATTAATGTGGAGAACAATATAGAACGATGCGACAAATCAGCGACCTCATCTAAATTATTCTTTAAGACTATACCTTTCACTGTAAAATTGACGCGCTTATAAGCTTTGTTTTTATGCGACATGTTAGATGGTGATGTTACATATTACTTCTTTGCCAAGTTAAAGAAAGGGTGGTCAAATGATATTTGGGCAAAATGTTCCTTAATATAGGTTAATTTAAAATGTGATTTCGCCTTTTTACTATAAAGACTATAACCTAATAAAACCAGTAAGAAAATGCTTGCTTGGTTTTTACCATATGTTTTTACCTAGCATGTTTTTTCTCTCAAAACTTTCCTGTTAAAATCTGACCCAGAAAATTTAAAAACCTTTCAAATTAGAGTTTGTTGAGAAAGCCTTTTTTCTCAATTTCAGGATTGAATTTTTAAAATTGTCTCGTACATAAGCGGTTAAAACTCAACTGTTTTGTGCTCCGTAAAGGAGCTGCTCAGGTATACGTTTTAACCCCCCAAGTCATCGCCCAGTTTGAAACACAAATCTCACCACCAATTAAACATAGGTTAAGTACAGTAGTAGGGTACAGTAGAGTATCTTTATTAAATCTCCACTTTGTGGCTCTTCCGATTTAATTTACAAATTTGGAAAAGGAAAGAAGAAAAACAAGACTAATTTACAAATCTAATTATTAATAACAAATGGAAAAAAATTAAAAACGAAATAAAAAAATAGCTACGATAATATATCGTTATTAGACCATACACATATACCTATTATTGACTTAAAAATACAGTAATGACGTATACTGTTTTAGTCATGCAATCAGTCACCTAGTTCTCGGTGTGACATAGCGGCTCTAATTTTGCGCCACGCGTTCTACTATTTCTTGTGCTTGCGCTTAGCGAGTTCCAAGTGCTGATAGATCGATAATGAAAGGAACGTTGCCCAGTGGCTGTCATGCACAAAGAAACGTCCAGGTTTTCCCTGAAGTACATTCAACTAGAGGATTTGTGAAAAGCAAAGGAAATCGGCGCAAAAAAGTACATTCATTATAAAATTTTCAGAATCCCAACTGTGGTTTTATCCTTAAATTTTTAGGTCGCCGCTTTAACCATCATGGGCATTTTGGGAAAAGCGCATTTTCCACAATTCTTACAAGAGAAATATACCAAGACAGCTTAAAGAATTTGGACGCCGACTCTGCCGGGAGAATTTAGTTCCACGGAAGCTGCCTAGCGCATAGTCGCTATAACAGATTGAGATTTACCTAGGCCTGGTTTCAGTTTTGCTTTAACCTGCCACCTGATATGTTCAAAAACAAGTCAATGAAAACGAGCAGTCGAAATCTTAAGGAGAACGTCTGCAAACATGATGTGCAAATTTTTCTTAAACTACTATTTAGCAATTTCAACGTCGGTCTTAGATTATGGAACGATGTTTAGCGGAGTATAGAGCGAGTTCGATATCCTGAATCGACATAGTTCAACCTGTTTGGCAATGTGTATGCTATAAAACACCAACATTAGTAGTATCAGTCGTGTGCAACGGATAATCTTTATCAGCTTTTATGATATACGAAGGTAGCTTTTTAAATTTTTTATGAAAGATAAATTGGCAGTCTTAACCCACCACTGGATGTCGTTCTTGTGTCCTTCTGAAGAATGTAAATAAAATAACAAGAATGGTGATTATATTAACATTTCAATTTTTTGATGTTAAAAATATGTCATGTCTAAAGTTGTGTAGATCCTGCTTTTGCAAAGCTGATCTGTTCAGCATTCTTGAGACCAGTCTTTGTAAAAATTGTAAAGTATGCGCAACATAGCTTTAAGTTACTAATGTATCATACAGTTTTAATTCAAAATTTTTATAGCGTTATATTACTAATTAGTTACTACTTTTCTTAGCCTACATTTCAAATTTTATATTTTGAGTGTCTTCAATTAGTAACGGGCGGGGCCCCTCAGCTACATCTAAAATAAACGTTAACAAAGTTTCACTCACGGTTTATTCATTCATCAACTGAATGTTTAGATAATCATGTTGCTTAGAGAGAAAGAGCATTGTTGAGAAGTGTTGTACAAATTCTGCTCTTGTAGCCGGAGGAAACTAGGAGAGAAACAAGCGTTCCCCAACTGCAGGACCTATAAAGTGTTTTATTCTCTAAAGGCCTTTGCAATCAAGCCGATGTCGTCCTCCTAACTTTAAATAGGTAGTTATCTTTGATGTTGTTGGGGGAAAAGTTCCATTACAACTGTTATCTGGGTGGGTGGATGTGAAGCAGCTTTACTGTACTCAGCCTCTCTTTGGAGGCAATTTTGAGTGGAACCGAAATTCTACATTCCAATCGACTTTAAGGAAACTGCTAACAGTATCAGTGAATTTGCCTCTTTATGCGGTTAATTCAATTATATTACGTTTCTCTTTCCAAATCCTTTACTCTGGAATGTCCGTAGGTTTCAGACTTACACTACTCAACTGTTTATTTCGCAGGTAGATCAGTTGATATACCTGATGGAATCATAGAAGAATCATGTAAAGTTGATATGTCACCGGGATTAGAGGCAGGTGTGCCGACACTTGATGTTGAAGGGGTCCAAGGTCGCGCCCCTGACGGAGAAGCACTGCTAGATGTAAACATGGGTAAACCTCATCTGAATAAGCCTGAAGGAACGCTAAAAACACAGGTTTCTGCTCCAGATACGTTTACAGACGTCGACCTTGGTAAACCCTCGTATGGCCTGGATCTACCGTCATCTAAAAGGAAGAGTGCCAAGTGCTTCTCATGCGCATCCAGTGGAGACAGAGACGAGCCATACATTAAAGGAAAATCGAACGTTGGCATAGGTCTAAACACACCAGATATGACAGCAGACCGAAAAGCACAAGACGTTAAATTGTCTACCGGCAAACCCGACTTAAAACTTCCATCCAGAGACTTTGATGGACCTGATGGCGATATGGAGATGAAGGCAGGAAGGAACTTTGACATGAGTGGATCGGGTCCTGAAATAAGGGACCCGGATGTAGGAGATACGCAAAACGAACATGGGCTTCGTGGATCAGCACCAGATGTAGATATAGATGTGGACCATGGAAGATATAATGGAGATGCCTCCTTACCTACTGCAGGGGTTGCTCCAAAGGGTCCCGGGCTTGGTCCCTCTTCCGCCGAGATGAATTTGCCTTCTGGAAAGAAAAAACTAGGAAACTGCCTTACGTGCACAGCAAGTGGTAAAAAAGATGAGCCCTATAGGAAAGCTAGGAAAAACTATGGATACGAGTTTGAAGGACGAGACGTTGATGGCTCCATAGAAATGAAAAGGCTTTCTGGGCCTTCAACTGATGCCAGTGGACCAGACGTTAACATTTCTAAGAAACGACCAGGAGCCAAGTTAGACACGGATGATGTCGATTCACCTGAGGCGAGATTAAGTACAGAAATATCAGGTCCCAACGCTAAACTGTCACCTGGTAGAGTAAAAGGCCACTCAGCAAGTGGTGACGTACATTCTCCGGAAGTAGATTTTCCCTCCACCAAGAAGAGTGGTAGCTGTTTCTCCTGTGTAGGAAGTGGGGATAAAGATGAACCATACAGAACAAACAGAGAAAAGACAGATTTCGGTTGGAATCCACCTGAAGTTGACGGATCTTTAAAAATGGAGAAACCTGACGAGCTGGATATCAGTGGCTCTGGTCCTGGTTTCAGTGGGAGGGGAGAGAAAAAGGACTTGGGATACCAAGTAACTGGCCCAGACTTCAATGTTCATGGACCAAACAAAGGTATTTCCACAGAAATACCGAAAATGGCGGTCGATACAGCATATCCTCATGTCAAGTCAGCAGACGTGCCCTCTGGAAATATGAGCGAAGGTATTTCTGGCCCTGAAATTGATCTAAGTGGACCAAGTGCAGACGTTCCTGACAGAGACTTCACTATTAAAGGACCGAAAGGAGATTTTTCTGGGCCTGAATTTGACGCTAGCCGACCCAAAGCAGGAGTGTCGGGGCCTGAAATAGATCTTAGCGGACCGGGTCCAGACCTTCCTAAGGGAGACATCAATATTAAAGGGCTGAAAGGAGACTTTTCTGGACCAAAATTTGACGTTAACCGACCAAAAGGAGGAGTGTCGAGGCCTGAAATGGATCTCAGTGGACCAAGTGCAGACATTTCAAAGGGAGACTTCAATGTTAGGGGACCAAAAGGAGACTTTCCTGGGCCAGAATTTGACGCTTGCCGACCAGAAATAGGGGTTAATAGGCCTGAAATTGATCTCGATGGTCCCAATTCGGACGTTTCTAACGGAGAATTCAACATGCGAGGTCCTAAAGGAGATTCTTTCCGACCAGAAACGGAATTTTCTGGACCTAACATTGACTTACGTGGACCCAAAGCTGGCGCTTCCAGTGTTTCTGGTCCGGGTCCTGATTTATCAACTGGAAATATAAAGGACCCTAAAGTTCATTTGGATGCCACGTCTGCTGAAATAGATTTGCCTTCCAGAAAGAAGAGAATGAGTGGAAATTGTTTTTCATGCGCTGGTGGGGCTGACAAAGATGTGCCATATGGGAAGAAAGCAGTAGATGCTAATGTTGATCTTAAAGGTTCTGATGCAGGCGTTTCTGGGCCGAAATTGGACACTAGCCCACCAACAGTAGGCGTTTCGGGTCCTGGCATTGATTATAGTGGACCAAGTGCAGACCTTCCTAAGGGTGACTTCAATATTAAAGGGCCGAAAGGAGACTTTTCTGGACCCGAATTTGACGCTATACGACCCAAAGCAGGATTTTCTGGATCTGAAATTGATGTAAGTGGACCAAGAGCAGACGTTCCTGACAGAGACTTCAATATTAAAGGACCGAAAGGAGACTTTTCTGGACCCGAATTTGACGCTATCAGACCCAAAGCAGGATTTTCTGGACCAGAAATTGATCCAAGTGGACCAAGTGCAGACATTCCTGACAGAGACTTCCATATTAAAGGGCCGAAAGGAGACTTTTCTGGACCCGAATTTGAAGCTAGCCGATTCAAAGCAGGAGTTTCTAGACCTGAAATTGATCTTAGTGAACCAAGTGCAGACGTTTCAAAGAGAGACTTCAATATTAGGGTACCAAAAGGAGACTTTTCTGGGCCAGAGTTTGATGCTTGTCGACCAGAAATAGGAGTTAATGGGCCTGAAATTGATCTCAGTGGCCCAAATTCGGGCGTTTCCAATGGAGAAATCAACATAAAAGGACCTAAAGGAGAGTTTTCCAGGTCCGAACTCGATTCTCTTCGACCAGAAACAGAATTTTCTGGGCCTAACATTGACTTTCGTGGACCCAAGGCTGGTGCTTCCGTCAAAGAACCAAATATGGAACTAACAGGAAAGCCCAAAGCTTCTGGTCCTGGTCTTGATTTATCAACTGGAAATATAAAAGACCCTACAGTTAACTTGGATGCCCCGTCTGCTGAATTGGATTTGCCTTCCAGAAAGAAGAGAATGGGTGGAAATTGTTTTTCATGCGCTGGTGGGGCTGACAAAGATCTGCCATATGGAAAGAAAGGGGTAGATGCTAATGTTGATCTAAAAGGTCCTCATGCAGACTTTTCTGGGCCCGAATTGAATACAAGCCGACCAGAAGTAGGAGGTTCAGGTCCTGGAATTGATCTCAGTGGACCAAGTGCAGACATTTTGAAGGGAGACGTCAATATTACTGGACCGAAAGGAGACTTTTCTGGGCCCGAATTTGACGCTAGCCGACCCAAAACAGGTGTGTCAGAGCCTGAGATTGATGTCAGTGGACTAAGTGCAGGCATTTCCAAGGCAGACTTCGATGTAAGAGGACCGAAAGGAGATTATTCTGGGCTCGATGTTGATGCTAGCCGACCAAAACCAGGACTTCCTGGACCTCATTTGGAGCTCAGTGGACCAAGTGCAGATATTTCCAAGGGAGACTTTAATATAGGAGGACCCAAAGCAAACTTGTCCAGGCCCGAATTTGATAGGAGCTATCCAAAATCAGGCGTTTCTGGGCCTAAAGTAAGTGCAGGTAGACCAAGCACCGATTTTTCAGGGCCTAAATTAGATGTCAGTGGATTAAAGGCAGACCTGTCTGTTGAAAAACCAAAGGTGTCTGGTCCAGATCTTGATGCCTCGATTGGAAAAGTTGGGGACCCTGAAGTTAATGTCAATTCTCCGTCTGCTGATTTAGATTTTCCTTCCAAAAAGAAGAGAAAGAGTGTAAATTGTTTGTCTTGCACTGGTGGGGTTGATAAAGATGCGCCATATGGAAAGAAAGCGATGGATGCTAATATTGATCTAGAAGGTCCTAACGGGAAAAACCGAGATGGCGAGTTTGAGCTTGGCCATCCAGAGTTTGATGGAAAATTTGGAGCCAAAAAAGCTGGCAGTTTTGACCTTCACGGACCCAATATTGACAGTGAAGACTTGGCGATGAAGATAAATACTCCAGATTTCGACCTAAGGTCCAACAAACCTAATTCTAGTTTCCAAACACCAGACCTGGACGTAAAGGCTGGTAATAAAGGGGAAATAGACATTTCCCTACCAAACGTTACTCATGAAAAGCCAAAATTAGCAGGAACCTTTACTGGTGAAGAAGATAAAGACATCGAACTTAGAGGTCCGGGCCTAGATGTTCACAGTTCGCAAGGCAGCGCTGATTGGGGCATTCCTGGGTCAAATCTTCCTGACGCGCCAAGGGTTGCTATCAACAAGCCGTCAATTTCTGGTGGGGATTTAGATACTGATGCCGAAGTACCAGGTCTAAGAATTTCCGGTAGTAAACCTTCATCGGAATTGGACACAAACGCCCTTGATAATAACACAGACGTTCCTAAGAGCGATCTCCGTTTTGGCATAAGTAAGCCAGACCTTGATACGAAAGCTGACCAACCTGATCTAGACATTTCAGCCCGAAAACCGCAATTTGGCGGAGAAGAATTTGACATGGATAATTCAGAGCCAGAAATTCCTACTAATGATTTTAACTTTGATCCAAGTTTACCTGGAATCGGAGTAGGAGTTGGAGGACTGGACAAGAACAGGAGAACAGGTGAATACTTAGACACTGATATAAATCGACCTGACATTAACGAATATGACATGGATATACCGAAGCCGAAGATTGAGACAGGTGATGTCAGCTTAGAAGGCAGTTTGCCTGAACTCGATACCTCTGCTGAGAGTCCAGCAATTGGTTTAGACGATAGACAGCTAGATATTAATGTCTGGCAACCGACCCAAGACATCCTAGCACCAAAAACACTCGACTCACCAGAGCCGAATGGAGGATGGTCTTTTCAACCCGGAGGAAAAGACTATGACACCAATTTTGACTGGAGTGTAAATACATCAACACCCAAACAAAAAGGCAGCAACCTTGCAAAACTGGAGTTAGAGACCGAACCCCTTGCAGTAGTAAACGATTCCAATTTAGAGCTCCAAAGTACTCCAACGAAATTTCCTTCGATGGATTACGAGGAACCTCGAAATCTTCAGCGTTATGATGAGATTCGCCCTGACATGGAATTAAGATTGTTATCCCCAAAGAAGACGGACTATCCAAAAGCAGGTTTTGAACTTGAAAACTCAGAAGGAAGTATTGATATTGGAAAGGATGGGATAGAGCGGAAACCAGGCAGAATGTCTTTAGTTAAGGTGGAAGAAAACGTGACCATCTGCTCAGCGTCACTTGAAGAAGATGAGCCTCCCGCTCCAAGGAAAAGAACATTGACACTAGACAGAGAAGTTAGGCAGAAAATTGAAGTTGTTTTCCCAGGTGAAGAGGGTTCAGACACAAAACAAAAAGGTTCGTCTAGCTCGTCCTCATCTTCCTCCTCTGAAAGTGAAGATAACAAAGAAAAAACCGAGAAGCGTAAAAAGAAATCGCGGTTGTTTAAGGCGTTCAGAAAAAGTTCAACCAGTTCTGCATCTTCAAAAGAGGATGAAACTCCTAAGCAAAAAGAAAAAGAAAGGAAATCTTCAACAAGTTCTTACGCATCCGAAGACGAGAAGGAAGCAAAAAAGAAACCATCAAAAGGTGATCTTGCCATGGGTATAACAACCCAAATAAAGCCAAAGAAACGCAAAAGTTCTGGCAGCTCTTCCTCATCGGATAATAAAACTGGTAAAAAGAGGTCTGTCAAGCAAAAAGACTCAAAGCAACACAAAACCAGCTCAACATCGTCGTCAGACGAGGACCATTCTAAGAAGAACAATTTTCCAATTTCAAGTGAATACCCCAGTGCACCAGTAAAGTACAACGTGGAATACACGACATTACCCGAACAATATCTTGTGAGTGCAAACGCAGGAGGACCTAAGAAACCAGAGTCAAGTGTACCTACTGTGGTCTCTCACATCCGAGATGACAAATCTAAACACGAAGAAAGAAAAAGCTCCACAAGCTCCTCGTCTGATGAGAGTATACCAAAGCACACAACGTCTCCTAAAGATCCTCAACCATCGATGCTATACAAAGTAGAGTATTTTACTAATCAGCAAAAATATATCATTGAACCTCGTGATGAATTTGATAAACCAGAATTAAGTGCTGCAGAGGTCCAGGAAGATGCTCCAAAAGTGGAATTTCACTCTGTTAAACCCGAAGATCCCAAATTCTCCTTTATTGAATCAAAGGAACGGAAAAGCTCAACAAGTTCGTTATCCTCGGAAAAGGGTGCTTCCGACGTCCAGGAAGTCGACCTGAAGATGGAATCGCCTTCTATTGAACTTAAAGATCCATCATTGTTCTTCACTAAAGCAAATGAGCGCAAGAGTTCAACAACTTCAACTTCCTCTGAAGAGAGTGGTCGTCTCTCACCCAACCTAGGGGTAAGCGTGCAAAGGCAAGAAACAGTGCACCAGGTGTCAGCCCCGGATCACTTCTCTATCAATCAGGTGGACGTCCCAGCAGTGACTGAAGACCCTTTAGTCATCGTAACTCGTTCCTTTAAAAGACCTGTACCGGAGAGTGACGAGGAAGGCGCAACGAAACATTCTAAAGTCCAGCTTAACGAGCCTCCAGTGACCTTAGCCTACCATCTCCAGTACTCTCACAATATCAGAATGGGTATGGAGGACAATGATAACCAAGTCCAAGAAGAAGGAATTGCACCTGTTGTTCGTTCGCGCTCAGTAGAGTATGAAGTTCCAGACTTGTCAATAGTGTTGCAACCAGAAGACGATCATTCATTCAAAGCAAATGAGCGCAAGAGTTCAACAACTTCAACTTCCTCTGAAGAGAGTGGTCGTCTCTCACCCAACCTAGGGGTAAGCGTGCAAAGGCATGAAACAGTGCACCATGTGTCAACCCCTGATCACTTCTCTATCAATCAGGTGGACGTCCCAGCAGTAACTGAAGACCCTTTAGTCATCGTAACTCGTTCCTTTAAAAGACCTGTACCGGAGAGTGACGAGGAAGGCGCAACGGAACATTCTAAAGTCCAGCTTAACGAGCCTCCAGTGACCTTAGCCTACCATCTCCAGTACTCTCACAATATTAGAATGGGTATGGAGGACAATGATAACCAAGTCCAAGAAGAAGGAATTGCACCTGTTGTTCGTTCGCGCTCAGTAGAGTATGAAGTTCCAGACTTGTCAATAGTGTTGCAACCAGAAGACGATCATTCATTCAAAGCAAATGAGCGCAAGAGTTCAACAACTTCAACTTCCTCTGAAGAGAGTGGTCGTCTCTCACCCAACCTAGGGGTAAGCGTGCAAAGGCAAGAAACAGTGCACCATGTGTCAAGCCCTGATCACTTCTCTATCAATCAGGTGGACGTCCCAGCAGTAACTGAAGACCCTTTAGTCATCGTAACTCGTTCCTTTAAAAGACCAGTACCAGAGAGTGACGAGGAAGGCGCAACGGAACATTCTAAAGTCCAGCTTAACGAGCCTCCAGTGACCTTAGCCTACCATCTCCAGTACTCTCCCAATATTAGAATGGATATGGAGGACAATGATAACCGAGTCCAAGAAGAAGGAATTGCACCTGTTGTTCGTTCGCGCTCAGTAGAGTATGAAGTTCCAGACTTGTCAATTGTGTTGCAACCAGAAGACGGTCATTCGCAGGACGCAGAGAAAGCTGAAAATCGGGTGCCAACCGACGAAAAAGACCGCGCATCTCCGACAATGAACATACAAGCACATACCTTTGAGACCGTGTACGAGGTAAATATTCCGGAAAGACCAACCACAGATAACTATGAGCTGGAAATTCAAGAACACTCACCTGTTGTTGTGTTACGGTCAGTTAAAAGGATTTCTCCTGAACATAATGACTTGGAGGAAGATACCCAGATATTAACTAGCAATGCAGACGTTCAGCTAAGTGAGCCTAGTAACGATGTTCAGCTCGACTATCCAGAAGGATGGGGTGTTTCCACCACTGATGACTACCATTTGCCGAGAGCTGAAGAAGAATGGATCGTGAAGCACTCAGTGAAAAAGGATAAACCAGACATAACATCCTTGGCAGGTTCACTTGATTTTCCTGAAAATGAAAATCAGCCGAAGGCAGAATCTAACCAGGATAAAGATGCCAGTGTAAAATCTCCTCGTGAGGCAAGTTCCGCAAGACGAAATTCTAACTCTCGCCTTTGGGACTTAATGCAGGGATACTTGATAGAGAGACCAATTGTGGATGATGATGATGACAAAGACTCTACACCAGACCCTGAAAAGACCACAGAAGTAAAGAATGAGGGAGACTCAAAACCAGAAAAACCGGAAAGAAGTGTTTATAATTTTACGATACAGCCGGTCAAATTTGATACCGTTGATGTCCAGGTTCAAGCTAACGACAGTAAAGAACCAGCGAAGAAATTGACTACGTCCTTTACTCAAGTAGAAGTTGATGTTCCAAAAGAAACACCTGTCTCTCAGTTTGATATCATCGCAGTTAAACCTGATGTTAAAGAGCAGCATACTGAACTGGAGACTGCGCCAGTTCCGAAAGTGGAAAGTGTTATACCAAAAGCAACATCCAGTGTCTCACAGTTTGAACCTGTTGCCATTCAACTTGATGTGGGTGGTAAACAGCCTATTGTAAAAGAGCCTCGTTCTTCATGGAGAAGAGAAGCTTCGCTTCCCTCAGATGCAGATGACAACGAATCCGACCCTTGGATGAGACATTACTCCAAAGGACTTTATCAAAGAGGCCATCATCAACCATCAACTTCAAAATTTACGGAAAAGGAATCAACAGTTCCTGAAAGGCCAGGCCTAAGCCTGTCTAAAGTACCACACGTTAAAGGAGTAAGGACATCATCTGAACACCAACGTGAAAGGCCAAGATATTCCATCGATGGCCGAGCTCATATCGAGCCTGCACCTTTTCCAAGCGTCACAAATCGCAGCCAAACAGGGACATCCAGACAAGAGCCCTCGAACAGACCATCAGTTAGCAGTTTACGTTCTTTTTGGGATAAATAACTTCGACCGCGCAGACGGAATTAAAAAGAAACATACCATTATTATAGAGAACATTCCTGTTAAGGTGCGTAGTAACAATGAGAAAAAAAAACAGTCCATTAGAGGGAACAAACATTTTCAGCAAACTGATCCGATATTTTTAACTATTGCGATATTATAAGATGAGCAGCTTTATTGATAAAGCACGCCAAAATCGATGATAGATTCATCAACTTCTTAAGCTATTATAATTATTTCCAGTGAGAAAGGACGATGATTTTACATGCTGCCAATTTAATTCATAATTATTAGTGTAATTAATTACGAGCTTAGCCTTTGAGGTGACGGTTTTGATTTGAATGAAACTGAGTTGGGAGGCAAGGTATATAGGTGCGGTTACACTAGACCTTTTCCCCAAAGCTCCCTTGGGGACAGAAGTTTCGGCTGGGCTAACTCTTGCGGTTACACGCTGATATATTTCCCCAGGGGAAAAAATTCGACCGATCTCTTGTACTGGCATAAAACGCAGAATGTCTTCTACCATTTCATCCTTTACATAAAACGTTAATAATTTCAGCTTTGTTTGGTGATAGCGATAAACGTTTAATTTTGAGACGAAAACGAAGCTCACGCGTTTAATCTAATGTTCTCAGCTTCTCCCTAAAAAAAAAACAGCAAAACAACAACAAATTTCACTTACCAGTCAAATTGCATGTTCGCAAAATTGGCTCCAACTACCTCATAAAGAAATGGCTCTTTTAAGTTAAAACTGCTGATGGAAACAAAAATATTAAGTTTCTCAAGGCGATTTTGAATTTATTACACATGAGAACGTTCATCGTAAGGCTGGAAATCCTGTTGTGTGGTCGAACTTCAGGATAGATTTGGCGCCAAGATGAACATAGCAAATTAATAACACGTGTTTTCTAGTCTTCGGTACATTTCACTTTCTCGTGATTAGTTGAGCCACTTTGAGTTCTTATTCAAAAACTCATAGAACCTAGCTCGGGAATTGTCATGGGGAATTCTTGTCTTAGTTTTTTTTGACGTAGAAATTTCCCCAAGGCATTTTCACTTAAGAATATCGTTTGCAGTTGCTTCACCATTGGCAAGAACCACTAACCCAAGGGTAAAACGGCTGGAGTAACCGCAGTTAAATGTCTGTCTTGGGATTTTAAGCTCCGAGTAACAATTTGCAGTGATACAGTGTCACCACCCTGCCTTACTCGACTGCCTTATCTACACGACTTAATTTGTTATTGCGACCAGTTTTTTGGCCCTTGGTCATCTCGGTAATACTGTACGACCACTTCGTTTTTTTATGAGATTTTGAGCCAACGCTGGTGGTCGCAGAAAGGGGTTTCGCTGCATTATTCGTTGCTCGCATTCGCACCGCAAAAGAATTGCACATATCGTTGAAGTTTTTTTGCTCGTATGGACTAATCAACAAGTTTTCATTGAGAATTGTTTGGATCGTAAAGATGATTTGAAAATTATATGTAGCACTGACATTCGTTCCCCGCGATCAATAGACTCCGTGTCTATTTCCTCTTCACATCAGCCCGGTTACACAAAAATTATAACTTTCGCGCCACCATAGCTTCGGCAACCCTTAATGCTGTATCGCTGCGGTTAAATGGATGCGTATGACGTGGAAAACACAGCAGGCCATGCAAGACGACGACATCCGGGCCGCCAGAATTCATCTCGCTTTGATTCCAGTAACCGTGACGAAGTGTTCCGCATATGGCAAAATTTTCAGCTCACTTACCGAGATCCCGGTTGGAAAAACCGAGATCTCGGGAACCAAGCCAGCCTGCACTCTCAAATGAACACACTTAAAAGTTTACAAAGGATTTAGAGGAAGGGCGAGATCTCGGAAACTTGGCTCATGTGAAGAGGCCCCAAGTGTCTGTAAAGTTAGTCCTACAATCATGGACAAAAGTCTTGGGACACTTGCATTTCTAGGGCGTTTTATAATTCACACAGGTATAAGCCCTCCCCTTACCCCACAAACAATGTTGGACGCGTGCATTCAGAATTGCTTTCCAAAATTCAAATTTGTAAAGGGTGGGGAAAGGGAGAACTGCATGAAAATTTAAAAAAGGATGCATTGTTTTATGAGGGAACCGAGAAATAACAGAAAAATATGAGTATCGCGCTACTGTCCCAAGGACTTTTGTCCATGATTGTAGTTTTTTAACGTTTCTGGACATGCAACCAAATTTTACCGTCTGCAAAAACTAAACAGTTGGGGGGAAAGGGTCACTGAGATTAGTACGGCAGACAATACAAAGGAAAATGAGAGATATATTTTGCATTTGAAATAAGTTATGGTTTCTAGGAATCGTTTATCTTGGAAGGGGCCAGTAGTAAGCTTCCTCGTCTTGCGTTGTTTGCAAGCCTATATTTTATACATTAATACACACAACACAATGTTACAATTTTATTACTCAAAAATCATACATCGGGTTTTTTATTGAAACTGATATTATTGCAAGTAATGTGAAATTTAAAATAGAATAACATTTGAAGTAAATTCCAAGATTGTTGAACTATGCGTTAATGATGCTAAGCTGTATAAGTAGACTATACTTGAGGGACTCTGTCATCTGTATGTCAACAATTCTATAGACAGCAGTGCTAGGATTATATGTTACCGTTTGGCAAAATAGGACTTTGTCTTCCATCAAAGGCGAGATCTCGGAAACCTGGCCCATGTGAAGAGGCCCTAGGTGTCTGTAAAGTTAGTCCTAGTAGTTTAACGTTTCTGGACATGCAAGCAAATTTTACCGTCTACAAAAACAACCTGGAAATTCTGCCCAATAAAAATACTTCATTAGGTGCATGTATTGCAGTTTGTAAGCTTATACTGTAATGCAGTTGCAGAGCTCCTCAAATGTCTTCTTAGTTCAGTGAGCTTATGATATATTTTACAACTATTCTGGACTGTAATTTTAAGCCTTGGAAAGTTGATATATTCACCAATAAATCAAAGTTTGTATCATTTAGCTCAGTGCTTATCTAAATTTCTTTCGGATACAGAGCGAGCTACTAAATTTCTGTCAAAAAGTATAACTTGCTTAGTTAGCGAGATGATGCTATCCCTACACACACGGACGGAATTTACATCACTATAGCGGATGTTAATACTACGAGAGCCATTATACATAGCTTTCATACTGACAATTGTAGATGGTGTCTGCATCTCTCGTTTCCACTTCTGCTGAAGTTGGAGACGGACTGGAATCCGCGACATTTTTCTTGATGATAATCAAATTGCAGAATGTTTCATACAGCTCTGTGAGCCCCTCCCTAAAACTAGCGCAGCTGTGATAGGAATGCTTGCTCTTCTTCAGATTTGAAAGATCTTGTATGAATCGTTCACAAGTATGTCTAACAATTTCCGCTTCCGGCTTCACCTTCGTTACACGTTCGTATACTTCCCTGAGTATCTCTATGTTCCGGCTAACTCCTTCGTCAATCGCTCCTTTGCTCAACCCCAAAAGGTGTACATACACACGTACCTCATGCAATACTTTGGCAATTACCAGTTCATCACTGTCCAAGTCGACTTTGCCAATGTATTTGGGGATATTGAAATGTTCTCGAAGTTCTCTCCCAAATTCTGAAAAGTACTTTTCATGCTCTAGTAACGACTGTAGTTGAATCAGAAATTTTAATGGATGAGCTGGAACAAGCACCAGATCGACTTCAAAAGTAAATCTGCTTATCTCCGATGATCGTCGACCTTTTTCAAAGCGTAAGCATTTAATGTACGGTACCTCTTTTAACATTTTTCTGTCAACATCTCTCAGTCTTTTTTCAGTTTCCATCGCTAGTTTTCTGTCGCTGCTAAAATACTTCAAGCACGTCAAGACTGTCTGACGCTGGGCTCCCGAGAAAAATGGCAATGTCATCTCTCCCAGATCAGTGACCAGTTTCCCAAGCTCTGCTCTTATATTGCTGGGGACAGGTCCCAATAGTATTAAAGAGGCGCAAGTATTTAACAACTGAAAGATGCTGTTAAGGTCTTCTCTGAGTTCGTTCAACGAGCTCCTTGGCCAAGTGGAACCAGACTCGAAGTCAGAAGTATTCAACATGTACCTTAAAACGTCAAGGCCGGTGATGCCTGGGCAAATCACAACGTTTCCGAATTTTTCGTTCGTTTTTGACACCCCAGAAAGAACTTGTTTATCTTTCAGTGTACTGTATTGTCCTCTGATAGTTTCCGCGAATTTCCGCCACTCTTTTCTTTGCTGATCCCGTCTATCTCTGTGTCTCAAATAGATCGTTCCAAAAATAAAGATAGCGATTGTTAGAGACAAATTAAAACAGTAGTAGGCCAAAGTGATTTCTGCTCTATATACCTTTGCGAAATCCATGACCACGTCTAATGAGCTTGTGATGTCAACTTCGCAAAATATATTAACAAAAGTGGAAAATGAAAGATTTCCTAAATTTAAACGCTTACAGGCTCCTCGATCAAGTTTAAGCCCGCGTTGTAAGTAAACAGCGGAGGCTTTTAGGGTGAAACTGCTGACCAAAACTGTGGGGGCTTCGAACGCATGCTATTAGGGAACTTAAGCACCAGACGTTTTCTACGGGGCGACGGCAACCGGAAGTCAAATTTACTTCCGATCCACGTTTCCCGCCGACAGAGTCGGCCGTCGCGACTCTGCGCCGACTTTGTTTTGCTTATTTTGACGTCGCCTGTAAAACGTGAGTTTTGCTTTTATGATTTTCGTGCTTTTATATCATTTTGCCTGCGATGTTTTGCACTTAGTGATACGTAAAATTTTATTCTGTCGTTTTGGCGATTGTAGGAGCGATTGTCGTGTATTACAGGTCTGTTTTTTTTAACTTTTTAGGCTCTATAGCGTGAAGATGGCTACCAAAAAACAACCTGTAATGGAATGGACAGATGACCATGACATTCTCCTGTTGCGTGAAATGATTGCTACCGAATTTTTTCAGTGCAAGAAAGGCAGTCCAGACCGTGGCAAAATCTGGGAGTCAAT